CATCCACAAAAATTCTTGTATCTGGATGCTTTAAAAACTTATGGACAAAATTTTCTAGCCTGTTTAAAAATCTTTCAAATGATAGGATTGAGTGAGATTTAAATCCATCAGTTAAATAAAAGAAAAACACAATTCCATCCACTTAAGTTACAAGAGCAAATTATTCATTAACATCAGGGAAGAGGAACATTGATTGGGCAAAATTTTAACCAAAATCTTTGTATGATTGATGGATGTAATTGAAAATTGATTGCATGGCTTAGAAAGTACAGCCAGTTAATGCATTATTCCACTTCAGTCAGTCAGTCGGTTCAGTCGCTCAGTCGTGTCTGACTCTTTGTAACCCCATGGACTGCAGCATGCCAGGCTTCCCTGTCCATCACCAACTCCCAGGGTTTACCCAAACTCGTGTCCATTGAGTTGGTGATGCCATCCAACCATCTCATCCACTGTTGTCCCCTTCTCCTCTACCTTCAATCTTTCCCAGCATCTGAGCCTTTTCCAGTGAGTCATTTCTTCACATTAGGTGGCCAGATTATTGGAGCTTCAGCTTCAGCATCAGTCCTTTCAATGAATATCCAGGACTGATTTCCTTTAGGATGGACTGGTTGGATCTCCCTGTAGTTCAAGGGACTCTCAAGAGTCTTCTCCAACACCACAGTTCAAAAGCATCAATTCTTTGGGCCTACCTGACTTTGTAGGCAATAAAATGAAGTTATAAACAGACCTTGAATCACGATGTAGCATGCTTTTACACCGGACACAGCCCACAATATCATCCACACTATGTATCCCGATGCCAGGCCCAGCAAAGGAAAGGACTTCTCCCCCTGCTCCCAGGTGTCCTTCCCAGCAGGGCGTGGACACCACCACATGAGGGGCTCCCTAGCCTGTTGGCTGCTCCCCTCCCCAGAGCAGCTTCCAGCATGCTCTGAGGGCGCCCAGAGACACCCCCCGCAGGGGTCTCAGCAGCGTCCATCTGCCTGGCCTCCCGGAGCTCGGCACGCAAACTGTCGCCTCTCCAGCGAGTCTCACGGGGCCCAGAGTGTGGCTCCCCAGGGAACTGCCGGGGCCCCCAGGAGGCAGGTTCCTGATTTCTGCTCTCTTCAGGGCATTCTTGGCCCCTCAGTCATTCACCCCGTGACCGGATAACGATTCCTGGTGCAGACTTCTCAGAGGACGCTGCCCTGCTGTTTCTCGACCAGAGCGAGGGCTCACCGGCCTGGGCAGGGCTCCTGAGGGGGGGTCATGCCTCTGCTGGGGGGGGTGCTGGCTGGTTTCTCGAGGCGGTTTCTCTCTGAGCGTATGTGGCTGGCTCAGAAAGTGGGTGGGCTCTCACACCAGAGACACACATTACGTCGACACTCAAGGTTTTAGTTTTGGGCCAGGAAGATGTCCCTCCCTTTCTTGGGGCCACCTTCAGCCCAGCCAATCCACCTTTTCTTTAGGACTGCCCCGTTCTCGGCAGCTTTGGCAGGAAGTGTGGGCACCGGAGCGCGGGTGCAGGGGACAGAGCCATGCCGAGACTGCCTGCGTGGCCGGCACAGAATGTTCTGGCCTGCTGGGGCCCTTAAAGGGACATGGGTGGGGGTGGAACAGATGTGGGCAGGGACTGGGCATGGGAAGAATGGCCTGGTGGGGACAGGAAAGGCTCGAGGGCAGAGCTCTGCGTGCCAGCCCGGGGGCTAAGGGTCAAAGCCGCTCAGCACCGCAGGCCCCCAGCAGCCCCGGAGGCCAGCCCTCTGACAGCCCAGTGCAGGCTCCGCAGGGCTTGGGGCAGAGCTAGAATGGAGAGGCTGCAGAGCGAGCCCAGCCCCCTCCCATGACCACAGAGATGGCCTGTGACCCCAGAGGGCCTCAAGGCTGGGCCGATCCAGGGCCCCCCTCCCTCCCAGCTGTGGACACAACAGGAAGACACAGACCTGCCACTGCTGGCGAGCCAGCCGGGGGTGAGCGGGGTGCTTTGGGGCGTTGATGGTCATGGCCAAGGACGTCTGAGTACGGCCGGGTCTGCAGGGCATTGCGGGTGCTGCGGGGGGCCACTGGGGACTGCCAGGTACAGATGAGTCCGGCTGGCGGTCATTTGGGGGGCTCACAGATGACCGTAAGGGCAGTGCACCTGTTGGGGTGTCAAGCTTGGTGCTAACAGAGGCAGCTTCTTTGTCATTGTCTGGCACCCAGTGTTCTTACAGGCGTCTGAGTCATCAGCCCCTGGCAGGACGCATCTCCTCAATGGTCTGTGTCTGAGCACTCTATGCATCGTAGACTTCTCTTTTCTACACCAGGTGCCACGGGGCACCCTTCTGGGAGATGCTGGGGGTATTCCCCCCAAAACGGGAAAGGCAAGGAGGGGAATGGGTCCTTATTAACAGGTGCCACGGGGCACCCTTCGGGGAGAGGCTGGGGGTATTCCCCTCAAAGTGGGGAAGGCAAGGAGGGAGATGGGTCCTATTCTCAAGTGCAGGGGACGCCTTGTGCCATAGCCCTGGTAGGCTGATCAGCTCGCCACGTGCACCAAAGGTCCTGAGAAGCCCTTCAACCAATAAACCCCTCCCATGTAGCGTGTCTCATACCTCCTGCGGACAGGAAACCTATTAACAACACAGTGGACCAGTGTTTCAGGAAACCCCCATTTGGGAAGCCCTGGTTTGGATCACCTCTCTTTCTCGGGGGAGAACGAGTCATTTCATACGTGTGGGGGAATTTTTCAGAAGACCAGGCAGCCACGGTGGTAACAGGCTTTAAGAGAACAAAGGTCATGGCATCACCTAACAACTCCTTCACTTGAGCTGGACGTGTTACTTAGTATGATTTCAAGGGCTGCCCTGGTCGCTCAGCTGGTAAAGAATCCACCTGCAATGCAGGAGACCCCGGTTCAATTTCTGGGTCGGGAAGGTCCGCTGGAGAAGGGATAGGCCACCCACTCCAGTATTCTTGGGCTTCCCTTGTGGCTCAGCTAGTAAAGAATCCACCTGTAATGCGGGAGACCTGGGTTCGATCCCTGGGTTGGGAAGATCCCCTGGCGAAAGGAAAGGCCACCCACTCCAGTATTCTGGCCTGGAGAATTCCGTGGACTATATAGTCCATGGGGTCACAAAGAGTTGGGCACGACTGAGTGGCTTTCACTTTCTTTTCATGATTTCCTCTCTGCAGAGAAGGGCTGGGGAGGCAGAGGGAGAAGATACTGCTGAGAAGGTGAAATGGCACTTGGTTGTGGAGCCCTGATACCCGCGGAGGTCTGCACAGCACGCTCAAGCCCTGCGTCTCCTCCGGCGATGCCTCGATCAAGCCCCCCAGCCCCGGCAGACAGGACGCCCATGCCACTCACAGTCCCTGAGAATCACTGCTGCTCTTCCCTCTGCTGGGAAATCAGTTTTCCCCTGGCCACGTTCTGCAGTCAGAGGGTCTCAGGGACCAGAGTGTAGTGGGCCTGGCCCCTCCAGGTCCCTGCCCATACAGGGCCCCTTCCACGGCCTGGAACCTGGGCCCTGCCCTCCAGTTGACTGTCTGGTAGGCTAGGGGTCAGGCCACATCGATGCCGAGTTCCTCACCGTACATGACAACAGGAAATCTGGGGAGCCTGGAGAATGAGGTGGCCTTGGGCTGGGACTGGGCTGAGGCCCTTTGACGATGGGCATCCCTGGCAACAGAAGAGGCCCAGCCTGAGGGGGATGGCGGGTCCCATGGAGAGTGGGAGGGGACAGCCCTGCAGAGTGGCTGCCAGCTGGAGGTAGCCCTGGACCACCTTCCTGAGCCACAGCTTCCTTAAGGTGGAGGCTGAGTCCATTCGGGGAGCTCACGGAGCCCCCGCTACTCTGGGAGGCCAGGAGAACTGGGAGCAGCTCAGCCCAGGGAGGGCTTTGGGACAGAGAGTGGCCGGTCAGAGCTACCTCTGGAGAAAACCACCCTGGGCCAGGGCGACCAGGTGAGGATGGGGGGGTGGGGGGTCAGGGCAAGCTGGGCGGGGGTTGGAGGACTGGGAATCTGGGGGCAGTTAGGGAGTGGGGACGAGCCATGGGGCCGTTGGGGGTCCAGGGAAACAGGGCAGTCGGAGACTGTGCAGAGGTTCTGCATGGCCCATCTGGTTGCCCCGTCTTTTCCGATGACGCGACTCAGCTGCAGATGCAGCTCAGAATTGACCCCTTCTCCACCATTTCCTCTCAGGAGCAGCTCTTTCCAGCCAATGCAGGTTAGTTAATCTTGAATCATTTTAATCTGCTCCGCGAAGTATTTCCACCTTTGGGAATTGGATGATTCATAAAAGAGACAGAACTCTCCCCTTTACGAAGAAGAGCTGTGCATTAAGCATTTGACTAATGGGGGCAAATGCAAACATACATAATTCTTCTGCTAAAATCAGGGGTGGAGGAGGAACACATGTGACCTCAAAGTAGCTTCATTTTCTTCCTCAAGAGCAGACAGCTATCTGGCTGTTTTTAAAGTCTCCATTAAAAAAATAAAAATAATGGGAAATGTTCATGGATGTAAAGCTTCAATGACAAGTTTAAAAAGGCAGGGGGACTGGAAACAACTGAAGTCTCCAGCACTGAAGGAATGGTTTTACAGGCTGTGGAGTCTCCCTGCCAAGGTGCGCCATGCAGTCTGTAGAAAGGATCAGGGTGCTTTCTAGAGTCAGATAAAAAGCATCGTGAAGTGACGGTGAACACGAACATACAATAGGGCTTTCTGGGTGGCTCAGATGGGACAGAATCTTCCTGCAGTGCCGAAGACTCAGGTTCAGTTCCTGAGTTGGGAAGATCCCCTGGAGAATGCAATGGCAACCCACTCCAGTATTCTTGCCTGGAGAATTCCATGGACAGAGGAGCCTGGCGGGCTACAGTCCATGGGGTCGCAAAGAGTCAGACACGACGGAGCAATGCACACACACAAACACACACTCCATGGCAGTACGGCCTGAGGGGCTTCAGTCGGTTTCCCGGGACCCCAGCAGGTCCCCAGGGATGACCATTCTCGTGGGGGCGGGGGCCGGGCGAGCGGCCATGGCTGCCCCTCCCCCGCCGCCCTTGACCCTCCGATCAAGGCTCCTCTTTAAGAAATGGGGCCCCGCGTGGGAAGATGGCTTTCAGCCCCCGCTGGTTGGTGGAAAAGCGCTGGGCTCGCAGTGCAGATACCCGGGCTCAATGGCAGAGGAACGCGTGACGGGGCTGGTCCCCACCTGTAAGGCCTCTGCCTCCACGTGGTGCTGGAAAAGGGGGGTGGGGTGCAGGGTCCGGGGCAGAGGATGCGTCATGACTGCACACCAAGGGACCCCTCCATAGTGACGGCGGCTCAGGGAATTTGGGCTGGGAGCAGCTTGGAGACATGAGGCAGGACGGGCATCGCCGAGCGGGAGCAGAAGGGAAGAGCCTGGCTGCTTTGGGCGCAAAGGGGCAAACCGGGTCAAAGAGCCCAGAGGGACTTGGGTCACGCTGAACCACACGGGCAGCCAGTCCCAAGGAAGGAGGAGCCAGACCCGGCGAGAGGGGGTGGGGTGGGTGGGGGCGGTCCTCAGGACCTGCTGATGGGAGCGAGGACACAGGGGCTCAGCACGGCAGAGCGGCCATCTCCTGCATTTGAACTCCGTCCCTCCAGATGAGGAGGGCAGGCCCCCAGGCCCCAGCTCTCGGGTTACCATGGTAACCCTGGAATTGGCTGCTGCGGGGGGAGGTCACCCTGGGGCTGGGCTGTGCAGGGAGGGGCAGCACGGAATAGATGCCGGTGATGCTCAGTCCGAGTCTCAGCGGAAGAGAGACCACAGGCGAGGCCCATCCTGGGAGGGGCAGAGGGAACACTGCCCTCTTTGCCTCTCCCTCCTCGGGGTCCTGCCCGTCCCTCTCCTGGGCATGAGGCTCCAGGGCACTCGTGAGCTGACGAGTTTCAAAACATCACACTTACCGGCACCTCCTCCCGGCGCCCCACACCACGCAGTGGAGGAGCCCAGCCCCTTGCTGAGCTGCTGCAGCCCCCGCACATAGGCTCAGAGCCCCCTTGCCTCCTCCATCCTCACCCCCAGGGAGGAGCCGTGCCCCTTGCCTGGGCCGTGGCTTTTCTGCCATGTGGTCAGACGTCTGCCTGGCGGCCCCGGCAGCCCCCTGGTCCCGGCCCCGCCAGCGCAAGCAATCCTCGCCCTCGCGAACGGCTGGCTTCATCTGCAGGACTGAGTGTGGGCGAGCTCGCGCCCCGGGCACCTGCCGCCCCGGCCTCGGTGGACCCAAGCCTTCAGGACTTGGCTGGAACCCGAGGCAGGGCGGCAGGAGGCGCCCTCCTGGACAGTTCCCGCCAGATCCAGCAGCTGCCTTTGACACTCCGGGGCCACTGCAAGGGCACCAGCGTCTGCCAGGCTGTGAGTGACCCACCTGGACAGCAGCTCAAGCTTGCTGCTCGCCAGTATCTGTCCTGCAGACCCCTCAGGACACCACATAGCTCTGTGGGGGCCACCGCTCTGCAGGAGGACTTCCCGGGGGCGAAGGGTGAGGTGGAGGCATTCCTGCAGAGGGTGTGGGCCATGAGCACCCCGAGAGGGACTGGACCTCAAGGCCTCGGGCACTCCTGCCACTGGTCCAGGGTGACCGCGCTGCCCTCATACCCAGGCCCACAGGGCCCACAGCCCCAGCTGAATGGGCCCCCGTGGTCAGCAGTGTAACCCTCCGAGGCGCGGCGTGAACGTCTGTCGAAGATGAATGAGGCATCAGGGCAGGCGGGGCTGGGGGCCAGACTCCAAACTTCACCCCACCCCACCCCCCACACCGCCCGGGGAGTAGTCAGAGCCCAGGGCCGTGTCTCCAAGACTCCATCAGGGCTTCTGCTAAGGGCACCCCTGGCTCACACAGAAGAGAAACAGAGACTCAAGGAGACCACTGACCGCGGGCTGCCTCCGCCACCAGCTGGGAAGGGGGTGGGGGCTGGGGCTCCTCTGCTTGTAGGACGGTGGGGCAGGGGATGGGGAGGACCACCGAGGGCGTGCTCACGGGACCTCTGTCCCTGCACACAGAGCTGTCCTCCGTGGGGACCCCGCATGACCCTCCCTGTGGACAAGCCAACCCAAAGACCCTGGATAGGCCTGGGTGACCACAGGGACCCTCAATGTGGATTGGGGTGAAGGGGGAGCTTGTCTTCCCAGGGGAGCTGAGCAGTGTTTGGAGGATGGGCCCCCCCCCAACTCCACAGGCTTTGCGGCAAACATGCGTCTCCTGTGGAGGATGTCAGGACCTCACAGGCACACAGGCACCGTCACACACGTGCACGCACATGTAGTCGTGTATGTGTGCGTGCACACCAAGTGTGCATTGACAAGTCCAACCACACATGTGCGCATGTGCTCACACAAGCTCGCTCTTTGCAACGTCACTGTTTCCAGAAAGCAAACCTCCTCAAGTCAAAGCCCCCGGGCCCACCCTGTCCTCCCCACCTCCCTGCCTTCTTCCCACGCTGATTTACCGCCCCCCAGATGGCTCCCCGCAGAGCGTGAGGAAGCCCAGGCTCCCCGTTTCTCCTGGTGGATTTCACTTCCTTGCCAGAAAAGTTCAAGGTTGGGTCAGATGATTCCCCTTTGCACTGTGAGCTGAGTTTTCTCAGCCCCCCACCCAGCCAGGGCCGGGTGTCTCTTTGGGGGGTACAGAACCTACAAGGGGGAGGGTCCCAGGGCAGTGCCAGCTCACCCTGCCTGGAGGCCCCTGGGAAGTGCTGCGTGCCTCGCACATCTTGCAGCGGGGCCCCGTGTCCTCATGGATGGTGTTCCCGGAGAAGACACCGAGTGTGTAGGGCCAGGAAACGGTGGAGGGCGTCCATCGGTGAGTCAGTCAACAAACATTTCTGGAGCCCCTTCTGTGTCAGCACAGGCTGATGGACTCTGGGCATGAAGATGGACAGGCCAGTGTGGCCCTGACCTTGCGGGACATCGGGACCAGCCTTACTGGCCCCTGCCAGCCTCCTTCCACAGGTGAGGGCCTGGGCTCTGTTCTTCCAGCAGCTGGTGGCTCCTTGGACTGGACGTGTCATGAGGGCAGGCTGTGTGTCCATCTCCGCACAGAGGTCTCTGGCCCCCACTGCACTCTGGTCTCAGCAAGCACGGTCACTCCCAGGGGCAGGTGTTTTCCCAGAAAAACTCTCAGAGATGGGACCTGAGAGCCCTGTGGTGGCAGAGACAACCCCCAGCTGGTCATAAGTCAGCGGGATTTCTCAGGTGAACTTGCTTGAGAGCTGTTGAGGATCCAGGCCTAGCCCTGTCATTACCTCATGTTAACACTGTGGGTTTTGTTTTTGTTTTTTTTTTTTAATGAATAACCTTTTTTCTTATTAAAAAGGTAGATGCATTTACTGTTGAAACTTTAAGAAGTATCACTAGATAAGCAAAAAGGATAACAGTCATATATACTAATAAACTCACCATGCAGAGGTAAACAGTGGTAAGTAAAAAACAGGTTTTTTTAATGGAAACATTTTGATGATTAAACTTTCAAATTCCTATCAATTTGTAAATCAGCTATCTTCACATTCCCCCCAAATCATATCTTTCTGTAAAACTGACCATTTGTTGGATACTTAACCTGCTCCACTTTTTACTAATAGAAGTAAATATCCTTCTCAGTGGATTGTCAGTAAGTTCAGTCACTCAGTTGTGTCCGATTCTTTGCGACCCCATGGACTACAGGACACCAGGCTTCCCTGTCCATCACCCACTCCCAGGGTTTACCCAAACTCATGTCCATTGAGTCGGTGATACCATCCAACCGTCTCATCCTCTGTCGTCTCCTTCTCCTCCTGCCTTCAATCTTTCCCAGCATCAGGGTCTTTTCCAATGACTCAGTTCTTTGTATCAGAGGGCCAAAGTATTGGAGCTTCAGCTTCAGCATCAGTTCTTTTAATGAATATTCAGGGTTGATTTTCTTTAAGATTGATTGATTTTATCTCCTTGTTGTCCAAGGGACTCTCAAGAGTCTTCTCCAACACCACAGTTTGAAAGCATCAATTTTTCTGTCCTCAGTTTTATGATCCAACTCTCACATCCATATATGACTACTGGAAAACCATAGCTTTGACTAGATGGACCTTTGGTGGCAAAGTAACATCTCTACTTTTTAATATGCTGTCTAGGTTGGTCATAGCTTTTCTTCCAAGGAGCAAGCATCTTTTAATTTCAAGGCCGCAGTCACTGTCTGTGGTGATGTTGGAGCCCAAGAAAATAAAATGCCTGGAGAGCAGCTTCTCCAGGAGCCCCAGGGATACTCCACAAGGCCAGACTGAGTATGGGGGGACATGCAGGGCCCAGGTGGACCACCGGGCACCAGCAGTCAGACCACATGGCCTGGGATATGGCAGTGGGGGGAAGGCAGGGTGGGTGGGGGACGGCACTCCCAGAAGGGCCCTGAAGCTGAGCACAGAGGGCTCCACGTGCCCAGGACCCTAGGGCCCCCCCCCAAAGGAAGGGAGAGGTGGGCCCACCAGGGGTGGCTTCTTGGAGACCCTCCTTGAGCCTCGGTCCTGGGGGAGCCCCCTCCTTCTGCCTCACCCAGAGTCCAGCCTGTTCTTGCCCTTGGACAGCGTTTCAGCTTAGACCTGGTTTTCTCTGCCTTCGATAGCTGTGTTCTTTTACAAGCTTATAACAGTCCCTAGAGTTGCCTGCGAATAGGACAGAGAACAATCGAGGGCACGTGGGGCCGGGGAGCCAGCCTGGCTCGCTCGCCGCAGTGACTCCCGCGGAGCAGCGCAGGACCACCCCCGATCCGGTCTCGACGCCCAGGCGACAGCGTGCTGCCTGCTTCCGGGACCGCGTGGGAGGGGCCAGCGAGGAGGGAGGGGCCTCAGCCCCAGGCCCCTCCCCGCCCCGCTGGATCCGGGGGCTGGCTTACTGTTTGGGGTGTTCCCTGGTCGCTCAGAGGGTAAAGCGTCTGCCCGCAGTGCAGGAGACCTGGGCTTGATCCCTGGGTCGGGAAGATCCCCTGGAGAAGGAAATGGCAATCCACTCTGGTACTCTTGCCTGGAGAATCCCATGGATGGAGGAGCCTGGTAGCCACCATCCCTGGGGTCGCAAAGAGTGGGACGCGGCTGAGCGACTTCACTCACTCACTCACTCCTGATGCCAGCCATCCTCGCTCCTGAAAATACTCTGCCTACAGCTGCTCCTCCATTTGTGTCTGAGCCTCACAAGCAGACAAGGCTGTCAGACCTGGGGAGGAAAGCTGTCTGAAATCCTACCACTGACAGCTCAGGTTTGCCTTTTTCGTCACAGATGGTGCCTGAAGCACGTCAGTGCCACTCAGTCAGTGAGGTCACCCCAAAATGACCGAGCGTGCCCAGCAGCCACTTAGGGAGCTGGAGTGCAGATCAGTGGAGAATTGGTGCCACCCGCTTCCAGACTGTTCTCTGGGTCACCAACGGATGGCCCCTCATGGCCAGTGGGGAGCACAGGCTTCGGCCCAGAGGCCCCAGCACTGCCCGCAGGGTCGGGAGCCCCGCAGCTGAGTCCACGAGCTGTCCACCCTGAGCTCAGGCAAAACTGAGAGCAAGTGTGGGTGCCTTGTCCACATTCATCTTGGCCATGCTGGCTTGGTCCCCAGGGGCCTGGACATGCTGAAATGTAATCACAGACAGTGTGGGGGCACTTGTCTGGAATACGGTAAATAATAACAGAACCAACCCCATCGATAGAATCAAGTGCCCTTGAGCTGCCAGAGCGTCCACCTCCACAGGGGTAGCAGGTGAAGAAACCCATCCTTTCTCACCAACATGGCATCGTGGAAACGTTGTTCGAATCAACTGATTGGTTCATAAGGAAACAATGGTTTGTCAGTCATGATTTATGAAGACTAATTAGACACTTTGTTAAAAAATAATTTGTACATTTCAATGAAAAAGCAGTAGACAGGAGCTCCTAGGGGTGCTGGGTTCCTACACGCTTTCAGGCGGGGGCGTCCCCCTGTGTGTCCCCTGTTGGGGGGTATCTAGGGCTTCCCTCCCAGGAGGTGGATCTGCACGATACCCTGCATGATCTGCAAGATCCCCACCTCTTCCCCAAACCTTGTGGCAAAATAGGTGTGGACAGCTGTCAGGTCGGGGCTTCAACATTGGACAGTTAGAATAAGGGGTCTGAGTCAAGACCTGGGTGGAAGGAGTTTGCAGGCATGCACCATGAGAGGAAGGGAGGTCCCCAGGGCGGGGTTGGGACGGTTCAGAGAGAAGCAGGCAGACAGTGTAGACTGGTTAGGAGTCAGGGCAGACACACTGCTGACGGGGACGCTGCCTTTGATGAGGGTGTGATGGAGGAGATGGAGAGAAGATCTTCCAGAAACATCTATGAATCACTCCCCGTTTGTGCAACCCCGCACCATGACCCTGGGGGGACAAGATCGTTACAAAATGCCACCCTTTCCCAAGAGGAGTTAGTCTTGTTTCCAAGTTGAGTAATTTCTCTCCTTTCCCTCTTCTTTGTTTTAAACCCAAAGTCTAAGAACAATGAACAAGACCTCAGGGTATCCATGGGTGATCCCAGAGGATTCCAGGGAAATGGGACAAAAGCTAGTTTACCTTTAAAAAAAAAAAACAAAAAACTTATTTGGCTAGGCTGGGTCTTAGTCGTGGCACAAGGGTCTTTAATTGCAGCATGTGGGATCTAGTTCCCTGACCAGGGATCGAACCCGGGCCCCTGCATTGGGAGCGTGGAGTCTTAGCCACTGGACCACCAGTGAAGTCTCTAGTCTCCCTGTTTTTGCTTTGGTCTCTAGAAAGTTCACAGCCAAATCTGCCACCCCCACCCTCACCCCCAGCAACTACACAGGGACTTCTAAGTAGCACTACTGGTAAAGAATCTGCCTGCCAATGCAGGAAACATAAGAGACGCAGGTTCGATCACTGGGTAGGCAAGATCCCCTGGAGGAGGGTATGGTAACCCACTCCAGTATTCTTGCCTGGAGAATGCCATGGACAGAGGAGCCTGGTGGGCTACAGTCCATGGGGTTGCAAGGAGTTGGACACGACTGAAGTGACTTAGCATGCATGCATGCACCCTCACGCCCAGCAACTGCACAGAGACACAAGGTGTTCATTCTGAATTCTGTTTAGACTCTTGTCTTCATCGGTTTCTCTTATTTATTGCCTTTGCCACAATGTCACACATAGCATCCGTGTTTTTGACTGGCGTGTGTGTGTGCGCGCTCAGTCAGTAGTGTCCAACTCTGCGATTGTAGCCCTCCTGGCTCCTCTGTCCATAGAATCCTCCAGCAAGAATGCTGGAGTGGGCTGCCGTTTTCTTCTGTAGGAGATCTTCCCAACCCAGGGATCGAACCCGCATCTCCTGTGCCTCCCTGTGTTGCAGGAGGATTCTTTACCCATTGAGCCATCAGGGAAGCCTGGTGGTGCCAGGAAAGTCTGCAGGGGGAGGGGAGCCTCGCACAGGACCCCGTGGTGGTCTCTGTCCCCTTCCCCACCGCATGAAGGTCAGGCCGTCCTGGTGCCGGGTTCAGTTCAAAGGCCGGGTGCTCAGTATTTGCAAACACTCCTCTCTGGGAAACCCATGGATGGTCTTTCAGGGGCGATTGGCGCCAAGTCTGACGGGCAGTGGTGGGTGGGAAGTCCCCTTTTTCTGGACTCCAGCAGCCCTAGCCTGCGGCTGCCACACAGGCCTCGTGGCGAGCCCCATCCTGGGGGCCCCGGGTGGGCAGGGCTCTGTGTCCTCCGGGGAGCCATCAGAGCCCAGAGCAGAAGAGGGGTCGTGTTGTCCACAACAAACGCAAACCCTGCCCTGCAGGGTCTGGGAGATGCCCCGCACATCTGTGCAGCAGTCTGGGGCATCCTAACGACTGTGAGTGCTTGTCTCTCAGCTGCGGTGGGGCCCTGAGGGGACCCCCGACTCCAGGTGAGAGGACCTCCCTCACCAGAGCAGTTCACGGCTCGGCTGTTCCCAGATACTCGATCAGGCCCCCGGAGCCTACTGCAAGGATGCTCGGCCGCTTCCAGCCCACTGTGATCACCCGACGGACAGACGGACACCCCCATCTTCCCCGGTCACAAGGTCCTGCTCCGTGGTTGCCAGCGGGGCCTGACGGCTGGCAGAGAGCTTCGGCTGCGCTGCCCCGGGTGTCCCCAGAGCTGTCCTGCAGTTTAAGACAGTTCATCTCCGCACGCCTGTGCCTGGGAACCGCCCCTGTGAACGCACGTGTTGGTCCCTGCCGCCTAGTGACCGGGCCTTCCCTCTGCTTCCTGCCCCGCTGGTCTTGGCCGTGGGCCGTGGTTGCAGCCGCAGCTACGCAGGCTGATTCTGGGTCCCAGGATCTGAGATAACGGTGCACCCTTGTAAGACTGGAGCTCAGTTCTCTAACTCTGCAGGGCATTTGCCTTCTAGTGTGTTGTTTGGGAACGGTTTTGGCCTTACCCGCTAACCAAAGCCTCTTAAATGCCTGTGACCCCCTTGAGGCCTTGCTGAGATGCTCTGTCTGTGTGTGAGGTGAGGCTCCTGAACTCTAGCTGGAGACACACCTATGACCACATCCTGCGGGTATCTGGGGAGAAATGCATCCTTCTCTTTGGCACAAATCAATAACCTATCGAATAGAAGGAAATCCATCTCTCTAAGCTAATGGCTGGTCATAAAACTTTATCTTAAGAATTAGCTTTGTGATCCACACTCATAATCATCCCAGATAAGTAGAACAAATTTAACACAAATAAACGGAGCCGTTTCATGGAGAAGTTTAATGACTTCTCTCCCCCGATGTTTCCGCGGTGAGTCATGTGATGACAAATTGAGTCAAGAGGAATTTTGCTGAATCAAGGCTTTACCCAGATAATATTAATCATGATACAGACCTGTTAACACTCTAAGGCTTTCCCCAAACAAGAACTTATAGTCAATTGTAAAAGGCAGCCAGGAAACTCACTCAGATCCTCTGTTTCCAGACTCATTCCTGACCATACTATGAAAGCTTGCTGCCTCCCCTCACTGGTCCCTGCTCCCAACAGCAGGACCCCAGGCCTGACTGTTGCAAGGCCCAGCGGGGAGACAGCTCAGAGGACCCAGAGCTGCTGCCCGGGGATCCCCCCAGCCAGGAGGGCCCAATTGCCTCGCTCCGGGCTCCCCCGGCGCACTGTCCCTCACCGCTGATGCCCTGGTCACTCACTCCAGGTCCACCCTGCAGGACAGAGGCGCTTCCCGCGGTCCTCTTTGACGTACGTCGTCTCCCCACAGATGGAGAAGGAGAGGGGAGGCATCCCTTGAGCGGCTCTGGTTAGGAAACCTGCCGACCTCGCAGCCCCTCCGCCCGGCCAGACCTTATCAGCTGACCCAGCATGGATCAGGGTCCTTAGAGGTTTCCAAGCACATCTGGAGGGTCAGGGGAGGGGAGCACACAGCAGCTTTCTGCGTCTTTCTGTGCTTTTCATAAAAGAAAAAAACGATCATCTCCAGCTCCATCTGTTTTCTTTTTCAGATAAAATCTATTTTAGGCCAGAAGTATGCACTCCACTTCACCACGCTCGCCTCCCCGGCATTTGGACGTGGCCGCATTTGTGGGTGGCCACAGCTGCACTGATCTGTCCCCCCAACGTGCTTGGGGCCGGGTGGGGGGTCAGGCCCGGGGAGTGTGGCCTGCACAGGCGAGCCTGGGGGAAGCTCGTAAAGAAAAGCGTATGCGCCCCCACCGGGGGCCTGTGGCTGTCCGGGGCCCCCACCCTTGACTCCCATGGGCTCCGGGATCCCCATGCACTCCCAGGGCCTTGCCCAGCCGGATGAGCCCCCTCGGAAGGGGTCTCCTCAGAGGCAAACTCCAGAAACTGGGAGCAGCACCCAGGGAACCTTCGACAGGCACCACTTCCTGCACCAGTGTTTCCATCTCCTAAAGCCCGAGCAGAGTAGGTCAGGGCCTCCCGGGAAACAGAAGCGAACTGAAATCACTGTCTTGAGAGCTTTTCAACAAGAGCGATGGGTTCCCTGCAATCCCAGGCCTGAGCTCTTTCTGGACCTCGATGCTCAGGCAGAGGCTGGTCGGACACGCGGAGCTTCAGGCCGCATCTGCCAACCCGGGAGGCGGCCGCACACCCCGGCAGGCTGGAGAGGAGCTGCGTGTGTGCCCAACCAGGGAGCCCTTCACTGGCCCATGGGGCACTCCTCCCCCTCACACCAGCCCGTCCCCACCCCCACAGCCTCGGAGCATCCCCGCAGAGCAAGCCCTGTCTACTGGGCTAATGTGAGATGAAATCAGCCACCTCCCCTGCGGGGAGTGTCCGACTCTGTGTGACCCCATGGACTGTCACCCACCAGGATCCTCTGTCCGTGGGATTCTCCAGGCAAGAACACTGGAGTGGGTGGCCTTTTCCTCCTCCAGGGGGTCTTCCTGGCCCAGGGATCAAACCCATGCCTCCTTTGTCTTCTGCACTGGCAGGCGGTTTCTTTACCTCTGAACCACCTGGGCTAGCATGAGCTGAAACCAACGGTGTTAGCCACTCAGTCATGTCCGACTCTACAACCCCACGGGCTGTAGCCCACCAGGCTCCTCTGTCCATGGGATTCTCTAGGCAAGAATACTGGAGTGGGTTGCCAGTTCCTTCTCCAGGCATCTTCTTGACTCAGGGATCGAACCTGGATTTCCCACATTGCAGGCAGATTCTTTACCATCTGAGGTACCAGGGAAGCCCACTCCTCCTGGTAGGATGGGCTAAAATTCAGCTGTGCTGAGTTGAGGGGCTAAAGCAAAATGTTAACTCTCATTGGTGATAGAAAGATAAATATGCAGCTAAATGTATGATAAAAGAAGAAAACATTCTTCCAGTCCATTGTTAGCAACGAGAACAGACATTTTCTCAGGAAGCATGTTAATTCTTTCCTTGGAGGTCGCCAGCCGGTGGGAACGCTGGTGCGTGAACAGGAGGCCCAGAGGCCTTGGTGCAAATCCTCCCCGGGAGGCCAGTCTGTCCAGGCCTATTCTTGTCCACCTGGAGCCTGACAGAGACTCAGTGAGAGCTCACGTCTGATTCAGGGTAGTGTGCTTGGAAATACCAGCAGGACTTTCGAGACACTAGGACAAAATCAGCCAAAAACTCTAAAAACAACAAAGGGTCGGGACAACAAGGAGTAGAGAAGGAAGCAACAGGAGGGCAGAGTGCACGTCCTCCTCTGAGGACGGAAGGCTGGCCCGCCCGGCCCGCAGACCCACTGTCTCCGCAGACGCCCCAGGGGCCGGTCACCGGCGGGAGGTGGTCTGGGCCTTGTGAGGACGACCCTGCGGGGGATGGGAAGAGAGCTTCCTCCCATGGGAAGCGGACCCAACTCAGGACTCCCTCTCGGCCTGGTGTCAGGAGCCGCGGCAGCCCCGGCTGGCGGCCCCTCGGGGCCTGAGTCCGCGGCAGGCTTGGTGTTTCTGCACTTCTCCTGGGCGGGCTGGGCGCGTGCTGAGGTCCCTGCAGGCGGGCTTCGGGGTGGGCAGGCCCGGCCGCACACGGGGAAAAGGCCCATCGGGCCTTTCCTTCCCTCCTCGTCGCCCCAGGAGAGTTTTCATCTTTTTCTAGGATGACAATCAGAACCAGATGTTTCTCCAAACAGGGGAAGGCCCACGGCCCGGCCTGCGCACAGTGCCCCTGGGAGCAGGCCAGGGCCCCTGGAGCTGCCGGGACCCTGTGGGGCCCAGAGCCACACTCAGGTGGGCCCCTGGGGCACCGGCTCGCGCAGCAGGCCCAGGGGCTGCACGCTCAGGGCTTGCCTCCTGCTGTCCCTGCTCCGTCCCCCATGTCCCCTCCTTGGGCTCGGTGACCCCCGGAGTCGCCCCGCTCCAGGCTGGCCTCGTGATCGCTCTGCTGGGCTTCCCCAGGGCCTGACTCAGCCCCCAACTTCCCAGCCCCAAATCCTTTAGCAGGTTGGTCAGCATGAACCAGGAGCGGCGGTCGTGGGGTCAGGGTTGCCAACCGCCTGTCGGAAGAGTGTTCTCAGGGCCTGGGGCCGTGGTGAGCAGCGGGTCAGTGGCGGGAAGCTGCGCCCCAAGCCGCTTGCCTCCAGGGCTCATCGTGAGCAAGGGCACCCATCACCTCCAGCAGCCCTGACCACAAACCCCCTCTAAGTCCTGTCCCTGCCACGCCCAGTTGTGGCAGCCACTAACCAGACGCCACGGGGCGTCAAGATGTGCCAGGGTGACCAACGCCCGACACCTGGGTCTTGCATTTCATGTGACTTGAACTCATTTGGATTTAAGTAGCCTCACCTGGCCCGTGGCCCCCAGCAGGACACGGCAAGCTCTGGGGGTAAAACGCGAGATTGTTAAAAAGTGAACAGCTGTCGAGATGCTGCTGGGGAGTGTGGCAGAGCCAGCAACCCTGGTGTCCGCCGCCGCGAGTGACTTTCTTCTGCCTTGAAGGACCCTTTTAGTCTCCACTTTGAACTCTCACAGACTCCCCAGTAACGTGGAATTCCCTGTCACCGTGAACAATGTAACTGCATCTTCTCATTCATCTATTTAAGCATTCACTCAAACCAGTCAATCCTAAAGGAAATCAACCCTGAATATTCATTGGAAAGATGATGCTGAAGCTGAAGCTTCAGTACCTTGGCCATCTGATGCAAAGAACTGACTCATTGGAAAAGACCCTGATGCTGGGAAATATTGAAGACAGGAGAAGGGGATGACAGAGGATGAGATGGTTGGATAGCATCACCGACTCAATGGACAAGTTTGAGCAAACTCCTGGAGATGGTGATGGACAGGGAAGCCTGGCGTGCTGCAGTCCATGGGGTCACAAAGAGGCAGACAGGACTGAGCGACTGAACAGCAGCAAGCATTCACTCAGCGTTCACTCGGCAAAGCCTAGGAAAACGAAAACTGCATTTTTATTCTGATGCTGATCTTACTGAGCAGTTTTCTTTCAGAGCGTGGTTTTATTTTTATTGAGGTACAATTTATGTAGCATAGAATTCACCCATTATAAGTGTGCAAGTCAATGGTTTTCGGTAAATTTATAGAGTTGTGCAGTCATCACCACAATCCAATTTAAAAACATTTCTGAAACATTTCCATCACCCCAAACCAAAATGTTCCCTTGTGCCCATTTGCAGCCAGTCTCTGCCCCCATATCCAGCTCCAGGCAAACATTGCTATGTGTTCTGTCATCATAGACTTGAGTCTTCTGACATTTTACATGAGTGGACTCATACAAGGATTTTGCTGAGCATAAAGTTCCTGACATCCATCTATGCAGCTGGGTCAGTACTCTGTTCCTTGCTGTCCCCCAGTGTTTCTATTGTACACACGCCACATTTCGTCCGTCCAGTCACCAGCAAGTGGACACTTGGATTGTTTTAGGCCTGTTATGGATGGTGCCATTTTGAACATTCTCATCCAAGTCCTCGTGAAGAGCTGTGTTTTCATGTCTTTGGGGTGTTGATTAGCCTGCTTGGGCTCTTATAACAAGCACCACAGACCGGGTGTCTTGAACACAGTGAGCCTTCATTGCTCACAGTCCGGGATGCTTGACCTCCAAGATCAAAGTGCAGGCAGATCAGGTGTCAGGTGGGAAGCCGCTGCCTGGTTCGTAAGCAGCCTTCTTGCCGAGTCCTCGTGTGGTGGATGGGGGCAGGGAGCTCTCTGGGGTCCTTTTCATAGGAGCATTGATTTCATTCATGACAGCTCCACCTTCACGATCTACCCACCTCCCGAAGCCCTACCCCCTAACGCTGTCACCCTGGGAATTAGGATCTCAACACATAAATTTTGCGGGGACTCAGACATTCAGACGAGAGCAGGTAGATACTAATGGAGACTCAACTCTCAACATCTCGGAAAGCTGCCAGCTGCTTCCCACAGTGACTTTGCCATTAACATTCCTACCAGCCATGAATTGCTGTTGCTGTTGCTGTTGTTCAATCTCTAAATTGTTTCCACCCCATGGACTGCAGCACACCAGGCCTCCCTGCCCCTCACAATCTCCCAGCGTTTGCTCAAATTCATGTTCACTGAGTTGGTGATGCCATCCAACCATCTCATCCTCTGTCGTCCCCTTCTCCTCCTGCCTTCAATCCCTCCCAGCATCAGGGTCTTTTCCAATGAGTCAGCTCTTCGCATCAGGTGGACAAAGTATTGGAGCTTCAGCTTCAGCATCAGTCCCTCCAATGACTATTCAGGACTCATTTCCTTTTGGATTGACTGGTTTGATCTCCTTGCTGTCCGAGGGACTCTCAAGAGTCTTCTCCAGCACCACAGTGCAAAGGCATCAATAAGGAAGTGGCTCAGCCTCCTTTATGGTCCAGCTCTCACATCTGTATATACCTACTGGAAAAACCACGGCTTCAATTCCTCCACACCCTGCTCATCACTCAGGTTTGCCTGTCCTTCTGATGGCAGCCATTCTAGCGGATGCAAAAGCGAAAGTCTCTGTAGTTTGACTGCATGAATCTCATGTCCAATGAGCCCAAGCATCTCTTAATGGGTTTAATAGGGGATTTTGATTTTTAATTAATTAATTTTTGGCTGTACTGGGTCTTCATTTCCATGTGCGGGCTTTTCTCTGGTTGTGGTGCATGGGCTTCTCACTGTGGTGGTTTTCTTGTGCGGAGGCTCTGGGGCATGCAGGCTTCAGTAGCTGCAGTTCACGGGCTCTAGAGCTTGGGCTCAGTAGTTCTGGTTGTGGTTCTCACGGGCTTCGGTGCCCTGCTGTGCGTGGGATCTTCTCAGACCAGGGATCAAGCCCGTGTCCCCTGCATCGGCAAGCAGATCCTTAACCACTGGGCAACCAGGGAACTCCCAATCTTTCACTCATTTTAATTGGATTGCTTATCTTCTTATTAAATTGTCAGAATTCTTTACATAGTCTGGATACAGGTCCTTTACCAGATACATAAATTCTAAGTAATTTCCCCCTGTCCATGACTTGTCTCTTCCTTTCCTTAATGATGTCTTTTGAACTGCAAAAGTTTTTAATCTTGATGAAGTTCAATGTATCCTTTTTTCTTTCATAGATTATGCTTTTAGCATCAAGATTCAGAACACTTTGCCTAAGTCAAACTCCCAAAGATTTTCTTCTGTGTTTGTTCTCTAGAGTTTTCAGTTAGGTCCACGATCCTCTTTGAGTTAATTTTTGTGGACGACGGGAGGTAAGGGTCTAAATTCGTCCTTTGGCCTGTGGATATCCACTCATCCCAGCACTTTCATGGAGAAGACTCTTTTCTCCGTTGATTTTCCTTAGCACTTTTGCGGAAAATGAAGTGACCACAAATGTAAGCATTTTTTTTATGAACCCTTATTTTTCACTCCGTGGTCTCTATCTCTAGCTTATGCCAAAGGTGTACAGCTATGCTTACTGTGGCTTTAGAGAAAGTTTTAAAATCCTCCTCAAAGTGTAAATCATCCTTTTGTTCTTCTGTTTCAAAATCATTTCGGATATTCTAAGTCCTTTGCATTTACAAATAAATTTTATGGTCAGTTTGCCAATTTCTACCAAAAATTCTGCTGGGATCTTTACAAGATTCAATTGACTGTATAAATCAATTTAGGGAGAATTATGATTTTGAGAATATTGAGTCTTTCCAATTCCTAAACATGGAATATTTCTCCAGTTATCTAGATCTTTAATTTCTCTTAGCAACTGCCACTTCTGAGGAGCCAGGAGCAAAAGCAGAGTACTGTGCGTGCCCCCTGCATGTAACACTGACAAGGGTGGGCAAACCACCCAAGTCACCCCTCTGGCCCGACCCCTGGACTCACCCCACCCTCACTCCATATAAGGAACCAGCTCACTCCTCCTGGGGAAAGAGCAAGGGAAGCTGTTGTCTGTTCTCATCCTCCTGCTGCAGCAGCGGCCCCGACAGAGCTGTGCCTGGATTTCTTGTCTGCTGATTAAAGAGCAAGAACCGTGGTTGGTATCACAGCCACAGCCACACCTCCCCCAGGCCAGGGGCTCTTTCCACTGGGCATTTTTGTCCCTCTTTTTCCAGGCAGATTCTCTACGTGTATCCGTGACTGTGACAGATTCCATCAGCATTTCAGCTTTTGTAGAATTTGTCTCGGTTTGGATGAGACATTAAATCCTCTGGCCACCATCAGAGGTTAAACACAAGGAAGATTTTTGATAGAAACACCCAGGTATATTGACATTTCCATTCACAAATTTCCACCTTAACAATACTACTAAGTCTGTCTCCTTTCAAATTCTAGGTACAACATTCACCATCATTTTCTGCATGAGACATAACTTGAACTCTGTGGCTTCTGCAGTGTTGGTTGCTTTTTTGTTTGTTTTTAATTTGTACTGGAGTATAGTAGCTTTACCGGCTTCCCTTGTGGCTCAGCCAGTAAGGAATCAGCCTGCAATGTGGGAGACCTGGGTTTGATCCCTGGGTTGGGAAGATCCTCTGGAGAAGGAATAGGCTACCCACTCCAATATTCTTGGGTTTCCCTGGTGGCTCAGCTGGTAAAGAATCCACCTGCAATGCAGGAGACCTGGGTTTCATCCCTGGGTTGGAAGATCCCCTGGAGAAGGGAAAGGCTACCCACTCCAGTATTCTGGCCTGGAGAATTCCATGGACTATACAGTCCATGGAGTCTCAAAGAGTTGGACATGACTGAGCGACTTTTGCTTCTTCTGGATGAGTCTGTTTGTTTCAGAACAAGGTCAAATTGTATTTCCCGTCTGGTCACCACCAGGAAAACTGCACTTCCCAGAGTCCCTTACAGCTGGTGTTCTGGATGTAGTTTGGGTGCAGCCTGATTGCAGGAACTTGGGCGTGATTGGAAGGCAGACATGGCCACTGTAGGCAAGCCTGTGTGGCCAAACGTGGTGATGGTCACAGCAAAGGCGGGGCGGAGGGTTTCTGGTCTCCGGTTTCCTCGGCTTCAGGAGTGGGACCACTGCCTTGCCTGTGTGAGCAGACCCCCCTTCACTGCCCCAGCCCACAGGGATCTTTAAGTCCTTACAGCCCAGGCTGAATCTGTTTCTGCTTCTAATACACGTGTGTGCTCGGTCCTGTCCAACTCTCTGGGACTCCATGGACTGTAGCCCGCCAGGCTCCTCTGTCCATGGGATTCTCCAGGCAAGAACACAGGAGTGGGTTGCTGTGCCCTCCTCCAGGGGATCTTCCCAACCCAAGGATCGCACCTGCGTCTCCTGCATTGGCAGGTGGATTCTTTCCCTGGGAAACCCCTTTATGCTTCTAATGCTGGAAATGACTTCTTTGAATTGACAGGTTGCTGCATCCCCTGCGAAGAACCATCTGGAAAATCCCACACTCACTTCTGCTCACCACCCGTTGGCCGAATGCAATCTTACAGCCACAGCTGTCTGGTGGGAAATGGGTACCTGCGGCCCTGAACACATCAAGGTTCTGTTTCTGAGGAGGGCACTGGGGCAGACAATGTTAAAACAGGCAACCAGCTTTGGCCGCCGAGTCCCAGCTGGTTTACTTCCTTCCCTGGACCCAGAGGTGGTTGGATGGCATCACCGACTCAATGGGCGTGAGTTTGAGCAAACTCCGGGAGATGGTGAAGGACAGGGAAGTCTGGGGTGCCGTAGTCCATGGGGTCGCCCAGAGTCAGACATGACTGAGCAACTGAAAAACGACAAATGTACCCAGAAATGGGTAGCGTGGTTTCTGGAGCATCGTAACCCCCAATAAATACAATCATCTCACTGCAGCCATCGGGTTGAAACGGTAGACACAGGGGGATCCCCAAGTGAAGGCTCACCTGGGGGCCAGGTGTGCAGGGACCGTGTTGTTTGAGGAGTTTGTGCCCCAGGACGGCGGGTCCTGGGGGAGCCTCGGTCACCACGCTCGTGCTCCCGGCTGACCTCCCGGGCTTCCAGCAGCCAGCATCCGGGGTCCGCTTCCTCGGACCGGACTGGGCGCTGGCTGAGGATCGCCCCTGCTTGCTGTCCCGGGCCCCTGGAGCCCCTGACTCTGAGCCTCCTCCTCTCACTCCAAGCGCAGCCCACCCTCCGGCGCGCAGACAGGTCCCTTCTGCTGTGCTGTGTGTCTGCCTTCCCGCCCCCACCGGGATGTCACTTATGGACACTTCTCCCGTCCACCCGCCAGCGCCCAGGTGGAGAGAGCAGCCAGTGCGTCCACACGGAGGCAGTGACGGCCCAGAGGGTGGCCGAGCTGCGGGGCCGCCAGGCTGGGCCGTCCAGGGCGCCTGGGTCCCCCTCATTCCTGATCCGGCGGAGCAGCCGGCAGTCTTCTCCACTCCCTGGGGTGGTGGGCTTTACCCAGGACCCCCCAGCAGAGCAGGGGATGTTAGGAGAACCCCACCCAAGCACCCTAAGCCTGCCCACCAGGAAGTCTTGCTTTCTAAGTCAGCTTTCCCCCGGCATGGTGGGGGTGGCTCTCGGTGTCTGATGCGCTGTACCACTGTCCCCCCCAAAGTGTAAGCAGGGTCGGGGCTCAGGCTCTGGCGGGGGTGGGGGGTGGGGTGGGGGGTCTTAGGGGGATATGGACAAGGTTGGGGATCTGCCTGAGGCTGCAGCTCCAGGAATCGCCAGCAGGCGGCGCTGGGATCACAAGGCTGCCCCCAGGAGCATCTGGACAGGTTGGGGGCTACCCCACTCTCCTCTCTGCCCCCAGACGGAAGCCTGTGCCCCTCTGCAGCACCTTATGGTGGCGACGCCTCCTCAAACCTCAGAAAGCCTCCCCCGTTGCCGCCTCTCGCCCCTGATGAGGGCGGGACAGGGTCCAGGGGTGCTCCCGGTAACCCCCCAATCCAGGGAGAGAGGCCTGGAGAAGGTGGACCCCCCACCACCACCCTGACTCCCGCAGGAACTTCTGCAAATCCATCAGACCAAGTGACCTGCGCGGAACTGTGTCTCACACTCCGTCAAACCCACTCGACATATTTAATTACAAGCCCTGTCTGGGGTTGACATCAATCTCCACGTCCTCAAGGCCCCCGGGGGGCGGCTCTGCGTCCCCAGCCACAGGTGCGGGGGTCAGGCGGGGATTGGCGCTCAGCAGAGCCCGATCCAGTGCGGGCTGCGTCCTGACGCCCAAACCCAGGCCGGGGACAAGGCAGCAGAGAGGGGGTCCCAAGGCCCTCAAGCACGAGATGGGCCCAGCGGGGTCTTCCAAGCCCCCCTGCCACGTGGCCCGGAAGGTTCCAGATGAAGGGTTCCCTGGGAACTAGTGCTCGTGGGACCCTCCAGAGGCCCTTGTGGGTGTCACTGTTCCCGCCCCTCCCTGGGGGGAGCAGACCCCCCACACGCACATCGCTGGTGACTCCGCAGCGTCTGGGTCCTGGATTCCTGCCCGGTTCTCCTGTCCGACCCACACCCAGGACTGAGACGACATCCATCCCCGAGGGAGGGCCCGTGGTCCAGGGCTGCCCGCCACCCTGCTCTCACTCATCTCTGGTTCCCCTTTCATGCCTCACAGGCCCTGCCCTCCTCCAGGGCACAGCCTCGGAGGGCACGTTCCCTGGGGCCCTGGGCGGCATCCACCTATCCCGGCCCTCAGCCCCCCAGACCCCACAGGTGCAGCTGGGTGACTCAGAAGGACAACAGGGGACAGAGGGTCCCAGGCTGGGTGGGGTCTGCTCAGCAGGTGACGCTTGCCTTCTGCTCCATTCTGCTTGGACCTGGGGACACCGGCCCAGGCCCTGGTCCAGAGCCCAGGAGCCCCACAGGAGGTGGAGGATGGACATCGCCCTTCCTGGGGGGCCCCCAAGGATGGGGACAGAGGCTCAAAACCGTCTTCAGATGCAGGGAGCTGCTGAGAGCCTCACGCCCTCCCCTCAGAGAACACTGTATGCAATGTCAAGGGAGTCAGGAGGTCTCAGAACTGCAAAGCCTCCAGACTCTTGGGGGACACCAGGTCAAGAACCCTGGTATAATGGACCCTTTCAGACGTTGACCCAGCAGGGCCAGTGTCCCCTGGCTCCCCCTGGAAGGCTCCGTGTGAGTCTCCCGGGGATCTGGTAACAAACCACCAGATTGCTGTTCAGTCGCTAAGTCGTGTCTGACTCTTTGAGGCCCCATGGACTGCAGACACCAGGCTTCCCTGTCCTCCACTGTCTCCCAGAGTTTGCTCATAATCCACGCCCACTGAGTCAGTGATGCCATCCAACCATCTCATCCTCTGTCGTCCCCTTCTCCTCCTGCCTTCAATCTTTCCCAGCATCAGGGACTTTCCCAGTGAGTTGGCTCTTTGCATCAGGTGGCCAAAGGATTGGAGCTTCAGCTTCAGCATCCGTCCCTCCAATGAATTTTCAAAACTGATTTCCTTTAGGATGGACTGGTTGGATCTCCTTGCTGTTCAAGGGACTCTCAAGAGTCTTCTCCAATACCACAGTTCAAAAGCATCAATTGTTTGGTGCTCAGCCTTCTTCATGGTCCTGTTCTCACACTAAAGAGGGGGCTTGAGACAACCGAAATTGACTCCCTCGCGGTTTGTTGGGCAGGAGCTGAAAGTGAGGTGCCAGCAGGCTTCCCCACCCCCCGAGGCTCAGGGCGCAGCCTCCCCACCTTCTTAGTACCTGGTACTCCAGTACCCCTCGGCTTTTGGCTGCATCACCCCAGTCTCTGCCTCTGTCCCCATGGGGCCCCTCCTCCATCGCTTTCGGGGGCACCTGTCATTGGGTTGAGAGCTGCCTGAGCCATCTGGGATGGTCTCCTTTTGAGATTCTCATGTAAGTCCATCTGCACACCCACTGGTTCCCGGGGGTAGGATGTGGGTATCTCTTGAGGGACCATCGCTCCTCACTGCTGCCTCTCTCGAGGGCAGAGGGGCTGGCTGCCAGGAGTGAACATCTCTGGGCAAGTGCAGGCAGTGCCCCGCTCTGACGCAGCTCAGTACAGGGAGGGGCCGAAGCCGTCAAGGATGCTTCTGACTCGTGTGCAATGTTAGGCTCTTCCTTGGGCCGTGAGCCCCCTGCCCACCACTGTCCATCCTGGCCCGCCCCTCGCTGCCTCAGGGGCCACCGGCAGCCCATGGCCACGGAGGGCGTGGAAGCAGAGCCCACCCTTGTGGGGCTGCTGCCCGATGCCCCTGCTGCCCAGAGGGTCTGGTGCCAAGTCTCCAGGGGAAATCAGGGCGCAGGATCGGCCTGAGGTCACTGTCGGGAGGAAGAGCCGCCACCCCAGTCTTGGGAAGAGCCCTGCCTGCCCGGTCACCTCCATGTCTCTGGAGAGTATTTGGGGAGGGGGACGGGAAGGGGGCTCCATTTAAACTGGGGCTCAGGGGGGAAGAGGGGTCCTGGGAAGAAGGGAGGAAGGCATTCCTGGCGGAGGCCAAGGCCGGAAGGCAGGGCTTCCACGGTGGCTTCCAGGAGGCCCACCCACAGTGGGGAGTGACCTCCTGCCCCAGACTGGCAGTTTCCAGGGGATTCCGAGATCGGGGACGGCTGGCCAGGCCCCCGGGCAGGCCCTTCACTGTTTCGCGGGCCGTGGACACCTGGACGGGACGCGGGAGGCCCCTCGGCTCAGGCAGCTGGTGAGCAAGCAGGACGCTGCCCGGGAGGAGCCAGGCGCCTCCGCGTCCATCCCCTCACCCGCCCGCCTCTGCGGCCAGGGTGCCTCCTCACCCGCGGCTGCTCATCCTTCCAGCCTCAGGGAAGCTCTCTCTGCTCTGCTCCAAGACGGCCATTTCCCCATTTTACCTTCCTAGAGCGCGTGCCTTACAGGTTGGTAGCAGCTACGTGGGTTCCCCAGGAAGCAGGCCCGCTGGGTGCCGCGGGGATCTGCCTGCAGAAAGGCCGGGGGTGGGGGCAGGCTGGGCAGAGGGAGATGCTGAGCTGTGATGAAGTCTCAGCGAAGGCCTCAGCTTCCCCGAAGCTCTAGGGATGGACGATCCTCCACCCTGCCGGTCCCCGGGTGAGGGGCTGCCCTCCGTGGGCCCCTGATGGTCTTGGGTGTGGGCTGAGGGCTGAGGGCATATGGACCTTCCACCGTGCAGGGTCCAGGGGCACCTGTGCAGTCTCCCCTCTAAGAACCAGGTTCAACTTCTATAAGTGTGTGGAGCAGCTACGGACAAGGAAAGGACTGAGGAATGGAGCATCTCCTGCCATACCAGTAAACAAGGGTGTCACAGCCACCAGTGGTTCCGGCCCTTCAAATGTGAATTTCTGGGCCTGGAGGGTGCCTAGGAAGGACAAGGCCTCCCATCTGGCCATAGGGAGGCCGCCACCACATGTGTGTGAGCGGTGACGAAGGATGTGAAACTCAAATCGCAGGATGCCGGCCCCAGGCAGCTGTAGACGAGCAAGAAAGCAATGAGTTCAGCCCAGACTCCTGCGTCTTCCCATACAGAGAAAAGTGCTAAACTCCTCAACCTGAGATACCTGGTTTTTCTTAATTAGCACTAACCTTCTGATGTTCAGAATACCTGCCCGTTGTTGCAAACTTCTGTATAACCTGACGCCCCCTACCCCGTCCTCCTTGGAACAGTTTTCTCAGTCACTTGAGATGCTGTCTTCCAGGCTTGAAGTCCTAAAAATGCTCACCCAACAAATTGCTTCCCAGGTGGCTCAGGAATAGAAAACCCACCTGCCAGTGCAGGAGACTCGGGAGACCTGAATTCAATACTTGGATTGGGACAATCCCCTGGAAGAGGAAATGGCAACCCACTCCAGTATTCTTTCCTGCAGAATCCCTTGGACAGAGGAGCCGGACGGGCTACAGTCCATGGGGTTGGAAAGTGTCAGACATGACTGAGCATGCACACTCAGTTTTGAGGTTATGATTATTTTTTAAGTCAGCAGTACCATGCGAGCTTCCCTGGTGGCTCAGATGGTACAGAATCTGCCTGTAATTCAGGAGACCGGGGTTCAATCCCTGGGTCGGGAAGATCCCCTGGAGGAGGGCATGCATAGCAACCCGCTCCAGTATTCTTAGCTGGAGAATCCCATGGACCGAGGAGCCTGGTGGGTTTCAGCCCATGGGGTCACAGGAGTCGGACACGACGGAGCAGTCACGCTCAGTACTTAGGCTGTGGTTCTTTAAGTCGACAGTGCGGTGGGGCACCGTATCCCCCCACCCCCCGTCCCCCACAGTTGGCTTCTTCAGGGGCTGTGCCCCAGGGGGGACTGTTAATGGCTTTCAGCACACAGGAGGTGGGGTGGGAATGCCCTTCTGGGCTGGGGCGGAGCTCAGGGAACATGCTAGAAACCACTTTCCCTGCACTTTTGGTTTTCCTCCAGAACAGCTAACTGATTCCTTAAGGAAACGGCTCTGTGAGACAGAAGCTGGGAAATGTCAGCCTCCAATCGGCACTGGCCATCTACCCCTATGAGGATTAAATCAGGCACTTCTGTAGCCGCTGACCTTCAACCACCCCCTGAAAGGAGGTAAAGGTGCAGAGCAGAAACGAGGCTTCTGTGCTCCGGGAAAACAGGCAGCACAGGTCTTCAGACTGGTATTTTCAGGAGCTGGCTTGATCAGCCCAATTCTTGCATCTCCTTATACCTAGAAACGCAGAAACGCACTAAAATCCTTCATGATCATGTCTGCTCCTTGTGACCAGCCACGACCTTCGGCAAAGAAGCACGTGCTTGGTTGCACATGCTCCCCGTTCACCAAAACCACACACACTGACCTTCCCTCCTCGTCCGGGGCAGCCTCTCAGAGCCAGCTGCGGTGCTGTCTCCCGGGCCGCAGTCCTCACTTTGCCCAAGTGAACCTTAACTCCCAACTTTCACACTGTGCATATATTTTTTAAGTCGACAATGGCTTTAGGGTCGTTGTTCATGAATGTAAATGAGATGAACTGGGAGCTGGTACACTTCCTTCTGTCACAGAAGGAAAGTGCCCTTAGTGCACTGTGACAGCCCCTCCCCGTCCTGTTTGGACGCCAAGTTCAAAGTCCCAGCTTGGGTTTCTTCATCAGGTCGACACCGAATATGGAGCTTCGTCCACTCTCTGGCCCCGAAAGATATGCTCCATGTGGGGACCCGGGGTGATGGTCAGTCCAGCCCCAGGGGATGCCACCACCCACGTGCCCAGCAGCCAGGCACCCGCCCACTCCCGACTATTAAACATTAATAGTTCCAGGTGTTTCCAGCTTCCCACTGAATAATGCTGAAGTGAGCATCTCTGTGCAGGAAACATTTTCTGCGATTAGATTTCTGTCCCTGGGACCGATTCCTGGTGTGGAATTACCAGGTTGGGGCTCAGCCATCTGCAAACAGGTCTGTCTGTAGCCCTGACCATCCCCACCCAGGCTTGGCCGGAGAAGAGCTCGGTCCTCACATCCTCCCGGAACTGAGCTGAGGGCATCATTTGCATACAATCCCCGCCACCCCATCTAATTTCCATTCAAATCCTGACGTGAAGTCACGCCAGCAACTCTACCCTTAGGGAAATACCGTGGGGAAGTGGTTACAGGGGCACAGTTCAGCTCCCGGAGCAGCGGCTCAAACAATCCGGTTTCTACTCCGGCTTCTATTCAGGTGTCACGAGCCGCCCCTCGACTGTGGGGACAGCGGAGGACTTGAGGGGCCACACGCCCACCTGCTCCTTTTACAGAGAAAACCTCGGCCCCATAAAGTCAAAGGTCAAGCCCGGGTTCAAAGCCTTCTCTGACCGACCTGCCTTCGGGCAAGGCATCTGGGAAGGGCGAGGCCTGGAGGGACGTTCTCCTGGAGGGAGGGTGGGCTTTGCCTGCGCGGAAGTGGGGAGCCTGGCAGGGACTCCAACTCTAGGGCCTCGGGAGGGGGAGGGGACGGCCTGAACCCCCAGCAGTGCCTGGGCCTCCTGGCGGCGCTGAGGTCTGTCACCGCCACACGGGCTGGGGCTTCGGGGCACCTGGTTATGAGCGGAGCTGGGAGGCTGGCTCCAGGGATGCTGTGCCTGCCTCCATCTCAGGGAGGATGGCTGGGTGGGGTGGGGAGAAGCCCAGAATCTCATCTCTCCCCGGGGTGGGGGGTGCCCAGCTGTCTGTACATCCGGCCGTGTACAGGGCGCCCCCAGGACCAGCCCCACACGTCCTCGTGTGGAGTGGACCAGCCCTGATCCAGACACCGCAGGCATCGGTCCCCGTGGGTCCTCCACCCTCTTCAGTCAGCTGTGGCCTGTGCGTCAGAGTGTGGCCCCGGGGGCAGAAGACAGGGATTCAAACCGGAGGCTCGGGAAGGGGACCAGCCTGTGTCTTGGACCGCCTGATGTGCACACTCAGGCAAAGTACTAGAATTTTCTGAGCCTTAGTTTCCTCGAGGGTAAATGGGCGAGACCACACTACCCCCTCCAAGGACATGGGGGTTAAAGTAGGATGCACGGCCCAATCCATGAGCAGTCGGTAAGGAGAACCCCAATTTTTATACACTCAAGTACCAGACAAAGGGGTTTTAAGCGGCCTCAGACACTGGGAACGCTCCACTGCTTTAGCTTTGTGTATGAATCCCAACTCTTTCATGAATCAAAATGCACACTTTTCATCCCCGTTTTCCAAACTGGAGCTCACACTACCAGCAGAGAAATAAAATATGTTGTTACTTTTAAATTCAAACCAACACAATGTTTAAGCCCACTAAGGGTGTATTTTGAACAGAAATACTAAGTGCATTTAAAATTAAACTCCGAGTCTTACATGTTTAGTTAAACCATGTAACATTACCCTTTCAGTTTTGGTTGAAATATTTAGCATCGCTGAGATACTGAATGGGAAACTTCATCTTGTAACTGTCACCTTCCAGGGCTTACTTTTTTCCAGTAAGCAGTGTAACCAACTGTGAAGAACAAGCAAGGAAACAAGATGAAAAATGAGACCTCATCTTTGGCTGGTTACTGGACAACGTCAAGGAACTGTCCGTTTTTCAAGCGTGATATGGTATTGTGTCATGTTTAAGAAAACAGTCCTTATCTTCCAGGAATGTCTGCTGAAATATTTACAGGTGGGTGGCGTGCTGTTGGGATTTGCTTCAAAGTCGCCCTGTCTGCGGGGAGAGGCGCAGACTCCACAGGCGTGGGGTGCTTGCAGTGAAAGAATAAGTGGGGACACATGGTCTTAGGACTCCTCTTCTGCCGCTGTGTATTCGGCCAGACTCCCGATCCAGGCAGTGTTGGTGGAGGTGAAAACCAGTGAATTGCTATGGGGAGTGACCATTCTGATTTAATAAGAGCTGACACCTTGCAGGGCCAGCAATTCCTCTGGAGAGGGAGCCCCCACAATACCCAGGGCAGCGCAATTTGTGGATAGACCACCGGTGACAGCTACATGCCTATCAAGTCAGGAGAGCTGGGTTGTGCGTGTGGGGAACGGGCATGCAGCCGTGGCAATGAACTCCTAGAGGTGTGCCCAGGTAGAAAGTGAAAGTAAGAGTGAAAGTTGCCCAGGTGTGTCCAACTCTTTGCGACCCCATGGACTGTCCATGGAATTCTCCACGCCAGAATACTGGAGTGGGTAGCCTATCCCTTCACCAGGGGATCTTCCTGACCCAGGAATTGAACCAGGGTCTCCCGCATTGCAGGCGGATTCTTTACCAACTGAGCTATCAGGGAAGCCCATAAGGTGAGCCCAATAACACACTAAGGATGAAAAAGGCATTTACAGAAAATTCAGGCACCTTCGCACTAACTTCTACTTCTATGGTGATAAAATTATGCAGCAAAGATGCAAAAACATGGACACAAAGTCCACACATGGATTCCAGGGCAGTGTTTACCCAGGGAGGGCAGGTAAGAGGACGCTGAGCTGACCTGCGTCCTCCACGTCTATTTACCGCAATGTTCACAGCAGAGTGTGACTGTGTGCTCACCCTGAAGGATGGGCACTCCTACATGTGTGATTTTCTCTACTCAGTGTGGTTCAGGTATTTCACACTTTCAAAAGGTTAAAAAAAAAAAAAAAATCAGTGCTTTATAACACACATTAAAAAAAAATTTTCAGATAAAAATTATACAAAAGATGTCACAAAAAACCTACAGTGCAAAAATAAATCTGAAGAAAAGCTGCCCTCACGAATCTCCTTGCCTAGTGCTTGGAAAGGACACACTCTTTCAAGGCTTCTTTACATCTGACCCTGTTGGAGTAAGATCCTCTCATTTTGCATAAATTAATAAATATGTCTTCATAAATACCAGCTTAAGCATAAAAAGATGCAGGTTACACTGGAGCCTCCTGTCTCTTCACATAGTCTGCCTCAGTCAGCTCTTGCTGCAATGATGCTGCATAACAAATATCCCCCCTCAACTCACTGACTCCAGCTCCTAGGTTCTCGCCTGGGGCAGCTCTGCTTGTGTCTGGAGGTGGCTGTGTTCCATAGGTCTCACTGGGGGCCCAGAGGCCCCCGGGTATAGCATTTGGGGTTTCCAGAAAGCAGACCCTGGGTGGAGTCTGGTGAGCACCATGCTTTTTAAGGAGCATCCTTGGGGTCGACAGGTGAGAAAGGGTGAGGAAGGAAATGTGACTTGGCAGAGGGGGGAGCCCAGCTGGGGGTGGGCTGAGTCGCCCCTGAGTTGTTCTGTCTGGGGCCAATGGGACTGGGTTGTCGCCCCCTCCCCCCAGTTATGTCACTGGATGCAAGGGCCTGGGAAGGGTGTGATGGGCGGGGAGGTATGGTGGCCACGTGGAGGTGGCCGTGTTTGCAGGCTCTCAGCCTCAGGGACACAGAGCCGAGCGCCAGAGAGGCCAGGCCTCTGGTCCTTACCCTTCAGCCTCGATCCCCTCCGAGGTTGTTTGCAGACCAGGATTTTGGGGAGAAAATAGTTTGAGGACTTGAATTACTGGACATTTAAATGAAGATACATCTGTGGGCCGTCTGTACGGGTGGAGGGTGGCAGGGCTGCTGATGGGCTGGGTCCCAGGTTTCCCCCCACCCTCCACCGCCCCTCGCAGGGACCCTGACCCGGAACCGGCAAGCACGAGAGCACACGGCAGAAACCTCAGGTCGGAGGGCAATTAATGCTCTTTATTTACACCACAAGAGTGACAAGTCGCATGATGAGGTACAAATACTGGACTCCGGTGAAGTGGAGCCGGCCGTGGGGGGAGGACACCGCAGTCGGTGCAAACCCCCGCACACAGAACGAAACAAGAATGAGAAAACCAAGGACAGAATCTCCAACTCCACTGAGAAAGGGAAAGGACCGCGGGAAGGTCCAGACAATCAAGAGAGAACGAATGCAAAGCTACAGAGGAGACCGGTTTCTGCCGCCCGCTTGGCGCCCGCAGGAGCGGGAAGCGGGCGTCGGGGGTGTGTGTGGGGGGACGGGCACGCGTCCCCACCGCGTTTTCTGCGACAGACCATGAGGAGCTCTTGGGTGAATCGGGTCAACCCCCTTCTCATACAGACACATGATAATATGTTTGTCATTCTCATAAATTGGAAAATAGCGCCTCCACTGTGGAGCGCACACACCAGAAAGAAGATAAAAAAAAACAAAAAACCACAAACAGAAAATGTCTGCTTTCTTTTTCCTTCAACAGGAGGCTTTTAATCATGTCAAAGACACAAAGTGAGCTGAGCTGCGAAAGCTCTGCTTCATTACAAGGAAGAAATGGTGTCCTTTTGATGCAAAGTATGATTTTAAACCACAGTGCAGCAGAGTTCATGACTGCTGAGTGTCAAGTGAAATCCTAGCCATACATCACCTAGAAGTCAGGAAAAGTGGGCTCGGCGGTGCGGAAAGGGCCCCAGGGGCCGCGGTTTCCCCGGGGAGGGGGGGGACCAGGGAAGAAACCCGACGGGACAAGTTCCTCCAGAGCAACCTCAGGAGACGGGCGGTCCACCTCGACCTCCGCGTAGGCTCCCTAAAACACTGTCTCCACATAAATACAATAAACTCTATTATTGGTATGCCACAAGTGCTAGATAAACTTTTTCTTAATATGACAAATGTTTAAGTAGTCCTTTTATTTTTTCTTACAATAAAAAGTACAATTTCTTAAGAATAAGTTCAATAAGACGCAAACGTTTCCCCCTCCCCCACTCTCCTTCAAGGTTTTGTTTTACAGAAAAAAAAAAAATCCCCATCTTTTGTTGTCTGCAAATGTCATGGGAGGGGAACAGAAAGGCATTTCTCTTCTTCCCCAAGCTGCCGCGTTTGCGTGCAAAATCCGTATACAATATAAAGACATGCCGCTCGTACAGCCCATGCAACCTCCAGGTGTAGGAAACTTAAAAAAATATATTCATATGTATTTATATATATATTTATATATGTATCAATGCCCGTAAAACACGTGGGCCCAAAAGTCTACAAAAAGAAGAATGGAATGAGCGTGTGGCTGTGACCAGGAAAGAAGGAATGTTCCGATCGAAAATTAAAAACAAGGAACTCCATTGCTTAGTGCTGCAAAAATCAGACTTGCTTTCGTGTCAGAACCAGTACAAAATGGTCCTTCCTCTGGAAACAAACTTGGAAAGGAAGTCAAGAAAAACCCAAACACTTTGACAAAGTGGCCCTTCGGAACCGGAGGGGCGGCTAGTCCCAGACGGCCAGGGGTGGCCGGGGGACGGCTGCCTGCTGGTGGGGCTCGGGCGCCCTGAGGCGCAGCTGGAAGGCCCGAAGGGCAGGGGGACACCACGAGTCCCGCGGCATCACGGGGTTTCCTGCAAAGGGGTATAAAGTGCTCACTTGCTGACCCCCAGCCAGTGCCCCCAAGGCCTCTGAAAAGGAACAAAAAGGCTAGAGGTCCAGGGACCACAGCGGGAAGGTGTGGGTGCCCTCCCTGAGGCGGTGGGAGCTCTGGGGGCCCTCCGCCCTCTGCCCCGGACGGCTGGCCGTGGAGAAGGGCTGAGTGTGTCTTCAAAGAAAACAAAAGGCTACACGGTACTGCTTTAAGCACGCTTGTGAAGCTGGAGTGAGCTGACAAATGAAAACGGCCCCCGTCGGGCCTTCTGCAGAGGAGGTCTCTGTTGGACAAGATTAGAAGTAACCCTTTCCAACAGGACCTTGGCCACCAAGGTCACCTGTTATCCCATCACCCGTAAAAACGTCAGGTGATGTGTTTCTCCCCAGGAGCCACAGCCAACAGGAAGTGGGCAGGTGGTGGGGGATCCCAGGGGAAGGGGGACAAGGAGGCCAGAAGAGACGACTGGCTGGGCCCTGCCTCCACTGTTGAGGGGGGGACTGGGTGCCTCCAGCTGCCCCACCAACCTGGGCCTCAGGGCAAGGGGCCAGGAGGAGAGGGGACACCAGACATGTCCCTTCTTCCTGTCCTGCTCTTGACCACTGTCCTGAGTCTAACCAATAGCAACCCGATGACCAAGCCGGTCCAAGAATCTGGACTCTTTTGGTCCCAAGCCTGGCTGCGTCAGAGTCTCTTCCAGAAGCTACCCTGTAAATGTCACCAGACTTGAGACTTGGCTGGGGTTCCCTTCCCATGGGCAAGCTGCGTCTGCACTTCCTCAAGTCAGAACCCGATGCACACTCTGGAATGAAACTGGTGGCTTCAAGGGCTGGAAAATGAGTTACCACTAAAAAGTGATCCTTTTCAGTTACTGTCAAAGAGAAAAAAAAAAAGCAAAGGATAGACATCCTGATGGGGAGTCAGTCTGCTGTCCCCACGGGGTCACCAGGCATTGAGGGTCCAGGCTCCCCGCGGCCACAGGCTTCAAAGTTCAGGCCTGCGGCTCCCAGCCGGGGCCCTGCCACGTGGCTGCCGCAGAAGAGCCTGGGGAGGGTGCATAGGCCCTCTGGCTCCACGCGTGGCCGACAAGTTTACAAGCTCTTTGGAAAAGCCAAGTGAGAAATGCTATCCTGACCACGTGGCCAGAGATGTTTACACGTGAATTTCATGGATGCTCACGGCCCGTGGTGGCTGGCAAGCCCCTCAGCTCAGCACTGCGAGTATGCCCCCTGCCCACAAAGCACGGGTGGCAAAGGAAGGCTCCACGCTCTCTGTACAGCCACAGGCGGGCCCAGGCGGGCAGACCTCAGACCCCGCTGCACACTTGGTGCTCACTCTGAAAATAAACTCTGTGCTCACTGTACAAAAATAAACAAAATGAAAATAATAATAATAATAAAAAATACCTTTCAAAGTTAAAAAAAAATGTACAAGCAAAAGTTTAGAAAGGAAAAAGGTTGACGTTATTACCATTCAGAAAACTGCTAAATGGTGAGAAAAAATGTAAAATTCACAAAACAATGCTTATTCCGGATCTTTTTGTGAAAAATTTATACAAAATCAACAGCAAATTGATATCCTTTGCTATAAAACTTATCAGGTACACATGTGCATGGAGGCTTGGAGTGGGGAGGGGTCAGGTCAGAAAATAATTAAGATGAAGGTACAATCTTGCAGGGCAGGTGTCCCATGGCGAACCTGTGATTGAAAGCTCTCCAATCTGAGTTCAGAAATAACATGAGCTTCAAACTAGATCCCTATCCACAAGCACCTTGAGAGCTGAGTCACAAGCGGTTCATTCGCCAGGGACCTTTACAATCTGCATTTATTTTATATATATATACTTTTTCTATAAATGCATTATAAATATTTTATCAAGATTTCATAAGAATCAAGTTTCTTAGCTTGGAATACATTGGAATATATATTATACATATATATATATTTATTTATACCTAAAATTTTAAGCAATACTTCATGCTACTTGCTTTTAATAAAAAGCATTCCAATCGTAACACTGAAAGTGTGCCTAGGACATGCTTCACAACCAAATGGAGATGCTCGATTGTTATATGATGTACGAGAAAAAGAACACTTTGGATTCATTTAAAATTTGTTGGACTTCGAAACCCCCAACAGTATTTGCCACTATTTTGGAACTACCTCCATTTTTCTTCAACAGCAATAAAGCGAAACAGGGTGGCAGGACCTCAGCCCTCCAGAGCTGCTGGCCGTGGCGGGGACCACTTGTGAAGCGCCAGGCCAGTGCGAGCCGGCCTCCGGCCCCACCGGCCACAAGGAGCGGTCCCACCGACTCCTGCTGTTTATTTTTCTTAAGGCATTGTTCCTCGGACTTCGGAAAACCCAGCCACAAAAATCCATCAGAGCAATAAAAAAAAAGGCACAAACGCGCATCTTCCGCCGGCTTTGAGAAACCAAAGCCGCACGGGCTCACATTTCTGCTTTTGTCCAGTTTTTTTTTTTTCCCTTAAACGCTCGCCCGCTCCACTCCGTGTCCCAGCCCTACCGCGCACCCGTGGTGTGCAGGGGCTGGCCAGCGCCGGAGCAGCTAACTTTTCTCCGAAAAAGAAAGAAGCTACAGGATGAGTTGAGTGGTTTTCACGGAGACTGTGGGATTGTGGGGAATCACCAAACCATAAGCACCAGTTTTAATCAAGCTTGTTTTGTGTCGTGAGATCTTTGATTTTCATTTTCTTTTCCTCGGGTCGGCTCGCTCGGCAGGCGGCTCTGCCCCGAGCCCCCGCGGGCTCCCTCCCTCCGCGGCTGCCCTGGAGGGGGGGCCCGGAGCGCCCGCTCCCGCGCGCCCCGGCGTCTGCCCGGGTCCGGCAGGCAGAGGGCCGCCGGCTGCGGCTCGCCCCGCCGCGCCCGCGGGCTCGAAGGAGGCCGGCAGGACGCAGGGCGGCAGCAACTTTTCTCGGCGGAGCTTCAAGACGGAGACAGACAAACAGGAGACCCGCGCTCGCGGGAGCGGCTACAGGGGCGGCTCCTCTTCCATGGGCTCCTCGTCGGGGCTGTGGGGGCGGGGTGCAAGAGGAGAGGGCGGGTGGGCCGAGGTTCCCGCCACCCCAGCCCCGACTCCTAGCTATCCCTGCCCCTCAACTCCGAGCCGCCCCCGCCCCCCCCAGCTACCCCGCCCCCTCAACTCCCAGCGAACCCCGCCCCTCCCCCAGGGAAGTGTTCCTTCTGGCCCGCACGCCCTTCAAGTGTTTCTCGGGCTCTTGCTTCTGGTGCAGTCTGCCCTGGGGCCAGGGTGAGGACACCCACTCCGGGCCCTGCTGAGCTAGCACGTGGGCCCGATACAGCCGGGAGCAAAGACCGCGGTCACCCGCAGACGGCGGCAGCACCCACGGCCGGCTGGTGTCCCCGCTCACCTCTTCTCGGGGGCCTTCACGGCCACAGACAGCGAGGCCATGGCAGTAACAGTCTCGGCTTCCTCGTTCTCACACTTCTGGGCCTCGACCAGGGAGTAGCCGGTGGTGGAGGCGAGCCTCTGCAGGGAGCGCCAGTACTGGCCTGCGGAAGTGGAGGGGGGGGCGACTGCTCAGATACAGAACCCCAACCCTGCGCCTGGGCCCATGGGTCTCAAGCAGCACCCATCGCTGGCGACTTCAAAGCACCACACTCCCCAGAGACATAAGCTGCGAGGTGGCCTGGTTAGAAACTCCTAGATCATGGGAGTCTGGAAAAGCTTCCTCGTGGCCAGGAGAACCGGGCCCTGCAGGGGCAGAACACCTGGGTGGGGGTGGGGTCCCAGGAGGGTCCCTCCCTCAGGGTGGGGTGGCTGGGACAGGCACTTCCTGACTCCCAGCTGGAGCCCCGAGATGATGGGGGGTGGTGCAGGCAGCTTCCTGGTGACTCCTGGGCCACGGGTCTCTCATCCTGGAGGCCAGGAGCTCAGTGCACAGCAGGGAGACCCTGGGTCCCGCCCACGGACACGGACACTCACGACTGGGCCACCCCGCAGACCCAGGACGTAGGCGGGGCGGAAGTCCCCGGCTGTGTGCAGCCTCCTGGGCCCGGCCCCTCGAGGGGCAGGACTGGTCTCTGGGCCAAGGGTGCTCTGAACTGATGGAGTGGGGTCCTCTGGCCCAAGGGCAGAGGCCAGATCCGAGGACACAGGCCTCCGTGTGAGTCCTGGCCTGTCGGCGGGGGGCCTGGAGAAGGGACCTCACACCCCCCCGAACTGTAGCTCTTCCGCCCCACAGAGCAGAGCTGGTGACACGGCTGTGGCAGGAAGTCGGGACGTTAACCGGGGCGAGAGGAGAGTCACCGGCTCATCACATTCGCCCTGAAAGCCAGGCCTCAGCACGCGGGCCTGGGGATGCCGCTGGTGGTGAGAGAGAAGCAGGGGGTGGGGGTGGGGGGCAGGGGGGTGGGGGAAGGGCTGTGGAGTTGGGCCCCTCCCTTGGGGGGTCTCCCTGCTGAGCCTTGGGCCAGACCACTTACTGTGGATTTCAATGACTTTCTCCATCGACCGCACAGCGTTGGCGTTGGGTCTCTGCTGTAAGACCTTTTCTGGGAGAGGATCGAGCTGGAGACGAAAGAAAAATACACGGTGAATTCGAGGCCATCAGTAGAATCCCCGTGCGTGTTCAGATGGGACGTTCGGGTCATAGAATCCCTGTGCGTGTTCAGATGGGATGTCTGGATCAGCGTCTTCCTCACGTGCACGTGCTAACAGATAAGAAAGCTTGAAAAAGCCAAAGGTGGTTGTGGCATTACATAAATGTTTTCACAGAAGTAGACTTATTTTCCTTAAGGTGTTTTCCCTAGGAGGCTCTCGGGTACGTTTGTGGGCGCCTGTGTGGCCACGACACTGGCTGGTGTCCAGAGGCAGCTGGCGTAGAGGGGTGACGGCCTGGGTTCCACCGCTGGATGCATGGCACGTCATCAGGGGAAGGGATGATGCCTTTTTGGAAACATCAGTTTCATTGCACTTGTAAACAAGGGTTTCACAGACAGGGCTTGAATATCCCCACTTCGGGCTCCTCTGGTGGCTCAGTGGTAAAGAATCCACCTGCCAAGCAGCAGACGTGGGTTTGATCCCTGGGTCAGGAAGATCCCCTGGAGGAGGAAATGGCAACCCACTCCAGTATTCTTGCCTGAAGAATCCCATGGACAGAGGAGCCTGGCGGGCTATAGTCCAGGGGGTCAGAAAGAGTCAGACAGGACTGAGCGACAACCACATCTGCCCTTCAGGGTTTTCTTCCAATGATCAGAGAAAAGGTAGACAGAAGGGTGTGAGCATCTTTGCTCCGAGCTCTCCCTGAAGTCCCTGCAGCAGGTGGAGTCGGGAGGCGCACACGGCCCGCCCGTGTGACAGCCACAGGGCGCACTGGGGTGTCTGCCACAGAACTGCCCAGCACTTGGGGTTAAACCGATCACAAAGTACTTGCTTCTCAGAAACGCACTGCAGCTAGTGTCCTGTGTGTTTATTTGCTGAACAGGCAGCCCCCGCTCCAGGGCCCGGCCGAGTTCCCTGTCATCCATGACCCGGCCGAGTTCCCTGTCATCCATGACTGATGGCTCGCTTCCCTCATTCTGTTTTTATCTTTACTTTCACTGACTTGACATCGTTGTTACTGTTTCCTGGAGTTCCTGTTGATTCGGGCTTTCCTGCATTGAAGCCCCCATCTTGCTCAACAGACAGCCACGGAGGCTGTCGCCCTTCTGCTTGTAGCTCCTCCTACAGAGTTTCCCTTGGAGAAGGCCTCACGGGTTGAGCTTTCCCAGTTTATTTCTTTATTCCCACCCACCCCCAGCCCCACGGCTGACAGTCCCACTGAGCCTGTGGCTCTGGGCTGGCAGGTTCTTCCTCTTGACTTGGAAGACCTTGCCCCGCTGTCTTCTGCTCCCTTAGCTGTGAAGCAGTTGGTGTCCAGCTAGCGCTGCTCCTTGCGGGTTGCCTGTCTGTTCTCTCCGGATCCTTTTACAGTTTCCTGTTTGTCTTTGTGGTCCTGTAGTCACTCAGATGAGCCTGGATGCAAGCTTTTTTTTTTTTTAAACTCTCTGGGTTGGGCCCCCTTGCATTCCAGAGCTGAGGACGGTGCCTCCATCAGCCACGAAAGATCCTTGGCCACTGGCACTTTTGGTCATCCACCCCTCACTCTGGTGGGGATGCTGAACAGACACAGAAGCCCCTTCTACCCCTTGTCTCTGGGCTGTGCTCAGCCTCATTCCTTCAATTGTTGCTTCCAGGCTGTGGGGTTCCCTGGTGGCTCAGTGGTGAAGAATCCTGCCAAGGCAGGAGATGAGGGTTTGACTTCTGGGTCGGGAAGATCCCCTGGAGGAGGAAATGGCAACCCACTCCAGTACTCTTGCCTGGAGAATCCCATGGACAGAGGAGCCTGGCAGGCTACGGTCCGTGGGGTGGCAGAGTCAGACGCAATTGAGCACACGCATCCTTTTCAGGTTATGAGTTTTCTCGCTAGCTGACCTCACCGAGTTTCTATTTTCTGCTAATATGTTCTCATTTTTAGAAGTTCCATTTGGCTCTCTTTCAAATATCCCATTTCAGTTTCAGCGATTTCTGGTTCATCATTCATTAGTATCTTACTTTTAATATATTACACATGATTACTTTATCGTTTAAAACGGAAATGAAAAGTTAAGTTCTGGTAGGGCTGGTGACGAAAATCAAAGAGGAGGCACAGATAAACATGTTAGGATAAGAAGGACCATGACTACAGGAATAGTAGAGATGAAAGACAGTACAAGAATGCAATAATTTGGAAAAATTGGCCAAGACGGAAAAAATTTCTGGTAAAATGTAATCTTCCAAAATTTACTCAAGAAGGAATAAAAACAAACAAACAAACAAACAAAATCAGTCACTTAAAAATTTCACCCAAAGGAGACCCACGGCCCAGGAAAGCCCTCTCAGTCAAGGAACAGATTATTCTGACCCTACATTCACTTTTACAGAGAAGAGGGTACTCCCAGCTGTCCATCTGTCTGTCTATCCCTCCAACGAGCCATCATCCATCCATCCACCCATCTATCCATCCACTATCTATCCATTTATCCATCCATGCACCCATCCAAACATCCACCATCCATCCACTTATCCAACTATCCAACCACTCATCCATCCAACCATCCACCAATCCATCTATCTATCCATCAACCCCCCCATTCATCCAACCATCTACCATCTATCCATCCACACACCCATCCAGCCATCCAACCATCCACCATCCATCCACCAGTTCATCTATCCATCCATCCACCAATCCATCTGTCTATCCATCCACCTATCCATCCAACCATCTACCATCCATCCATTTATCCATCCATGCACCCATCCATCCATCCACCCACCCACCCATCCATCCAACCATCTACCCATCCATCCACCAAACCATCCACCCATCGACCAGTTCATCTATCCATCCAACCATCCATCCATCCATCCATCCATCCATCCATCCATCCATCCATCCATCCATCCATCCACCAATCCATCCATCTATCAATCCATCTGTCTATCCATCCACCCACCCATCCACCCATCCACCAATTCATCTGTCCATCCACCAATCCATCACCATCCATCCATTTACCCATCCATACATCTAACCACTCATCCATCCAACCATCCACCCATCTCTTCATCCATTCATCTACCGATCCATCTATTTATCCATCCACCCACCCATCCATCCATCCAACCATCCACCATCCATCTATCCATTCACCAGTTCATCTATCCATCCATCCATTCACCAATCCATCCATCTACCCACCCATCCAGCCATCCACCATCTATCCATTTATCCATCCATGTACCCATCCGTCCATCCATCATCCGCCCACCCATCCATCCATCCACCAACCAATCCATCCACCATCCATCCATGCACCCATCCAGCCATCCAACCATCTACCATCATCCACTTATCCATCCATCCAACCACTCATCCATCCAACCATCCAACAGCTGTCCATCCAACCATCCACCAATCCATCTATTTATCCATCCACCAGTTCATCTATCCATCCACCCACCCATCCAGCCAATTCTCCCCCCAAAATAGATTGGAAAAACATGGTCTAATAGAAAAATGGGCAAAAGACCTGAAGAGAAAGGCCGAGTGGCCAAGAGACCCACGAAAAGGTGCTCAGCCTCTGAGGAATGAGGAAGTGACCCCTTGCTGAACTGGGTGCTATGTTGCCCTGCAGGCTGGCAGGGTCAAATGTGAGATGCCATGTTGCTGAGGTTGGTCCCCCACTGCTGAGGGCCTGAGGGACAAACACTCAGACGCCACCTCCTAGACATGGGCCCACCCCTCCCTCCAATGGGATCTGCCTCAGGGACGCAGTTGCTCTCTGGCCACGGCTGACTGCACAGGATGGGACTCTGATGTAACTCCCAATCTGGGCCAACAGGGTGAGTGAGTCCTGGGTCAGAGGGCAGATACAGATGGGGAGCCACCCCCGGAACACCTGCAGGCCCCCGTGAAAACGGGGTGTCCCTGTGAAGACGGGAGTGTCCTCAAGTGCTCTGGTCAGCGGGCCACCACAGGCACAGCACAGGTCCCCTGTGGGTACGAAGCTGGAGCAGAAAACACGCCTTTCAGGTTTGGGGTCCTCACTGTGGCATAAACAGCTGAGGCCTTATTGCTGCAGCACAACTCTGACAGTTTGCTAGGATTTTATCCCTCTTAAGAAAAAAGCAGCTCTTTAGAAAATAACTCATTCCATAAATTGCCCATCACTTGAAGGCAGAGGAGTGTGTCAGAGCGCGGTGCCAGGAATTTTCTAAAATTCAACCTGGGTCCTGCTGTTCCCAGTCCTGGGGGGACCCCCACGTCTAACCTCCCCAGGGGGCCCTGGTTGTGGCTGGGGGCTGACCCTCCAGGGCGCTACATGGCCCTCCTCCAGAACCCTCTGCCCGGGTCATGTCCAGTGAGCCCCTTGTTGCCCACATCGCTGTCTGCGCCCACCCACCGCCCCACCGTTTCTGTGGCAGCTCCCCGTCTCCAGCTGCTCTGGGCATTAGTCTGCCCCGAGCACGCGTCCAGCCTCCACTTTACACACAAGGGCTGAGCAGCGGGGGAGCCTCTAGCTCTAAAAATATATAAATCTCTCATTACTTGGGGTCTTATTTTTCATTTAATAGACATCACTGAGCAGCCCAGGGAGAACCAACCACTATCCATCCTTCAAACTTAGGAAACATCAGGGAACAAAAGAGACAGACTTCTGCCTGGCCTCGCAGAGCAGGGGTCCGGGTCTGTGGGGCCAGCTTGGGTGAGGGGTGATGTTCACACGGGGACCAGAGCGGCAGGCCGCAGGGAAGGTGGGGAGAGGGGGTCAGGCCATGCTGAGCAGGGGAGGGGCTGGGGGGCAGGTGCGACTGGGAGCACGGAATCGGGCGTGGCAGAGGGATCTGAGGCACACGGAGGTGTCCGGTGGTCCCGGGAGGAGAGCGAACCGGGGCCACCGTCCCGCTCAGCCGGAGGAGCCAGGGGAAAGTCTTGGCCCGGCCGTGCGAGCTCGGAGAGCCGGGCTATGTGCCTTCACTTGCCCGCCTGTGTCTGAAAGGAGCCAAGCTGGGGAGGCTTTGAGGGCTTCCTGGTGGCTCAGACAGTAAAGCATCTGCCTACAATGCAGGAGACCCGGGCTCAATGCCTGGGTCTGGAAGATCTCCTGGAGAAGGATAATGCCAACCCACTCCAGTATTCTTGCCTGGAGAATCCCATGGACGGAGGAACCTGGTAGGCTACAGTCGGGTTGCAGAGTCAGACACGGCTGAGCGACTTCACTTTCCACTTTCACTTGGAAGAGGACAGAGGGCCGGCTGTGGGTAATGCCGAGTCCGAGTGACAGATGGGAGCCCCTGGCCGCCCCGGGGCACGTTCACCTCGCTTGTGTTCCATGTCACAACCAAATCAGAAGGGAGGCTTGTCCTGAGCTCAGCCTTTAAAAAGCCAGCCTCGGGGAAAGTGTGCAAGAAAACCCTTGTGCAGAGCGCCTAGTTGTGGGTGTGGGTGTGGCTTTCTACTCTGCAGTTTACAAGAGCTCACACCACACCCTGAGTGAGCAGAAACCAGAGAGGTTACGGCACCAAAGAAAGCGGCCCTCATGGAATCCTGGGTGAACCCAGGTCAGAGTGTGCGTTTCCAGAAAACAGAACTGCACTTTGGTTGGTGTCTCTGGGCCCGCCAGAACACGAGAGATGACGGAACCTGGGCCCCCAGCCCATCCTCAGGGGCTCACGGCCGCTCCCACTGTCCGGGAGCCGCCCTGCGGTCCCCCAGCCCTGTGATGGTCCTGATCCTCACGGCCATGCCCGGGTTCAGATGCCCGGCCACCCAGCCTCCGCATTCTTCCCAAGGAGACGGATAACGTCCACCAGGGCCCCTGGGGTGCTCCGGCACCCCTGCCCGAAGGCTGGCTCCGCGATCCCCTCTCCCCGTCTCGAGGATCCTCCGGGTAGAGGGCCCTGTAGGACTCAGAGCCACGGGGCCGGGTGGCCGCCCCAGCCTGCTCGCCCGCGTCTTCCCTTCTCTCTCGGCCTCTCCCGGACGGCTTCCAGAGGTCGAGTTCTGCTTGGCCTCCTCTCCCGAGTCCTCTGCCCTCAGGCCCAGCCCCAGCCTCCCTGCTGGCTCTCCCGGGGAAGGGGCCGGGGCCGCCTGCGGTCACCTGTGACTGTGGTCCCCACCTGCCGCCCGAGCTCCTCTGTGGGCCTCAGGGAAGCATGCTCCCGCCAGGCCCAGGACGGCCCCTCCTCGGGGTTCCTGCGGGGCTGGGCGGAGGGTGGGGTCCCCTCTCCCGCAGAAGGCCCTGCACGTCTGTCTGCTCAGGCTCTGCGGCATCAGCGTGTGAAGTGCATCTGGCGACACAGACTCAGCGATTATCCTGGGCCGGCCCCATCGCGTTTCCTGAGCCTCCTGGTGACAGTGCAGAGGCTTGGAGGACGCAGCTGGCTTTCAAGGGTTTTTAAACACTAGCGAAAATTAACCACACGGCACCAAAACACCACAACTCCTTCGGACAAAGGTTAAAGGACTGAGGCTCACTGACAGGATAGCAGAGGGTGTGCGCCCAGGATGGCGGGACACTCCCGGGGTCCCCCCTCGGGCTCAGCTCCTTGTCGCCCCGCAGCAGGAGGCTCAGGTGCTCCGGGGCGGGTCCCCTCTCACCCGCAGAGCGTGCAGGGCCACTTCTCCGGGGGAGGGTGGGGAGCCGACGGGCCCACTGGGGGCACAGCTTGGACACGTGGCCCAGATCCCTGACCCAGCGCAGGCCGCGTCCTGGAAACATGACTGGGGGACAGCCTGCTCCATCCTCAAGGCCCGCGTGTGGCCGCTTTGGTGAGGTGAGCACAGGTGAACTGGAGCTGCTGGGGGGGTAGCGGGGGAGCCTGGCAGGCTGGAAGCTAACAGCGGGCTCCGTCAGCCCTGCGTCTCCCACTTCCCCCCGCCGCTTCTAATCCCCCCGGGCCGCCTCACTCTGTGCCCTCTCGAGGTAGCACAGCAGGACAAGGGAGGGATGCTCCCGCAGCTACCGGCCACCTGATCCCCCACCACCTCCTGCCCGGGATCTTGGACTTGGGCTCAATGAGACAGTGCCATCTGACCCCGAGAAGTCGCATGGCTAAATAGAAAACGGGCCCCAAAGAAGCCTCCCCAGGGGGGCGACCTGTGACAGCGGAAGTGACTCCCCACCTGCCCGGGGCCCCTCCCTGGACTGCAGCGCCTCGGCACACCACCCACCCGGCTCCCATAGGTGATGTCTCACTGTCACCATCCCCAAGGGCTGCAGATGGCGTGAAGCTGAAACTAGTCAATATGACGGCTTCATGTTCAATAGTCAGTTCACACAACTTCAGTTCAGTAGTCAGTACGATGGCTCTTGGGGCAGGGCAGCCCCTCCAGGCCCAGCCCCGCACGCATCCCTCTGCTGACCCCCATGGGCAGGCGCCAGCAGCACCGGCCGTCCACAGTCAGCTTCCCCTACCTGGGAGCGAGCCGTCCCCGCGCCTGGCATCAGCCTCATCAAAGGCCAAGGGGGTGAGGCCCCCTCCAACTTTCTGGCATTAAAAAGATTTTTAAGAGACCTCGATAAAACTAGGGCTTCCTGCTTTTTGATGTGTTTCACCAAAGGAACACTTTGTCAGAAGAACATGAGCAGCTGAACTGAAAGCCGAGTTCTCTACCGCTATTTTAAAATAGCTGGCTCTCACAATCAAAAGCCCTCAAGATGGTTTGAAGATATAAATCAGCTGCCTTCTCCTAGTAAAAGGGGTAGGGAGATCGCTTTATGGGAAGAGAGGAGAGGTGAAGAGCCCTGTACACTTTGGAAAGCAAAAGCAGGCGGGTCTTTGCCAGAGAACATTCACACGTGTTGCTAAAAAGCTGACCAGAGAGGCGAGATTCCAGCAGGCCCCTGGACCCAGGTGTGACTTAGGTTGCAATCGACACCATCCAGGACACGCAGAGGTTGTCAGGAGAAAACAGAGCTCTCCCAGGTGCCTGCCCACCCAAGCTTACCACCTCTACCTCTGTTGCCAGCCAGCGGCCTGTCCCAGCAGACAGCCAGGGAGCATGAGCCCGGGCCAGGGAGCACAACCCTGGGCCAGGGAGCACGAGCCCAGCCACGGGAGCACCATGGGAAGGTGGCCGCACAGGCCGTGCCTTACAGGGAGCCACCCTGCGACTCTGCCTCTTGCTCCCCCTGCTGGAAGTCTCGGATATCCCCCCCCCCTCCCCCCGTGAGCCCCTGGGTGCAGCCGCTAGGTGCTGCTACTTCAGGAATGACACACCTGTCCAGGGGCGTGGCTCAGGCATCCCCATGGGGCAACAGGTAACCCTGACCCTACTGAGAGAGGGTCCGCGCACTCTGAGCACGTGGAGAAGCCCTATTTCATCTGATGGGCCCTGGGGAGGGAAGCAGCCTCCAGATGGCCCCGGGTGGGCCTGCACCTCCACAAGGCCTCCACAAGGCCCTCTGTGTCTGGGGAATGTGGACCCTGGGCCCTTCCCCACTGCGGGCCGGCTGGAGACCCGGGCCACTTGCCCAAACACCAGCGGCTCTTTCCTTGGCCCCTCACGGTGATGCCATGGAAAAGCAGCCAGAGAAAGCCGTGTGGTGGGTGGGGTAACCACCCACGCTCCCCTGATGGGGTCAGGAGGCTGGGACAAGGCCTCGTGTCCAAGGCTGGGGGCTTCAGGAAGAGCATGGTTCCGAAATCCACGATGGAAGCCAGAGCGGGTTTCTGTCACGAACTTCAGATTCTCAGAACCGACCCAGGTAGTATCCCCACCCCACCCCATCCTCCTCCCCCCGGCAGCTGGGTGGCTCTGTCCACCAGGAGCACCAGTGGGCATGAGTGTCCCGGCCCGATGGCATTTTAGCCTGGGAAGCTGCCTCCCAGCGGGCCTCCCTCCATGGAACCCTGCAAAGTTCCCTGTCTTAGTCCAGATCCTCTGAGCCCCGCTGTCAGGCCAGGGTGCTGAAGCCAGTCCTGGGCATGGCCCTAGGGTCAGGGCAGCAGGGGAGCCACAGGGACCCAGGCCCATGCCCCTGAGATGGCGCAGTGACACCTCCCCCAGGACCCGCTTCAGGACATCCCAGAGAACCGACCATCCGCGAGGAGGAAACCAGGTAAACGCATTCCCCTGCGGGCCCCACATCAAGACGAGTGCCTTTAAAAGACGGATCCTGAGCTGTGTGCTTATAACTGTGGACCACAACCCAGTTATAACTGTGCTTATAACATGGCTTATAACTGTCTCTTTGCCCACCCACTTCCGGCCACAACCAGACAGTCCTGTCGGGTGGGCAAGCCTCCTCCCAGGTGCGAGTGGCAGACACGCCGGACAGCGGGGTAGGGCAGGGCAGGGAAGCCCGCGGCCCGGCCCCTGAGCCCCCAGCCCTCCTACCTCGTTCCCCAGCAGGGCAGAGACGCAGGCTTCCGAGGCGTCGCAGATGGCTGTGAGATCGTGGCCTCCCTCCAGCGCCAGGACGACCCGGCCACCGGCCAGGCCCATCAGCTGCTTTGTCAGGTACCCGAAACCTGCGAAAGACACGGGAGAGGCAAGTGGTGGGCGAGGCCAGGCCGCAGCACCGACGCCTGGCAGTGGATCAAAGCGCCCAGGGGTGCATTGCATCGCCTTACCGAGGCCCCGGGGCTGGCACTCCGAACGAGACACCTAATGGAAGCCAGGTTGGCTTGTGATAAATTCATTGGAGGATTTCGGCTTGGGATTCTTTTTGATCTCCGTGGGAGTAGGAATTACGGTTTCGGGGCTTTGATTTTATAATGCTGCAAATCATCTCGTTCAGGGGCAGATAGGAGCCCCGGGGGAGCCCCCATCCCGCCTGCTGAACCACAGAAGCAGGGAGGCAGGAGGGCGGCGGACAGGGTGGCTGCCAGGGCCCGGCCACGTCCATCCCAGGGCCCAGGGCATTCCGGTTGGCCGAAGTGCCGGGCACAGGTGTGCCAACACACTCACGCGTGTGTCACCACCATGTGCGCCCCTCCAGGGCCCTCCTGTGTCCACATCTGGCTTTCATCAGCAGCTGTGGTCCGTGCACTGCAGCCCAACACCCTCCCCACGGGGAACGAGAACGACCCTCCTCGGGGAGCCAGGCCGCCTGACCCCATCTATGCGCACAGGCCGGTGCTCGGCAGAGTGGACCCGAGGCTGGACTCTGCCTCCGGGCAGCTGCGGGCGCTGGTGAGGCCCTGGGGTTTCCCAGCCTTGGTTTTGTCTCCAATGGCAACAGTGACGCTGGCTCGGAGGGGACTGCGAGGACCCCAGGAAGCACTCAGGGCGTGGGCCCCCTGCGCTGGGCATGGAGGACACTTGTGCCCTCTGTCTGTCCCAGTCTCAGTCCCTCGGGCCCCGGCCCGGGCAGGTGGACTCTGTGAGGCTGTCCTCTTGTGGGGCTTCCTCTTCACTGCACCACGCTCTCCCCATGTGGGGGCGGGGGACAGGCTCCCTTGACTAGTGCCCGCCCTGGGGAACCCCAGGCATCCCTACCACTGCAACCCCCAAGTCGCTGGTTGGGGTGGGAGCATCCGGGCCGTTCTGTGGCTGGCCCTGGGATGGGGTGGGGTGAGTTATCACCTGCATGATTTGCTAGAGATGGAGACGATGCACAAGTCTCCCCTCCCCTGACTGGAGGGAGCCTGTTCTCAGCTCTTTCTGTCTTCACAGGGTTTAGGGCCAGCCCCCCTCCAGGCCCCATGTGGGATGACAGCCCTCAGGAGGAGGGGGACCCGGCCCCAGCTGACAGCAGCAGTGGGCAGGCCACAGGCTTGCTGGGCCTCTGGGCCGGGAGACCCCGCGGCCTGCGGCCTCGTGCTCTCTGGGGAGCCGGCGTCGTGGTTTCGGTAAGGTGTGAGGACATCTTTGGGGTTTTGGGGCTGTCTCCTTCCACAGCCACTGGAGGGGACGCCTGGCGCGCGCACCACCCGTCTGACAGCTGGCTGCCCGCAGACCCGACTCACACTTGGCGGAGAGGTTGTAGCCTCCGAGGGGCGTGGGGTGGCCCTCCACGGCGTCGAAACCCGAGGACACGAGCACCACGTCTGGGGCGAACTCGCTGGCGATCGGCATGACCACGGTCCTGCACGGGGAGGGGTGGGGGGACGCTGCGTCAGCCCAGGGCGGCCCCTGTCGCTGGCTGCCAGGGCCACTGCCCTGCACCTGGGCCCCGGGGCTGGGCAGCCGAGTGGGTGGAGGCGCCCCAGAGCCCACGCCCTGGCCTTCCACAACCCCAGCCTCTGAGGCCATGCTGTCGGCTGCTCTGGACGAGATGACCCACTGCTGAGGTGCAGGAGGGACATGTAAGGTTAATTATAAAGAAATCCAACACTGAGGATCCCTAAAGGGAAAACCGATGCTTCAGTTTAAGAAAACCGACTGGTTAGAAGTATAAACAGACGCTGAGGAGGTCAGGGGCTAAGTTACATTCGGGGAACAAGGCAAGAAAAGTGGGGGGAAGCTCCTGTTAACACAACTGCCTCAGGAGCTTGCAGCCTTGAGTGTATGGCTCGGCCTGGAAATCTTGCTTCATGCTGAGATAGGGAAGACTCCTGTCCAGTCCAGCGTCTGACCTGGAGCTAGCCTCATGGGCCTGGAAAGTGCCCCCTGACTTTCTGTCTCCCTCCTGCCTGGCTCCTCACCTCTGAGACATATCCCCGCCCCCAACCAGGTCTTCAGAAGACTGTGTGGGAGGGGCTCAGTGTGCTGGGCGTGACCAATGGTCCCCGCCCCTCACAGGCTGAGCCCCAGAGAGCACCATGGCCACGGGGCGGGCCCCTTGAAATCCCACAGGCTGTCATCAGGATGATATGAAATCACCTTTACAACAGCAAAGTCAACTCTGGAAGATGACAACTTTGGCCAAAGAAACAGAATCAGTTCCATTCAGTTCAGTTCAGTCGCTCAGTCGTGTCCAACTCTTTGCGACCCCATGGACTGCAGCACACCAGGCCTCCCTGTCCATCACCAAGTCCTGGAGTTTACCCAAACTCATATCCATAAGAAACAGAATGCTCAGTATTAAACACCTCTCATCTAGGAATGATTCTGGGTCGCAGTCCTGTTGAGAGGTCCCTCTGATTTCAGGTGGGGGAGGGCCGAGAACCCCGGAGAGCCACACACAGGTGAAGACCCGGCCCCTGCTCCGCAGGATTCGCAGTGAGTAGCCAGGAGGCCCAGCTGGACGCCCGCGACCACACGCGGCCCTGGGGGCTTCCCCGGGGACATCCGCCTGTGACGGGCCAGGTGCTGGGAGTGTGCACCACCGAGACTCGCCGACTTCAGCCCTGGCACTTCGCCCACCAGGAGACCCCCTTCTGGAGCCAGGGAGTTACAGGCCGGGTGGGCCTTCGGCATCCCGCCACTTCTGTTCTTTGCTCTGAGGCTGTGCTCCGTTCAGCTTCCCCTGACGCCTCTGCAGAGCTGACAGAAGCGCTCCCAAGGACCTGGGCTCTGGGCCTTGGGGGCCACCCCTCAGGTCCCAGCAACACTGCGTGTGGATCAGACCAGGGGCTGACAGCGTTCCGGCCGAGGGCCAGGAAGCAGACACTTCCGTCTTCGGGCCATTTGACTTAAAAAACACAAGGTGGGACTTGGCCCCTGGGCTGCCGTCTGCCAGCCCTGCCCAACTCCTGCCATTCCGACTCTGCTAAAGTTGCTCCACACATGACACCAGCCCCAGCTCTGAACGCTTCTCTGCGCCAGTGGGACGAGAGCTCACAGGAACTGGTGATGCGACGTAGAGAGCGCGGTCTCTTTTTCTGGCTGCACCACATGGCATGTGGGATCTTAGTTCCCCGATGAGGGGTCACACCTGTGTCTCCTGCACCGGAAGTGCAGAGCCTTAACTGCTGGATGCCAGGGAAGTCTGCAAGCTCTGTCTTCTAAACATAGCACAGGCATCAGAACAGGCCCCTGGGGCTTGCGTGGAAATTCCTGGTCCAGGCTGGTAGGATAGGGGGGTCACCTCGGGATCCAGGAAGGGCCGTCTGCTCTCCCTCCACGCCCGGCAGCTGTGTCTGTCCCCCCCAAAGGCACAGGCCACCGTTCCACCCTGCGAGGACCTGGCGGGCCCCTCTTCACGAGCCCTCATCATTCCAGCGAGGCTGGTTTTCAATTAATTTTAATGAAGTTCTTGTCACATAAACTTTGTCTTTGGGTGGGAGACTGGCTTCGGCCGCAATCTTGGTAGTGATTTTAAAGCCGGCACGGTGTTTCAATGAAAACCACAGACATTTCAAGCAGACGCCGGCTCAGAGAGCTCCGGCAGCCGTTTTGAAGCAAGTGCATGTGGGCACTCTGCTGCTCCGCTTTGAAGTATCGCAGAGCGATTCCATTTCTAATCCCCCCACAAAATTAAAAAAAAACAGCCCTGTGAAAACCATCATTAAAGGAGGTGAACACCGAGAGGGTCCCTGGCGTCTGTGCTGGGTGTGTGGCTTCGCCCCAAAGCCAATCATAACAAGTTGTAAAGCACGGCTGATCCTACGTGTTGGCATGTGGGTGTGGGCGTGTGGTGTGTGCATGCATGTCTGCAGGGTTTGGGGAGGGGGCTGGCTCACCGTCCAGGCGGGAGTCTGAGCACCTGGGAGAGCGGATGTCCATGTGTACACCCTCCTTTCCTCTTCCTGACTGGGGCGGTCGACGCTGTAATCCCGAACGCTTGCTACAGGAGGAAGATCTGAAATGGTGCTGTGTGCCCGGCGTGTGCTGGGTGGGTGTGCGGCACACACTGAGCCCCAAGAAACGTCACCTCCCCTTGACAGGACTCGGCTTCCTCCTGAGTAGCAGAGGGCTGGATGCGTCACTACTGACAGTCTGCCAGCCTGCCTTCTGGACCTCCCAGCATCACCCCGCCCGGGACCCTCATGCCAGAAGCAAGCTGCCAGCTCATGACCATGTAACAGGTGCTACAAAGAAAACGGGAAACTGCCTGATGTTTTATTTCTAGGATGAAGTTTTAATGAGCAGTTTAGTCTCAGAATAACAAGATCTAAGTATCTGCTGAAGGCCTTCCCTCAAACCGCTGGTCTAAGGTGAGTGGGTCTGGGGGTCCTTGGCGACCTTCGGCAGGACAACCAAGGATAGCAGGAAGGGCCAGGAGCCGCTCAGGGCAGCTTTCAGGGAGGAGAGACCCTGAGAGAGGAGGTGGCCAGGTGCAGCTCTGGATGTGGAAAAGCGGGGAGGGGAAGAGGGTGACAGGGACGAGCCATGGAGGTCCTGGGGCCTTGAGCCCTGCAAACCACCCACAAAGCTGAGCTCCTGGGCTGTGCCGCCTGGGACCCGGCCCGGGGCCTTCGCTCTGGACACACGCTCTGCCCCACACCGCCATCCTTTGCTTGCTGGCCAGTCCACACCTGCAGCCAGGTTTCCACAGGGGAAAGCCAGGCCGGGTGCCAGGGGAGGGGTGGGCTTGGCAGGCCGGACGACAGGGTGGACGTTGCTGATGGGTCAGTTCCTGCTCGGGCCAGCCTGGCCGCTCCATGACGGCAGCAGCTCATATCTCATCAGCCGCACAGTAACCTCGCATGGCCAGACTCTGGGGTGTGCCAACATGCCAACTCCCAACCCACAGTGAAATCTAAGTGCACGAGCTGGTTTAACAGCTGGCTCCAACTTCCAAAAGACAAATGACATCTCGATACACCACCCAACTGGGGCCCGCACAAATCCACCAGACCGGCGGTCAATGCCAGCTGGGGGCACACAACTGGCGGCCAGCGGGCCGCAGTGCTGTGTTCGGGGGCTGTGCCCACTGGTGCCAGGGCCTTGGCTGGAACCAGGTTTCCGGCTGCTACGCTGCCCTTGGATCCCTGCTGCCCCTCCGAATGCCCTGGAAGCACTGTCCATGCGAGCTGGCCCTAAACACCCCTCCCACGCAGCCCCCGCAGCCTTCGCCCCGCAGGCTTCCTTGTTCACGCTCACCGCTGTTTTGGACTGGTTTCACAGTTCATGTCTCCAGTCAGGAGAGCGCTCACTGGCTGGAGGTGCTGGGCAGAGGACGCTGACTGTGGATGCTGAATCCAGACCCGGTTTTACAAGAGGTTGTTGCTGGGAGCCCAACAGCACGATTTCAGTGATGGTGTTTTGATCACTGAAAATTTCCTTTCGTTTATTTTCTGCAAGGGGAGGCATGTGCCCTCTGGGATCTGGAATCTCTGTACACCTGCCCTGGGGGGCCCGGCCTCTGAGCCCCCTGCCCTGGGAGCCCACATCCTCTTGAGACCCCGCCCCCTCCACCAGGACTGCAGGCCAGGGGCCCAGCACCTGCTCATCGAGTACCCGAGCTCTGCTGAGAGTTGGGACGGGAAGGAAGACAGTGATGACGGGAACATGACTGTCCTGGCCGGGCCCTGCAGCGGTGACGCTGTGGCCTCGGCGGGCTGAAAGCCGCCGAAGGCTGCCCCTGTTGCTGCCCTTCCCCGACAGGCTCTGCCTGCCCCCCACTGGAGCTGCGTCCCCGAGGCTTGGCCTCTTTGCTCTCTGCTCGCCAGCCTCCATCTGCCAAGGTGAGGACGTCCCTCCCCCCCACCCCCTGCAGGCTCCTGGGCAGCAGGCGGGCACCTCACCACTCCAGACCCCAATGTACTCTCACCCCCTTCCCGCCCCTGCACTCCAGGCCCCACCCGTCAGACCCCAGGAGGCCCTTGTGCTTGAAGGCTCCACGACCGGCCGTGGGGTCAGACAGGTGGGTCACACCGCCCGGCCTGCACCTGTGGGCGCATCCCCCGCCCCGACACCACGGCTTGGCTGGGAAGCCCCCACCCAAGGGCAGAAGGAGGGCGCATGCCATCAGCACAGGCCCGCCTTACCCGGGGACCCTGCCGCCCACGAGGACAAGCAGTGTGCACCCCCACCTGCACAGGGGCACAGCGACCACGGGCTGAACACATCGCTCAACTCCCAGGTTTTACTTCTCTTTCCTTTAAGATCACTGCAGAAGGATGTCCTCGGATGAACGCTCTGCCGAGGAGAAGACCTGGACACCCCTGAAGACCTATAGTGGCCGCAAGAGGGGTCCAGGCGGGTGTGTTCATGGCTCCCAGGGGCTGGGCCCTCAGGGACCGGCTCCCCGGAGCAGACACGCTACTGTGAACACAGCCAGTGCCGCAACTGGACTCTCGAACGTGTTTCAGAAGGTCAAGTTTTATGTATAGTTTAGCTCAACAACAACCAACCAGCGTTTTTAAAAAAGAAAAACGTGGAAGAAACAAAAGCCCCTCAACCTTCCTGCAGGGCTTCAAAGGTTGGGAAATGAAATGAACCTGCCCAGCTGCTCGGGATAGAGGCCGACCTCACTCAGAGAGAGATGAAGGCTTCCACTTGCAAACAGGCAGTTTCACCAGCATTTCTGATAACTTACAACACGGCCTTTAAACCCACACTGGGCTTTGGGAGGAGGAGCAGTCCCAGCTCCACCATCCCTGGGCACCTTTATAACACGGCCTGTACCGCCACAAGGTGCTCTGAGGGCAGCAGTCCCAGCTCCACCATCCCGGAGCACCTCTGTAACACGGCCTTTCCCCCGCCGAGCACCTCTGTAACGCGGCCTCTCCCCCACGCGACGCTCTGAGAGCAGGAGCAGTCCCAGCTCCACCATCCCGGAGCACCTCTGTAACACGGCCTTTCCCCCGCCGAGCACCTCTGTAACGCGGCCTCTCCCCCACGCAGCGCTCTGAGAGCAGGAGCAGTCCCAGCTCCAGCATCCCGGAGCACCTCTGTAACACGGCCTTTCCCCCGCCGAGCACCTCTGTAACGCGGCCTCTCCCCCACGCGACGCTCTGAGAGCAGGAGCAGTCCCAGCTCCAGTATCCCGGAGCACCTCTGTAACACGGCCTTTCCCCTGCCGAGCACCTCTGTAACGCGGCCTCTCCCCCACGCGACGCTCTGAGAGCAGGAGCAGTCCCAGCTCCACCATCCCGGAGCACCTCTGTAACACGGCCTTTCCCCCCCCCCCGAGCACCTCGGTAACGCGGCCTCTCCCCCACGCGACGCTCTGAGAGCAGGAGCAGTCCCAGCTCCAGCATCCCGGAGCACCTCTGTAACACGGCCTTTCCCCCGCCGAGCACCTCGGTAACGCGGCCTCTCCCCCACGCAGCGCTCTGAGGGCAGCAGCAGCCCCGGGCCCCGTGCCCCGCGCTGCCAGGCGGCGGGGAAGTGAGGGGTTAAGAAAAGTGCACCAGCACCTCCTGGCCCGAGGCCTCTGCCGCTCAGCAGACTTCAAAGCTGCTGGTCTGGCTGGTTTGAATTAAGGCCCCCTTTTCTCCCAGAGCCTCCAGGCCCAGGAGAGAGTGCCGCTGCCTCTGGCTTTCATTAGGGGCAATTTTCTTATCTCTCCTTCATCTCGGGCTTGATCTCCTGAAATGCAATGAGGCAGGCGTGGGTCTCCGCAGAAGGTGCCGCCTGGAAGGCATGCGGCGAGCGTCGTCCGGTCCCCGGGGAGCGGGCAGAGGAGGGGAAACGGCTCCTGACCCTCCTTCCCCCCTCCGATCGATGCCCAGGGAACCATAAATTGTAAACTTCAAAGTGCTATTTTACATTAAAATCAATAAAAGAAAAAAACCCTGAAACAATTTTCCTTTTCAAAGAGGCTATTTGAGCTTTAAAAAGTTCACTTGATAGGGCATCACCATGTACACACTTGGCAGAAGATTAAAACGGGACATCAACAGCAACTTGGGGTGAGGGGTCCATTGTAATGCCGGCGGGCAGGGAGGGGGAGACCCCCAGGACCCGCCTCCTGCCCGCTTTTCCACCCCATCAGCGTGCCCAGCACCCTGCAACAGCCCTAGAGGCCCGTTTAGTCGGAACCTGGTCCGAAAGAAGAGGGAACTGCCATTTTTATCACTTTAATCCGTAGTTTAAAGACAGCCTCCACCAGAACTCAGCCATGCTGGGTCCCCTGAGGCATCAGAGGTCACTGGGCTGTATCCACGCCTCTCACCCCGAGTCCAGACACTTTATTCCCCAGGAAGCCCCTGAGGAGGGCCAGTTCTCCGGGTGTGGCGTGACTAACTGCAGGTGGCTGGAGGGCATCCCAGGGAGGGCGGTGATGGCCTCCACAGTGAAGGCCGGTTCTGATTTCCTGAAGCTGACGTTTAACCGTGTACGTGAGCGGTTTTCAGATGTGGTGTCCGTTTGGGGGAGTCCTTCTCCCCTAAATAAGGGGGCGGACAATGTCACGATTGCATTATATCTTACCAAGAGAAAAAGGAAACAACAGTATTAAAGCCACTGAGATTGGAGGAGAGTGGTCCAGGGGACGACCCCGCGGGCCTTCTTAGGAGGCGATGGGGTCCTGTCTGCACTGACCACTTTCACTGTCTGCGCAGCTCATTGCTTCAGCCGTTATTTGTGGGAACTGGGTGGCAGGCGAAGGGGCCTCACGTCGGCGGAGGCACCCTTGGGCCTGGCCTTTCCATCCCCAGACCCAGACAGTTGCCCTTGAGGCAAGGACCAGACAAGGGAGCAGAAGCTATGAGGGTCGTGTAAGCCCTGCGGCCACCTCACCCAAAGCCCAGCCCAGGGCAGGAGGCAGGGAGAGTCCTCGGCCAAGCTCTGACGGCCTGGCCTTCGCTAGGATCTCAGCTACCAGACGCGACAGTCGTGCTCACATCCATGCACGCCTCCGCATACATAGCCATGTGCACACGCATGCACACCAACACAGACACAGGTGGGTCACAGCCACACACACACATAGATACAAGCACATCACACACACACACACACACACACACACGTGCCCGCATGCAGGACAACCAGAGCACGCACTCAGGAGGAAGGGAGGAAAGTCCCCTGGAAACTTGGTGGGCTCCAAAGCCTGGTGCAGAGGCCGCGTCGCAAACAGAGACAAAGGTCTGTTGGGCTTTGCCACTGATCAAAACCGTCCTCCTTCCGAGGGGCCCTGGACACACACTTGGCAGGGGCTGCGCCCCCATTCCCCATCCCCCCCCCCAGCCACTTGCTCCGATTGCAACAGGAGGAGGAAACCAGTGCTACCAGCCCCAGGAATCCCTTCAATGTGGCCCAGATCGAAGCAGAAATCACGGCTCGATGACAAAGCAAAAACGGTTTCACAGAATCGCCCTGTACCAGATTCCCCCGGCCCAGCCTAACACGACGGAACTGGGGTGAACAGGGGAGTCAACTCCTCATTTTGATGTCAGTAGAGGAGGGATGCTTACTTCTGTTTCCCATTATCTCACAAAAGGTTTTTTGAAAGAAGAATTAGGAGATTAGGAGCCTTTTCAGACTGCAGCACCCGATTCTTGTTAACCTCACGCTTTCTGACACCTTCCCCCAGCCTTCCTCACTTTCTTACTATCGAGAGCCCAGATGGAGTCCTGGTTTCCCTGTGACGCGCAAGACGGGAACCTTGCAGATGGAAGGTGAGAAGATGGTCTTGGGGATGACACCTCTGGCCTGAAGAGCAGACTGTGAGAAGCCTTGGGATTCGTCCCCCAAAACACAGAGACAGCACGACCGGTCCCCGCGGTGCCCGGGAAGGAAGGGGGTGTGCTCACGAGGGAAGGTGAAGGTCAGAGGAGAACGGTGAAGTCCGCAGGAGCTGGGGCCCTGCGGGGGGTTCCCGACTGCTCCCTAAGTGCCCCACGGGGTGGAAGCCAGGACCCTCACCTGAAGGCTGCTAGGTACTCTGCGTCTCCCATGGGGGGGTCCAGGCCGCCAGTGAAAGCCATGTTGACGTTGAAGCCCACGCCAGGGCCTGTGCCCACCTGTATGGAGGAGAGAAATGCGTGTCACGACCTGGGTGGCCCCTCGGGGTGCGCCCCTCGCCCGCTGCCCGCCCCCGACATGCTGGCTTTCAGGACGGGGCATTTTCAGAGGCAAGAGCCCTGTTCCCCCGCCCATGCAGAGTGTGGGGGCCATGCGCCCCACCCGAGGGGGGCCACACCCATGAAGGGCCGCAGGGACTGCTGCGAGCTGGCTGTCTGCCCCGACTTCCCATCTAGAACGAGACCCCGAGGCGGGCGGGCCCATCTCCTTGGAAGGGATTCCCCACTGCCGGGCTTCGCCGCTCAGAGCAGGGACCTTTGCTAAAGTCTCGGGGGCCACTTGGGAGCCCACCGTGGGGCACCCGACTGGTGAGAGGGCGGCCACCCTGGACATGCACGGTGACTGTCCAGCAGCCTCTCCCGAGGGCGAGGGTGCCTGTGCTCACCGGCCGACAGCCCCCGGTCCGCCCAGGTTAAAACCAGGGCTCTCCAGGGTGTCGTCTGCACTCGGATCAGACGTGGTCTGCGTGGGCACGCGGACCAGACGTAGCCCATGTGGGCACACGCGAGGGATTCGGGCTGACAGCCGACCCCGGGCATGCTGGCCCCCTCTGCTCGTGGGCGCGCCCGCGCCTGCCCTCCCGCCGGCCCCCCAGGCCGCACCCGCGGACGGAGCGCCCCTCACCTCGTCGGGCGCGCCACTGCCCGGGAAGAAGTTGCCGTCATCGTAGCGGTGCAGGGAGATGTAGAGCACGCGGGGGTCGCCGTAGAAGGCCTGCTGGGTCCCGTTCCCGTGGTGCACATCCTGCGGGGCGGGCGGCTCAGCGCCGGCACCCTCCCCACAAGGCCAGCACCCCCCGCCCTACAGGGATGAGCCCCGGCTCGGGGCCCTCAGCAGGTTTCCCGGGTGTCTCAGTGCCCTGGGGGCTGCCGTTTCCAGGCAGGCTCATTTGAGCAGTGTCGTGCCCCAACCCCGGGGGGCAGGGGGGGAGCTTGGCACCACTGTCACTGCTGGGGTAAATGCCCTTCCTGCCAGCCTGCAGCTCCCACGGCTGCTCACTTGGGAGCATGGGCTCAGGGCCGGCTCCGTCGGGGGCTGAGAGATGCGGACAGACCCAGGACACCGGGGGTGCCAGGCCCCAAGCGGGGTGACAAACCACACGAGTGGGTGGCTGGCGGCCGGTGCGTGAGCTGCGGGCTGCAGACGAGCCGCGGTTTTCAGCCCAGGAACTGCTGAGAATCCCGCACATGAACGCTGTCTGAGCTCATTGGAGGAAACGCGGAAAGACAGCTGGAAGTGGGGGACCAGCCGGACTCCACCGAGGCCCGGGGGTGAGGGTGGGGCAGGCGCCACCCGCCACCATCTGTGGCCTCAGCAGAGCCTCCTGTGCAGCCCTGGATGGCAGCCGGCAAGCACCCGCCTTCTCAGAGGCTTCGTGTCCCCAGCATCTCTGACTGCTCCCCACGGGGGGCTGACGAGGGGCTCCCTGGGCTGAACGGAGCAGGCACCAGGTGTGTGAGGACCAGGGTCAGCAGCCCATACCCTGTAGCCCCGGCACTAAGGACGTCTGACCAGTGCCCACCGCCTGGAGCTTGGGGTGTCCCAGGCTGTGCTCCGGTTTTACTTTTCCCAAACTCAGGAGGAACTCTGCAGCATAAAGGATAATCCTGCCTGAGGTACCTGATCTTTTTTAACTAAAAAAATTATGAAATGGATCATAAAAACTAAAGGGAATTTTCTCCCCTTCCCCCTCCATCTATGGCTTGAAAAACTATATAATAAAGTGAATACCTTGAGTACCCACCTCCTACTTTTGAATTTCATTCTACGGCGTTTTTTTATAGACTTTACCCTCGGAGGCAGGGCACTGTCAGAAGTGGCCCGTCACGTGCAAAAGCAGGACAGGGGGTTAAATCGGTAAAAACCGGGTCCCCCACAGAAGCCGGAGTGGCAGTGAGGCAGGACGGCTGGGCCCCCATCGGTGCCAAGGGCCCACGAGCCCCACCTGCCCCCCATCCTCCTACAAGTTTCGGCAAGACCACCCTCCGGCCACTGCCCTCCACCAACAGCCTGTCTCCAGACACTTCAGAACCACGGTCACTGACAGGATGGGCTGGTAGGAGCTGGCAGACTCCTAGGGTTTGGGCTTTTACTTTCTGCATCTTTGAGGGAGTTTCCAGAAACTGAAGGTCCGAAAATCCAGTTGTCAGCGGAGGTGGGAAAGCCTGCCTCCTCTCTGTCTGCTGGGGGGTGTGGAGTGGGGTAAGGACGAGCTGGCAGCGCCCCAGGGCCCCCCAACTCACCCAGTCCACCACGAGGGTCTTGCTCACGCTCAGCCTTTGCTGGAGAAGCTTGGCAGCGATGGCCACGGAGTTGAAGTAGCAGAACCCCCTGCAGGGGAGCATCAAGAGAAACAGAGAGAAAACGTGGGCTCTGATTAGTTTGTACACAGCTTGCATGAGAACACTCTAGAATCCCAAGGGTCTAAGAAGTCTGGTGAACCACAGCTTCTGATGAAGCGATCTGGACACCTTTATTGATGCTGATCACAGAGACACACACACATGCACGGACCCTGCATGCAGCCCACCTGCGCTCTCTGGGTGACAAAGTCCATTTCACTTTGTGCCCCAGGACACCTCCTGGGCCATGCACTGCCCAGCTTCCCAAGAGGCACGAAGGCCCATGGGACACAGAAGTTATGATTTTACTTGTTCCCCGCTTATCCCTCTGTGTTCTAGGATGTATACAATGATTCTAGAGAGGCTTCCAGAGGATGGGAAAAACAAGCTAAGAAAGCGAGTCGAATAAAAATGAAAATCTCCTAAACCTGAACTGCCATAGAAGCTGAGAAGCCTGGGTGGGTTTGTTTTCGGGGTGCAGGCCAGCTATCTGGAAGCCTGGGGTACCAAGCACCCATATGGAGCCTCTCCTGCCTCACTGGCCTCCGAGACCTCCAAGAGAGCCTCCAGGGAGGAGACTCCTCCAGGCTCCATCCGGGTCCCCTTGGGCCCACTCTCTAGAATATCTGACAAGCCAGACTCAGATTGGAAAGGGGACCTCAGAGAAGACACCCAGGTCAGCATCCACTGCTGGGTCTCGCGGACGGTCCTGGGCGAGCGAGGGATGCACACGGGTGATGACAGTGCCCTTCTGGGCAATGGCCCTTCCTGCAGCCGGGTCCCGACACCCCCACTGTGGTCAAGGTGGCTCCCTGCCTGCGTGCTTCCTGCTTCTCCCCGCGGCTCTGCCTGCACGCGTGTGCATCACCGACCGACAAGCCAGCGCTCAGCCTTCCAGGCTCCGCCCGTCGCCTCGACCTGATGACCCCCAACACTGTGTCTTCTGTCTCAGGCCCCAGTAGAAGCCCCCATACGGCACTCGCTGAGGGTTTCCCGTGTCCACTTTGGGCACAACTTGTGGGGTCAGGTCCTGTGACTCCCACAGGGGGCTTCTCCTGGACAAGGATGGGCGCTGAGTCCACACGCCACCCCCCGCCACCTCGGCCAGCTCCACAACCCGAAACACAGGCTGGACAGCTGACCACCGTGGTCATGGCCTGGCGACTTGAGCCTCACGGTACCAGACTGTGAACAGGTCGGCTGGAAGGCCACCCATGAGCAGACCCAAGATCTAGAACAAGGAAGCACCCCTTGAACTCCTTCTGGGGCAGCTGACATTCCCTTTCCTGGGCTTGCCCTGGGGCTTGACAGGGAGGCGGCGCCTCTGGACTCCCTTCTGCAGGCTCAGCCTCCCTTCTGTGCCCCCTGCCACCCCACCCCGCGTCTTTCCACCGTCACAGCCAACTCCAGCTGCACATCCTGCTGGCCCGGCACACGGGAGGGGTGTGAGGCAGTCGGTGTCCCCTGCCCGTGAGCGACCATGTGTCCACTTACATGGGCGTGCTCTCCTCTGCGTGGTGTCCTGGAGGGCGGACCACAGCAAAGCCGTTCTAGGCACGACACCAGAGGGGAGAGACAGGGACAGAAGACTGGTTTCAGGTCAGTGAGAAAAAGATCACAGGCTGAGCACAGGCAGGGTCTGCATGGTTTCCAGCCGCCCCCGGGCGCACAGATGCGGGCAGGACCCAGGGCTCCCTGTGAGCGCTTCGGAGACACCCAGGTCCCCTCTGTCAGAGGCCCGCTGTTATCACAGGTCACTGAGACGAAAGGTCAGCTCACTCCTGACTTTCCATCTGCAAAAGTCTGCAGGTCAGGCTTTGGGCTGCTGAGCGGGGGAGTCTGGGAAGGAGGGGGCAGGGGCGCCTGTAGCCCTGCTCTGATCATAACCAGCAGGAAGTAACTGGATGGGAACGCTGGAGCAGATGAACCTGACGGGGCTTGGCTGCACCCTGGTTTGGCCATAATGTCAACTTCCCTGCTGCCTCTGCAGCTCAGCTCCCCGGGGACTGGGCATTGCAAGAAAAGGACCACTATCGCCTGTGAGGAAAGTCTACAGGCTGGAGAAGAGCTGCAGGCTGCCCCCTCCAGGCCCTGAAGTCACTTATGCTTTAAAAAGACCATCTGCAAACCATCCTGCAGCCGCTGTAATAAAGACAGTTTAGACCAGCACGCCCGGTCTCGCCAGCCCAGGAAGCTGTGTGGTCAAGGTCTGCAACGGAGCCCCCAGGGCCGTGGACCAGGCTGGCTGGGTGTGGGAAGTGTGCCCAGCCTGCTGTGGCGACTGGGGTGGGGGTGCACGTAGCGGGAGCCCCCGCTCAGCACCACCCAACCACCTCCCCGTCCCTGGACAGGACCCCACACCCCAGGCCTCTCCAGTACCCCACAGCTCTGTGCCCGCTCCGGTGTAGCCGAGGGCTGACCGGCGGCGGGCACGGTGGTGGGGGCAGCACACAGGCTCCCAGTGGAATGGCAGCTCCACGCCAGCGCCCCGAGGGAGCAGTGAAACTTATCAACGTCATTAAACCTTGGCGTCTCTTTAACACCTGTGCAGAGAGATGGGGGTGTGCAACCAGCCCGGCGGGGCTGTCACCTTGGGGAGAACACAGCTGTGGTCAGGGTGGGATCTGAGCTTCCCAGTGAAAATCAGAGCTTTGGAAGACCAGCTCTTCCCGGCGTGGAGGAGACCCTTCTGATGCAGCGGGAGGTGACGGGCATGGTTCTCAGGGTGTGGGCTGCAGTGCACACAGACTAGTAAGAGGCATCTGAAGGGTCTGGAGCCCTCCATGACCCGTCAAGCCCCTCATCTGCAGACAACCGTGCACTGTGCAAAGTCAGGATAAGCGATGCACTTGGCGTGAGGGGCCGGTGGGGTCTCTCATAAAGCAGGAGGACAGAGGCCACTGGTGTGCTTTAGGGTCTACACAGCAACATGTCTTCAGGACAGCTCCCCTCGCTGAACTGGGGTGTAGCATCAGAGACACAGACCCGCAGTACCCTGAGGAAAACCGACCCCCTCGCCCTGCACCATGCCAGGCTGCAATGCCTTCGTGCGATTCAACCAAGGCCGCGTATGCCAGCCAAGGATGCAGGAGCGGGTGTGACGATCTTGGCTGAGCCACGAAGCCAGATGTACTATCATTGTTAAGTTAACGAAGACTCCTTTAAATTTGCAAAGACCTTTTTCAATCTCGGATGAGTAGTCAGCCTCTGATGACACAACTCCTACGGACTAAAGCTCTCCTGGTCTTTCAGCCACTGTGAGAAGGTGGGGCTCCAAGATTGGCCTTGCTGAGAACCGTTGCGTGGCTGTGCATGTTCTCACAAGGGGCAGGGTCCCCTGCGGGTCAACGGCTGGGACAGACCTGGGTGCTCCACCCCCCTCGCAGCCTCCTGGTGCCCAGCAGAAGCAGGGAGCAGAGGCGGCTGGCGGCACCCTCCCCGGGCACTCTCCCCCCACCCCCGAGCCCCTCCTGCGGGTCCTCACTGACCTTCAGCTCTCCTGTGGCCACCTTGAAGACCAGCTCCACCACGCAGCCCACGGCCAGGCGGGCGGCCCCCGACGAGTGCACCTCGTTCCATATGGTGTCACTGTCCACCTGTGGAGACAGTGTGCCCGCGGTGAGCCCGGCGCCCCGTCGGTCACACCGCCCCCGCCCCCGAGCAGCCGGGTCCCTTGTGCTCTGCCTCTAAAACCGGAGGGTCTCGTCTCTCCCTGACTAATTACAGAACATGGCTCACATTCCAGTTTACTTTTCTTTTTATTTTGAAGACATGCCAAAAAATACTAAACAGGAAAAGAACGGTAAATGCACCCAAAATAGCACGCCTGCATTCTCACCCCTTTCTGAGGCGTCATTTCTTTTCTCAGTGGCTCCAAGTTACTCCATGCTGAGAGTCATGATGTTAAGGTTACCTAGCTCCCACTACCTCTTTTTTTAAATTGCAACTGCAGCTGAGTTACACTCACAGTCAGCAAAAGCAAATGTTAAGAAGGGTTAGAATTAGCTGTTTGCTGTTCAGTTGCTCAGTCGTGTCCGACTCTTATGGACTGCAGCACGCCAGGCTCTTGTGTCCATGGGATTTCCCAGGCAAGAAGAGCAGGTTGACATTTCCTTCTCCAGGGGATCTTCCCAACCCAGGGATCAGACCTGTGTCTCCTGCTTTGCTCCTGGCTCAGATGGTCAAGAATCTGCCTGCAATGTGGGAGACTGGGGTTTGATCCCTGGGTTGGGAAGATCCCCTGGAGAAGGAAATGGCAACCCACTCCAGTATTCTTGCCTGGAGAATCCCACGGACAGAGGAGCCTGGTGGACTACTGTTTGTGGGGTTGCAAAGAGTCAGACATGACTGAGCAATTAAGCATCTCCTGTTTGCAGGTAGATTCTTTTACCACTGAGTTAGAATTAGAGACCTCTCCGAATGATGATGCTATTTCATGATGAATTTACAGAGAAGCTCCGCATGCATGGTGGGAGTTAACAGGGACGGGCGCATAGGGGAGGAGAACCCGTCTCTTGGACACAGCCCTGGTGGACTCAGCCTGGGATGGCACACCTGCCAGGTAGCTGTTCTCCGTCCAACAGAAACACAGGTGTGGCACAAACCTGTTGGGCCATTTGTTTCTGTGATGGTTTGTTTATTTACCCCTTAGATGTACAGATTTCAAATTCCAGCTAATATGGGTGGGAAAGAAGTCAGGGACTTGAGGAGCCTGGGGGCTGGGGATCAGGGGCTGCGGTGCAGAAGTCCCTGGTCCCAGGTCAAGGGCCCCCTCCAGGTACCCCCAGGGCAGGGTAGCTGGTGCCTCGCCGCACACGCCTGGGACTCCCATCATCTTCCTGGGGAAAGCCAGGCCTAGAGAGGGCTCTGGAAAGCCTTAGTGACAAGACCATCCACTAGGAGCTGAGTCTGCAGGCCTGTGAGAACCTGCTGCCTGCAGCAATCCCTTCCAAGCCCCGAATGCTTGGGCCCAGACACATGGGCTGAGCTGCAGGTGAGGGTCTGGTACCCCGCCCCCGCCAGGGTCGGCGCCCAGGCCCTGATCATTACGTGGGATGGATGGGTTTCTTTCAATGAAGTCTTGAGGCTTCATCTTCAAAGCAAGATGATTTAAAATACATTTACGAGCGGTTCGAGCTATTTCCTGAGGAGCGTTATTTCGTGCGGGCTCTTCTTTTCAATGACCAAACCGCTATGTTCTTTAAATAGCTTCCAAATGTCAGAAGAACACTCTGCACTTAGCCCGGTCTCTGCGGCATTAATATTCAACGTTCAAAGACAGGCTTCTGTTCTAAATAATGGTGTGCTGTTATTCATTGCTGTAGCCTCTCAACTAGAATATTGGGGACCAGTTACTTCAGCTCAAGAATCAGTTCAAGAAAATTGACATGAGAGCCAGCCTTCCGAGAGGCTGCACCCCTGAGGACCAGGGGTGGTTTGGGCAAAAATCTACTCAGATTCTGTCTCCTCCAAATGCAGTAACTTGGGCTTTTGGCTAAGTAACCAGAGCCGGGGCGGGGGGGTGGGGGGGTGGTGGACAACGGACCGACTCTCCACGTTCAGTGAAGGGTCTTTGTTCTCTATTCTTCTTTCTAGGACCCAGAAGCTCCCGTAACACTGTGTCCAGGGTAAGACAGACCTCCAGCCCCACTGCAAGACCCCAGGCTGCCACTGCTCCCGAGAAACTGACGGCGATTTGTACTGCCTCAGGGCCTCGGTCCTCCAGCTGCTGGCCATCAGCTCCCCGTGGACCCACTGGGATGGGGGCTTGGAGCCCTGAGTTCCAGAAGAACGAGGCTCCAGTGAGGGTGCTGGAAGTGTGACACTGCAGACGTGGCCCCACTCGGGGTGACCGCCACACACAAGAGTGGTGGAGGCAGGGAAAACAGGCCCCCCCGCCCGATTCCTCCACAGTTCCCCACAGCGAAGGTGGACGGGAGGACAGCTGGGGAGACCTCACACGGAGGTTTCAAACGGACACTCGGGGTGGCTCTTCCGGGTGGGCTGCGGGCCCCCAGGGCCTGCGAGAGGCTGCCCCCTCTAGCCAGGGCAGGGCTGGAAGGGAAATGCAAAAATTGGGAGGAGAGCAAAGCAGAAGCTGCTGTTAACTTGGTTTGGGGGGGAAAAAATGTAGAACAAGAAAAACCTCTGTTATACAACCTGGATGTTCACTTGAGCGATCTCTCCTTCCTTGTCTCCACTGCTGACCCGCACCCTCCCAACCACACCTGGGTCCCTGGGGTCCCCGTGGCTGCACCGACGCCCCGGGGGCTGGCCCTGGGGTCTGGAAGGAGACCCCGGGGCCCAGGAGGGCTGTGGCTGCCCCAGCTGTGTGGCAAAGAGGCCCCGCTGAGCCTTGCAGGCGGGCTGGAACCTCCACCCTCTGCTCGTCTGCTTGTGTCAGCTGCTCAGTCACATCCGACTCTCTGCGACCCCAAGGACTGTAGCCCGCCAGGCTCCTCTGTCCATGGGATTCTCCAGGCAAGAATACTGGAGCGGGTTGCCATGCCCTCCGCCAGGGGATCTTCCCGACCTAGAGATAGAAGCTGGGTCTCCTGCATTGCAGGCAGAGCCTTTACCATCTGAGCCACCAGGGAAGTCCTGTTAGGAGTAATTAGAGCAAACAGTTGGGAGTGAACAGTCCCTTTGGACACAACACAGTTCACACTTCCCCCTGATTACTCTGACTGACGGACTCCCCTCTTGACCTGGCTCCTCTTGGTAAGATTCTCCAGGCCTCCGTGCTCCCGAGCGTTTCTGTGCCCAGATGCAGAGGTGGGTGCCTTAGCCGGTCATGGTGGGGTGGGACTTGGACTTCACACCCGGGAGGGGTCGCCTGGCTCAAGGCCCCAGGCCCCAGGCCCCATTTCGCTTTCATTTGCAAATTATAAATCCTGCCTTGTGCAGAGCGGCTGCGGGGCAGTGCAGATCCAAACCTTTTCAAGTCTGGCCAAAAATTTGCCCCGAATTAAGAGATTGCAGCCTATTTACAATACAAAATACAATAACTCTAGGAGGGCCTGGTGGTGGTATGAACAAATGCCGTTTATTCTCTTTCTGACGGGATAATTTTCAAAGCAGCAATTTTTGTAAAGACTCAGGAAGAAAACAATTTTGTTTCATTTCCATAACAGAATCCAGACCTGGGCTCTGCTGTGCGATCTGTCATTACGTGGACCTTCGACCGCTTGCGTAGGTCCAGCCGGGACACCTTTGCGTCCACTGGGTCCTTTGGCCTCTCTGGGCCCAGGACCAGCCGTAGCAGCTCCTGGGCTGGGGAGCTCCATGGCCGGCAGACGGGCCGGGGGTGGGCTGCTCTGACCCTCGACCCCAGCACACTCTCCTTGCCTGTGGCCTTCCTCACCCAGAGGCCGGCGTGGTGGGGGGCAGCCCCCCGGATGAAGGAGAAGCTCTGGCTGTGCTGGGGTGCAGCTGGGCGCCCAGACGGGTTCAGCGCCCCCACCATGGGCAGGCAGAGCCCGGGTTAAACCCAGACCCTGGTTCTCCCGTGTCTGCTCGCGCACTTCTGCTCAAGGGCTCAACCCCGGGGGCGCGGCTCTGCCCGCCTCTCGCGGCCCATAAACCTGGTGCCCGCAGTCAGAGCAGCAGCGGGGGCCTCGTGCTGGAGCTCTGTGATCGGGATCGACACACTCCTGTGCGGCGATGGGATTCGTGAGCTGAGCTGGACCAGGGGGAGCGTGGCTGGGCGGGTCGGATGAGACGGGCCGCACACCAGATCCTGTTTCCTGAAGCCAGCCCCATTGCCAGACGGCCTTCCCCGGCGGACGGTGCCCCAGACCCACCATCAAAACGCTCACAGGCTCACGGGGCCTTTGAAGCCACACGTGTGCGCGGTGGGGTGACCCCGCCCCACGGATCCTGTTTATGGAAAACACCTGGCAGCAATTACCTGCTCTTCGGAGAGCAGGGCAGCAGTTTCTGTGACCACCGGGACCCCGAGAACAAACAGGACGTTATTTACACATTAAAGAAACACTTACCCCGACACCACCGCAGGGCAGCCTGACGAACACGGACGTTAGAGAGCCTGCAGGGAGAAGAGAGCCCGGGTCAGGTGGCAGGGTCACCGGGCACTGGTGGGGACGCAGTGTGTCCACCGAGGGGGCACATGGGCTGCACGTGCGGCTGCCAGGGCGACACCTGGTCAGCAGAGGGTCCCGGGCTGAGCGGGCCCAGCCCCAGGGAAAGACCCCGCCTTCCCCAGGGCACCAGCTGCTCCTCTAGGGGTGTGGAGCCCCGTGGGGGCTTCTGCTTCCAGCCTGAGCTGGGCACCTGGCAGGGAACCACCCGATCGGCGGCATCCAGAACTCTCGCCCCCGACCCCGGCTCTCCACCTTGAGCTCTGGCCGCCACCCTCCCCAGCAGTGAGCAGGAGGCCTGGGGTGATCGCCGGCCCCCGTCCCGTCCTGGGGGGGAGCCCTTTAGATGTGGAATGCGAGTCACGGCAGGCCCCCTCCGCGTGCAGGAGTGTTCCAGAGTCACCGGGATGTGCCCAGCTAAGAAGCCACACAGCCTTGCAGCTGGCCATACAGAAAGGCCCTGTGCGGGGTCCATGGGGCTCGGACTGTCCCCGCCCAGGGACAAGGCCAGGGACCGTCTTCCTCCTCGGTGTGATCCCGGGGCAGGCCGACGACCAGCCTAGAAGGCGCCCCTCCCCAAGGGGAGGTGAGGCCTGTGCCCACCTCATCCGGGCTCCTGGCCGGGACCACGCTGGGGACCCTCGCTGCCCCTCGAGGTGGGGACCTGTCCTGCTGTGTGCAGTGCTCTCCTCCAGGTCAGGGCCCCCCCTCCCCCCATCGCCCCCGCTGTGGCTCCGGACTGCGGTTCCCAAACTGCCTCTTCTCAGAGTCACACAGCCTCCAGCCCCCTTCCCTATGAGGCCACAGGCACGGCTGCGTCTCCTACCGCGCCCCTGCGCCTCAGCCACCAGACTAGGCTCCCTCCCCAGCTCGCTGCCGTGAGAAGGTGATGACCAGGCAGCTCCCTCCAAGGTCTGCTGCCCACATCAGTCTGGCCAAGCCGTGTCACTTTGCCCTGCACTAACCACACAGGTCTTTCTGCATGTGGCTGAGAAATGTGCGGATTCAACCGAAAGAGGCAGGGAGACCACAGGGCAGTGCTAGGGCACTGTTACCATCATCGGAGGCTGCCAGTCACCCCAGGTCTGGATACTCAGAAAGATGTCCTGATGGCAGGGCAGTCACCAGACACAAAAACAGGCCTCAAGCAGTGAGACGCCATCTGCCCGGGCATCCTCACGGCCACACGGGCGCACGTCACAAGACAGAGCTCAGTAGATGAGAGAGAAAGAGGAAACAAAATGGGCTATACTGTCATTAATGTAAATGGAACATACACACTCACAATGTGTATGTATGTGGTGACACCCTTGGCTCATAAAAGAAACGCTAAACACGCTCACATGGCTGCCAAGGGTGGGGAGTGGGGTCTGAGATGAGGGAGGAACACTTCAACTTTCCCAGTAACCCCTGGTTCTGGCGTTTCTCTCATTTCTGATCACCTGCCTTAAACTTTGGAACCAGTTTGAAAACCTCACCCATCCTCCTGGTGGGGGACTTGAGTCCACCTGCACCCCTGCATGGGGACCGTTCCCCCATCACCCTGTCTCCTGTCCCTCGAGCGTCACATGCCTGGTGGATGGGCACGCAAAAGGGGTAGGCTGACCAAGAGGGTGGACGTGGACTGTGAGGGTGAGCTGGGAAGACCCCCACTGGTTGGAAAAGGACATGAGTGGGCTTGGTGGCCGCGAGGTGTGTTCATGGGTAGTGCAACCACTCTCCTGCCTGAGGCCCCGCAGAAGTGGGGGTCACTGGGACTGCATGTGAGCAGTCACGGGACCCACGGGCATCCCCACCTGTTCTGGACAGAGTTTCAGGAGCGGGGATCCACGTGGGAAGGAGCTGAGCTGCCTGGAGGATCCAGGGCCAGGCTGCAGACCTTGCACTTGGCCAGCTCCATGCCTCCCTCCGTGGCCACTGACTTTGTCCCCCAGCTGCACCGTCCTTGTCTTTGGGGGCGCCTTCCCACCAGGCCCCACCCAGCCGCAGGCCAAGCCCTCTCCTCTGGGCCCCCAGCTGCTGCCGTTTCATTTCTAGATGTTCTGGCCTGTATCCATGCCACTTCCAGTGCCACAGGCTGGCCTCTGGGCTCCTCAGTGTCCCCTGTCCTCCCCTTCCTGGGAGTGGCCAGCTTGGACCACCCTGCCCTCCCCTCCCCCATGACTCTGGGTGTGGGGCCTGGACACCCCCGACACCCCTTCCCAAACTCAGAGGACACAGATGTGCTTTGGGGCGGAGTGGAGGACGCTGTCCACGCTGGAGGGTCTGTGTCCAGTCTGTATCGCACAGGGCCTCAGCCGAGGGAGAGGGAACAGCAGGGCGCCCCTCCACAGGGACCAGGGCCCTCCCTAGCTTTGGGCCAAGTGAACCCGCACAGCTCCTTCTTCTGCTATATCCTAAACCATGTGGCCAAGTTGTGGAAAACCCTACGGGGTAGCATCCATCCTCCAGGGCTGGCCGCTGAGATTGGTCTGGCTTCAGCGTATGTGTCCCCAGATTCACAAGTCGAACTTTGGCCCTCAGTGTGACGCTGGGAGGTGGGGCCTTTGGCAGATGCTTTAAGCCGTGAAAATAGAGCCCTCACGAATGGGGTCAGTGCCCTTCATAAAGAGAGAGCTCCCCACCCCTCCCACCACGAGGCGGCACTGGCCGTGAACCAGGTAGAGGCCCTCACCCACCACGCTGGCACCCTGAACTCACAAGTCCAGTCCTGGGGCAAGGGGTGTGTCTAGACAACATGCCTGAGCCTGGCTGGCTGGAGACTTCAGACTGGAAAGAACCTTCTCTGGAGCTGGCCAGGCCTTGCCCTGCAGCTGCGGCCCAATGTTGTCCTGGCTCCCAGCAGCCCTGGTCCTCTCCCTGGGGCATGGCGGCATGCTTGCGTCTGCTTCCCGTGCTCTGAGACTTTCCAGGGTGCTCCCTGCAGGGTCCTCGCGGCTGGCGGCTGGTCCTCCCGCCCGGGGACCCTCGTGTGGTCCCCCAGTGCTCGCCATTCCTCTCCATGTCCTCTGGAAGCTCCTGGGCCCGCGCACTAGGGACGCTCCTCAGATTTCCTTCTCTCCTCCGCCTTCCTGGTGTCCAGGTCTGGTCACGTTCTACTCCCTGTCCCTTCCAGCCCAGGACTCGATTTCCGAGACCACGTTTCATGCTACTGCCCCTGAATGTTTTTGTTCTCTGTGCTCTTGTCTTTGTTCGTGTTCTGTGGACGTGGTGTCTCCCCTCCAAGGATTCTAAGGCCAGTCTTGGCTTCCATGGCAACTCCCAGAAGTCTGGCCTCTGAGCGGTGAGCACCTTCCTAGGTGCCTGCAACTCCTGACCTTCTGCTCTGGCCGAGGGTGAGGGTGTGAAGCTGGTGGAAGGTCTGGGGACACGGCGGGCTGGCACCATCAGCACCACTGTTGAGGATCTCAGGGCACTGTGTGTTGGGGTGCCCCACTGTCAGCTCCCTCTGGGCAGACGGACCCTGAAGGAGGTCCCCCATCTCTGCCGGGGGGTAAAGGTCAGTGTGCCGGAAGCCCAGGAAGGAGGGAGGGAGGGCTGGTGGCCTCACCTCCTCTAGGCCTGAGTCTGTCCCAGCCCGGGGGCCCCCTGACTGTCTGTCTGGGGCTACAGGGCTGCCAATGGGACGCGATGGAGACCTCTCAGGCCCTGTGGCCTGGTCCCCTGAGCCCTGCCTGCCTGCACCTCAGGGCCAGGGTCTCTGCAGTCCTTGTCTCTCGGCTGACAGCAGGCGGAGGTGGGGGCATCTGTTCCTGGGGCCAGCTCTGGACCCACTTCCTGGCACGTGCCGTCTAGCTCTGCACCACTAGCCCCCACCCTGTCTCCCAAGTGTGGTGGATTCTGACGTCTAACAGTCCAGTCACTGCACATGGTCTCCTGCCCAGGCCCGAGCACGTTTCCTCTTGCACCCCGCCTCCAGCTCTGTGCTTTCCAAGGACTCAGCACCTACAAGGTGCCCAGCAGGAAAGATGTGCTCCCTGCGTGTACGAGGGGGTGAAGGGGCCCGTGGGTGCACAGGGAGGTGGTGGGGCTGCACTGCAGGGTCCCTGGGGGGGGTGACACCCATGCAGTGAGGGCCAGGCCCAGGGCTGACCCTCTCCACGTCCTCCCCGGAAATGAGAGCAAACAGGGCATGGCCCATCTCCCCCGACCCCAGCGGGACCACAGAGTCTGCTTCCAGGACCCTCTCTGCCCGCCTTGGTTCAGGGAAGAGCCCCGAGCGGTATCTCACCCCAGGGGGCTGGGACAGGCAGGGAAACCCAGGGTTGGTGACTGTCCTGGCTCAAGGTGATTGGGAAGTGGTGGTGGTGGCGGTGGGCGGAAATTGTCCAGGAAGTGTTCTGATGAGGGGCTCTGTCCCTGCGAGCCTGGGGACTCCACCTGTCTGTCAGCCCCGCCTGCTTTATGGGGACCCTAACCACCTCCCAAGAGGGAAGGAGTTCTTTCCATCAGGCCCAGATCCCGCCACTTCATCTGGGGGGCTGCCTGCTCCAGACGAAGCCCGGCCCCTGGGAAAGGCTCAGGCCGCCACCGTCCCCCTGGGAGCCTGGACAAGCGTCCCCAGGTGGACTCCAGGACCAGAAAGGGGTGGCCAGGTGGTGGCTGCGAGCCCCAACCAGCCTCGCCTGTCACAACTCAGCTAGTTGAGATTCTGCAAAACCAGCGGTGCTCAGCCTGCTTGCTCCCCAACATACTCGATGCTAAGCAAGAAGCCAAGCGCCCACGTGAATGCCAAGGGCAGGTTCCTCCTCGGACCCTCACCTGAGAGCACGATGGAGAAGGGCCGCCTCTGCCCCCGCCGCCCACTCATAGCCTGGCGGGCGACACTCGGCCTCCAGCCAGGGCACCGGGAGGGACGGCAGGGCCTCTGGCGCGGGCAGGGCCAGGAGCAGCCTCGCGGTAAAGGTAAAGAAGGCCTTGAAATACCTAGAAGTTTCTTACTGTCCAGTTTCTGCCTGTTGAGGGGGTTCGTGCCATAGAGCAGGGCGTGCGTCTCCGAGTGCACTGTCTGCAGCTCCTCCAGCGTGGCCTTGCGTCCGCGGATGCACTGCGGGACAGAATGGGACAGTCAGCCGTAGCAACAAAACAGCACCCAAGACGGAGTGGGGTTTCACATGCGCACGAGCACAGTGTGACTTGGTTGTTGAGAAATCAAAAGCAAACATCACCCCACATGATATTTGAAAAATATTTGGGAAATATTTTAGAGGACTTATACTTTAATTAGAACTTAGAAAGACGCTTTAGGAAAAAAAAAAAGATAATCCCAGCCTTCAACGCTTTAGCCTTCACTGTCACATCAATGATCTGGCATCAAATTGTTATTTTGCTTTCCAGCTGCGGGGGTCTGGTCTTAAACTAGATGGGAGCCGCCTGGCGCGTGGGGCTGCGCTCAGCTCTCACGAGGCCAGATACCAGCTCCCTGGGTATCGAGAGCCTTCCTGGAGGGGAAGGCGGCCCATAACCCGCCTGACACCCCAGGCTGTGTCCGTCTGCATGCTTCTTCACTTTGGAAATTCCTCAGACCTTTGGCTATTTTGAGACATTCCCCAGAAATTACCATGAACATCACTGTCCTTGACTTGAGCTACATTTACTTAACCTTTGAGAAGGAGGCTGATTTGTGAAGCAAGATTCCGGTCAACACCTTACACTTTCTGAGAGTTAGAATAATGCAGGCGGAGCTGACGACTCCGGGGTGCAGGGGGGAGGCCTTTGGCTCTCTGGGCCAGATGCACCCCGTGCAGAGGTGGGCCAGGAGCTGCACTCCCCTGGGAACCCCCTGAGGGGCGCTGGAACCCCTTCTAACAGTATATCAGGATCCCAGAGACGCCTGCCTGCTGAGCAGGGGCCAAGCAGAGGGAGCCTGAGGCTGCTGGCTGTGGCCAAGCCTTTCCCAGCCTGACTTCCAGGGTGGAGGGGTACAAGGTGGCAGGGAAGTTTACCACCCACCCCATGACCTTCCACACTGCAGTGGCTCAAAGAGGGGAGCCCACCCAAGGAGTGGGGGTGCTGGCTGGGAGGCTTGGGGGCCTCAGGAAGTCACGGCACAGCTGGTCCACTAACCACCCTCCCTCGGGGCCAGTCCCACACCCGTGTCCTCTTGACCTGGAGGTGCCCTGCATAGTGAGCACTCCCAAGTGAGCTGAAGGCAGGCCTTGCCTCCGATCATTAGCGGCGTGGAAGCACCTCTTTGCCCCGGGTCTGTCCCATCAGCCTGTGTCTCTTCACGCCGGGTCCGTCCCTTCAGCCTGTGTCTCTCACCCAGGGCCCATCCCCTCAGCCTGTGTCTCTCACCTCGGGTCTGTCCCCTCAGCCTGTGTCTCTCACCCCGGGTCCGTCCCCTCAGCCTGTGTCTCTTCACTCCGGGTCCGTCCCCTGAGCCTGTGACTCGTCACCCCGGGTCCGTCCCCTGAGCCTGTGTCTCTTCACCCCGGGTCCATCCCCTCAGCCTGTGTCTCTCACCTCGCATCCATCCCCTCAGCCTGTGTCTCTTTACCCCGGGTCCATCCCCTGAGCCTGTGTCTCTTCACCCCGGGTCCGTCCCCTCAGCCTGTGTCTCTCACCTCGCGTCCATCCCCTCAGCCTGTGTCTCTCACCTCGCGTCCATCCCCTCAGCCTGTGTCTCTTTATCCCGGGTCCATCCCCTCAGCCTGTGTCTCTCACCTCGCGTCCATCCCCTCAGCCTGTGTCTCTTTACCCCGGGTCTGTCCCCTCAGCCTGTGTCTATCACCTCACGTCCGTCCCCTCAGCCTGTGTCTCTTCACCCTGGGTCCGTCCCCTCAGCCTGTGTCTCCTCATTCCGGGTCCATCCCCTCAGCCTGTGTCTCTCACCCCGGGTCCGTCCCCTCAGCCTGTGTCTCCTCACTCCGGGTCCGTCCTCTCAGCCTGTGTGTCCTCACCCCGCATCCGTGCCCTCAGCCTGTGTCTCTCACCCTGGGTCCGTCCCCTCAGCCTGTGTCTCCTCACTCCGGGTCCGTCCCCTCAGCCTGTGTCTCCTCACTCCGGGTCCGTCCCCTCAGCCTGTGTCTCTTAACCCCGGGTCCGTCCCCTCAGCCTGTGTCTCCTCACTCCGGGTCCGTCCCCTCAGCCTGTGTCTCCTCACTCCGGGTCCGTCCCCTCAGCCTGTGTCTCCTCACTCCGGGTCCGTCCTCTCAGCCTGTGTGTCCTCACCCCGCGTCCGTGCCCTCAGCCTGTGTCTCTCACCCCGGGTCCGTCCCCTCAGCCTGTGTCTCTCACCCTGGGTCTGTCCCCTCAGCCTGTGTCTCCTCACTCCGGGTCCGTCCCCTCAGCCTGTGTCTCTTCACCCCGGGTCTCCCCTCAGCCGATATCTCACACCCTGGGTTCCCCCAGCCAGCCTGTCCTGCAGGCCCCCTCCTGGGTGTGGGGATGCCTGCGCCGTCAGTGGCCACCCTCAGCACTGCTGTCCTCGCCCCCATCTCCTAGCTCCTGTCTTGACACCACTCTGGCAGCCGCCGGCCTGAGGAGACCATCCTGTGAGCGATGTAGAAGCAGCCTAGGGCCCCAGAGGCAGCTCAGTGGCGGGGAGAAGGCCGGGCCGGGCTGGAGGAGGCGCGTCCGCCAGGCCGATGCTGCCCCCCAGTGGTGCGGCCTCACTGCGTTTGGAAGCAGGTGCGGCCGCCTCAGCCCTGCCGCCTGGGGTCCCTGTGCTCTCTCCAGAGGGACTCCAGGGCCGCATTGTGGGCCCAGACCTCGAGCCTTCTCCTGAAGAGATCGTGGGTTGCCATAAGCTGACAAAGACGTGGGGTCACCAGAGACGGGCTGACCTCAGCTCCTAAACACCCTGTCCTGAGGGAGGGGCAGACAGGGAGCGGGGCTCTGACCGCGCCCTCCAGGCGGCGCTGGGCCCCGGAGGATGGACAGAACGGTTCTGCTCAGCCATAGGCTCGGGCTTTCTGGGGTCACCCTGCAGGGCAGCACCCCCTTGCCGGAAGCCCACCCCAGGTTCGTGGGGTTCGCAGTGCGGGGGACACAGCAGGCCCCCACCGGGTGGGCACATGGGAGGCTGGGCCCCGTCATCGTGGAGGGCTCCCGGGAGGTGGTGTTGCCGGCCTGCCCCACGGATGACAGGGTATGGTGCCCACAGCCTGGAGCCCCCTGCCTGGGCACAGATACCCTCCTACCCCGACTCCCCCGCCCCAGACCCCAAGTCCCTTACGGTGGCTACGCTCCTGCATCAGAAGGGTGGGGGGACCTCCCAGGATCCTTCAGCAGACCTGTCCTCCAGGACCTCATGCTCAGGGGTGCAGGGGTGGGGACTGAACTCCAGGCAGACAGACCAGTCTGTGCACCGCCCCTGCCCTGCAGGCCTGAGGCTCTACCCTCATCCTGAGAGGAGCTTTCTCAAAAGCTCAAGGAAGGGAACCTTCGATGAGGAGCCAGCAGAAACGACGGTCCTCCCCCAGAGCAGGGCCACCAGATCCCATCCTGGTGGCAGAGGCCCTGGGATGGCCTGGCCGTGCATCCTGGGCGATGAGAGGGAGCCTGGCGAGGGGCAGGCTTCCCAGAGGATGGCCAGGAAGGAGAGTGTGTGAGAGGGGGCCAGGGAAGGGCCCCTCAGGGTCCTCCAGAGGGCAGGCCTGCGTGTCTGCCTGTGCAAGGGCCCCGCGTCCCCCAGGTCATCACACACACGCCCTGGCTTGCGATGCCGGCAGGGCTGGCCTCACCTCGCATTTGCCTCGGAGGCCGGTCTCTTGCAGCCGTGACCAGATGCTCTGGATACGCCCGGCGTGCTCCGGGTGGCTGTTGGTGTTCCCGCAGGTGCATTGGTGCTTCAGCATCAGCGTGTCGTACACGAGGCCTGCAGCAGGGGAGGCAGTGGCGGCCGCAGTCAGAGGAGCCCTCGGGGTCCCTGGCAGCTGGTCCCCCTGCCAGGGGAGCTGAGCCCCTGCTCAGGGCACTTGCCCAACACTCAGAGTGCTCGACACCCGGGGGAGCCAGCGAGGGAGGAAGAAATGAAAAGGCAGCCCTGTCCCCAGGGCTCAGGGCTCTCACATCACAGGGACCGGGCCGACCCAGACATCGAGGAGATTTTGGTCGCAAACTCAAGTCTGCCAGGGACCCTGTCTATGGAGTTGTTTGCCCCTGTGGACTGAGATCCATCCGTCCGAGGTACTTGGGGCTCAGAAGGCTGTTTCTGCCTGCGGAACCTTGCAGAGCCGCTGGACAGGAGTCACGTGTGTGTGTGTGTGCGCGCACACACACACACACACACACACAGACACAACTGCACGTGAAATCAGCCTAGACAGTGGGGGGGGGGAAGGGTGGGGCTCGGCCTTCCAATAACAGAGCAGCAGGCCAGGACCAGACTGAGGGCAACACAGAGGCACATGCCCGTCCGCATGGACTGCAGGCGCACCTGTGTGGACAGCCCGGAGGCCCGTCAGCACGAGGACACGGGCCCCACCGGCGGCATCACGGTGACACAGTCACGTGCTGCTGCTCACGGGGTGCGAGGCGGGAACTTCAAGGTGAAGCCACCTGCGCCCCTTTCGCAGATGGGGAATGGCAGAGAGCCAGCAGGGAGCGGCCAGGATCCCGGGGAGATGCGTGTGGCCGCGGGAAGAGGCCCAGAGAGACCCACAGCAGTGCGGGCCCCGCAGGGTCCTATCTTCATGAAATACACCATGTTCGTGTCTACCTGTCTGTCTGGCTAGCGCAGACACAACCCTGGACATGGGACCTGACACTGACAATGGCTCCCCCAGGGGTGGGGTCAGGGCCACCTGCTACCTTCTCAGGTTTTCCATCCTGTGTGCTTTCTTAGAAGGAATATGCACTGTTTTATAAGTTTTTAAAAAGGGAATAATGAAGACAAACTAGGAAACAGCGACAGAGCGGGGCTCACCCGCCAGAACACTCGTGGTGACATCATGTTTGCCCGCGGGCTCCCTTGTGGGGACCCCCGAGCACCCAGGGGCACACACGATGTGGGAGCCTCTCCACTGGGCTCCTGGGGTCGTCTGAGCTGTGCCTTCTAAGCACGGGCCCAGCTCAGCCGATGCCAAGGACTCGCTCTTAAAGAATCACCTGCTGACTCTCCTTGTGACACTTTATAGTTATCTGGTTTTCTTTCTGAAAAGCAGGAAGTTAACTTCTGGAAACTGACTATGAAACTCTTCTCCGAATATGATCAGTATCCTTCCAAAATCTGACAAGGAGAACATAGCCACGTTTGCATGTTACAGCGTGCAGAGAAACAGTGTGTTCCGTGAGAACTGATGGCGGGGGATGAAATGGAACTGCGTTTAGATAACCTGTCCTGAGTGTGTCCATGGGAAGAAACACCTGACGCGTTAGCAGAGGACAGGGTGAGGCACTGTCCTGGGGGCCCTCCATCCCAGGCCGGGTGGGGGCCGGCAGCAGGGCCCCCTCAGCCCAGACAGCCAGTCCAGTGCCTCGACCCCGGAGGATGCTGCGCCCGGCTGCAGACTTCCACCCTGACTCCGCAGGAATGCTTTCAGGAGGAGAGAGTCCCGCCCGCAGACTTCTGCAGGGTTGGGAGGCTGCGGGTGGGGCGTGAGGCGAGACCGCAGGCAGGAGCAGTGCTGTGGGCCATCCAGGAGTGGAGAGAGAGCATCCGGGGCCGACCGCCCCCTGCGCCCACTCTACCTGCACGCTCCAGGGGTCGCCTGGGCCTCATGGGCAGGGCCCTGGGCGGAGGCTCGGCCCAAGGACAGGGCGGACGAAGGAGGGCAAGGTCACTACCCCACAGACCCTGGGCGGGAAGCTGCCTGGTGGGGGCGGGCCCAGGGGTGGGCATGACCCGGGAGCCTCGCCCAGGCTGAGCCTCGCCCTCCGGCCCAGCAGCTCTGGGTCTGCAGCTGCGGCAGCCCTGGGTCTGCAGCTGCGGCTCCCCTGAGTAGGGGCCCTTGCCCTCCCCTGGCCCTCCACACCCCACTCCACAGTACCTGTGGTGAACCTCGGCTTGGCTGGGGGCTCCTGCACGGACATGGGGAAGGTGGCGGACGCGGGGGAGGACTGCGCCCGCGACAGGGGCCGGTGCCCGCCGAAGGACACCGGGATGCCGGCGGCCTCCATGGACGCCTGGTAGTTCCTCAGCTGGTGGATCCGCTGCTGCTCCAGGAGGAGGGCTTGCTGGGGGCGGAGGAAAGGGGCCGCTCTGTTGCTTCCCGGCGTCTCCCATCCCCAGCTGCAGGGCTACAGGTCCCCTCTCTCCCAGACCCTCCACCCCCCCGCCCCTGGGCTTCCAGTGCAGAGCCTTATGCCAGGCTGCTGGGGAGAAGCCTGCCCCCCGGGCCAGGAGGGCAGCCAGCGAAGCGGCGGCCTTGGACCCTGCCGACGGATGAGTCTGGACATCCCCGTGGGTAGACAGACCGTCAGTGGAAAAGCCCGCTCAGAGCTGACGGGGGGCCGTGGAGGGCTCCCTGAGGAGGTGACACCTGGGGGGTGGGGAGGCAATACCCAGGCAGAGGGTGGTGGGGGGAGGCACTCGGGGGTGCAAAGGCAGGGACCAGGCGGGTCCTGGTCCACCAGGGAGGTGCGTGGAGCCTGGGGAGAGGTGGTGGGATGGGTGGGGGGACTGCCCGGCCCTGCTGGGAGCACGGCTGCTTCTGTAGGGACCCGAGGGGGTCTCCTCCCTGCAGGGGGGTCTCCCCCCTCTGGCCGAGGGGGGAAGGGCAGGACACCCTACTTTGGAGCCCGCCCTGCAGGGGCAGGCATAGCCCCTGCCCTGGGCCTCCCTCCGCAGGCGCTTCCTCCTGCGGCCTCTGCAGACCTCACACCTGCCGCCTATGAAGCAGGTGCCCGTCTCAAGGTGACTCTCCAGACTGCTGCGTGTGCCACCGCGTTCCCCCAAGACGAGCTCTGCTTGAGGTTCTCCCGAGAACCAGATCCCCAGTGCCTCTGATCACTGTCTCAGGCTCGGAGCACACAGATAAATCCCCTAAGAGAATGTTGACCACCTTATCATTGGCGAGACACCACCAGCCCTAAAAACTGCCTCCCAGTTTCAAGCCAGCGCAGTAACAGCACGCTGAACTCCAGTCATAAGAGGAGGCAGCCTACTTTGTGAACGAGTGAGGCCCTGACCTAAGCCCCCAGAGCGGGAACGAGGCCTGCCGCGGTCCCCATCGTTCGGACGGCCTGCCTGGTGTGCTCACACTGCAGGAGTGAGTCTACACGGCAGCGGGGACAGTGGCTTCCCCTGCCCTGATCTCCTTGCTGTCGTTAGCACTGGCTCCAGGGCCCCTAGAAGAGCAGGGGTTTAGCGCTAACACTGCGGCTGAGATGTGAGACAGGAAGCCCTCCGAATTAGGACTAGCAAAAGTGACCACCAGCCACCTGTGGCCCCGCCTTTAAATGCGGAGCCGGGGAGAAGGCTGGCCGGCTACCTGAGAGGGGCTCCTGGGAAACCCAGGCGCTGAGCCTGGGTGTCACCTCCCACCCTGGCCCCAGGGGTGGTGGGGGAGGCACCCCTGGGCTGTCGGGGGAGGAGGAGTCTGCCTGGGTGGCCAGCACCGGGCCCACGGGGAGGGTTGGATGAGCTAGGGCTCCACACCCCAGGTGCTGAGCTCCACGATGAAGCACACCGTTAGGTGTTAAGACTCCACCCCTCAGACGCCCCGGCCCAGCTTCTCAGGAACAAGACCGCTCCCTGGGGGCACTCAGGCCTCTAACACGGTCACTAGTGTCTTCTTGACCCCAAAGGTCCTGGCTTCTGGCCAGACGCTGCGAACCTTCTTGATCAATGATCAAGTCAGCCCCCTTCGTACCCTTCTATGCTAGCACTCAGATTTGGGTTAATCTGCAGCCTTTGGGCCTGAAGGGGAACCATCCCTAGGGAGTCTGGGGCCTGTTTAGCTGAGAAGCAGGTGCACAAATACACGCAGTGGCCAGAGGGCCAGTGTCTCTGGGGTGATGCCTGCAAAGCAGAGCTCACATCACATCTGCCTCCTGTATCAGCAGGGAAAGCTGGGGGCCTGGATCAGCAGGTGTGGAGGACAACGCCCTTGGACTTGCTCTACGGGCCCTGCTCACCCCCTACTCCCCGTCCCCCTGCTCTGCGGGCACCTGTCTGAAGAGCAGCTCCTGCTCCGTGGGCGGCCGCTGGCCGGGCTCTGCCTCCCGCGGGGGCTCTGCCTCCTCATCGTCACTCTCGATGGGCTCCTGCTTCACCTGCACCCCGGCCAGCGCGTGGGCCTCCTTCTGCCCCGGGAGCCGGTCCAGGAAGGGCTCCTCCAGGAGCGCCTGGTGCTCCCGCAGCTCCTCCTCCGTCTCCTCGGGGTGGCTCTCAGGCTGCCGGGCCGGCTCGCTGGGTTTGGGGATCATCTGCAACACAGGGGTACCAGGTGGAGCGCGATGGGATGGGGGTGAGGGAGGTGCTGAGACAGGAAGGGGGTGGTCACAGAGTCCAAATCTCGGGATCAACGGGGCCGACCGTCTGAGGACGCTGTCACCCTGGGCTGAGCAGGACAGGACACAGACACACAGAGACATACACAGACAGACACACACACACTCAGACACACATAGAGCCCACGTCTCAGGATCAACAGGGCGCAGGACAGGACACAGACACAGACACAGACACAGCTGGGCACAGACACACACACACACACAGGGACACACACACTCAGACACACACAGAGCCCACGTCTCAGGATCAACGGGGCGCAGGACAGGACATAGACACAGACACAGACACAGCCGGGCAGAGACACACACACACACGGGTACACACACACACACACACACACACACACACACACACACACACACACACACGCGTGCGCGCGTGCTGTCCGTGGTGCTGAGAAAAAACACAGCCTAGAGCTTGGGACCTGCTATCATGTGCCTGTTTGTCAGGCACAGTGAATCACAATGCAAATCACTCACCACAATCGCAAGGTGTCGACCCACGTCCACACCTGCATGTGAAGTGGGGGCAGGGGGGGTGCACCCTCCTTCCTTCTCAGTCACATCCTCCCCCACCCGCCACCCCACCAGCTCACACCCAGGCACCACGTGGACCCTCTCCTCCACGGGGACAGGTGGCCTCTGAGTCTGCTCACCCGTGCCGCTGGCCCAGAGCCTTCGGCCGGCACACCACGTTCCCCCACCCCCACCCCGCTGAATTTCCACGTGCAAGAGCCCCGCCCTGCCAGGGAGGACGGGCCCTTCCCCACATCCTGACTCTGCTTCTAGAAGGAAACCAAGGGCTTCCAGGAAGCCTCAAGTTTTTAGTCCTGAGCCCTTATGCTTTAAAAAGTCCACACAGAACCACCTGTGCCCTGACCCACACTGGACGCGCGCAGCCTGGCCCATGATGGGAGGACTGGGGACACTTGTGCTGGCGCCGGGGCTGCATTCACGGTAACCAGCCGGGCTCAGCTGCACCGCGGGCCTCAGGGCCATGCCCCAGAGGAGGATTGCGCCACTGACCCTCCGGAGCAGCTGGCTGGCTTTGCTGAGTGAACAGTTTCCGTTGGGCTAGGGACTTGCTCTAGTGACCATCGCCTAAGCTGCTGTGCGAAGCTCCGGAAAGGAAGTACGCTGTGAAGGCAGGCCCCAGTCCCTCTCTACATCCGCCCCCAGGCAGCATCTCCTCAGAAGTGCCAATCCAGCCGGAACACGGAAGCCACAGCTCCGGGAGCAGGTCTGTGCTCAGCGGAAGGTGAGGGGTATGAGTGGGGGCAAAGCCACGGGGTGAGCAGGGGGCAGACAGGCTCTGAACCATTTCGAGTAAACAATCCTCCAACCTCACAGCTGCTGATTTGACAGACTTCTCACAGCATTTCATCCAAAAAAGTGCTCTGAAAATCTGTCTTTGAAGATTTGGGGATCTACCTCATCTGCTTCCCACATACCTGGAGTCAGTGAGGCCCCACTATGAGCTTTGTGCCTGGACAGAGTCCACTGGGGGTGAGACCACGACCCCCCCACAGGGCTGGCAGCAGGAGGACCCATCTCCACCAGCAGAGGGCGCTGGGCCCCTCCCAGGCCCCCCAGGTCCACAGGGGCCTGGAAACCTCAGCAGGTGGCATCAGGAGCCTCAGCTTTAGGGTCTGCGGGGTCAAAGTGCTCGCATTGCTGTCATCCCCCAGTGTCTGGTGCAGAGTCCGACAGGTAACAGGCTGGGGTTGATGGGAGGTTTGGGGAGCGCAGGGCCTGGGAAGGTGGCTGGGGGACAGACTGGTGAGTAGACATCACAGCAGAGCAATGGGGAAGGACCAAGGACGGGGGAGGGCAGGAGCGGCCAAGGCCCCTGTGATGTGCTCCAGGATGAGGCTGTGAGAGATGAGGCTGTGGACACTGGGTGGGGGTCAGGGAAGAGGACGTGGGGACAGGGCGTGGACATCGGGGGAGGACATGGTGACAGGCGTGGACAGTGGGGGAGGACGCGGGGACGGGAGCCCCCCAAACCACAGACTTAAGCCTCCAGACGACGGTCTGGGAGGCAGGTGCCTTCTCAGAGCGGGAGGCAAGCTCCTCTCTGCTGTGGGAAGATCCCAAAGAGTCAGGCTGAGAACGGGTGGGGTCAGGGGACTGCCTGCAGAGAAATGACCTTTTGGGGGCTCAGCCAGGAGGGGACAGAAGGTCAGCAGAGGGCGCACCGGGAGGCCCCCAGGGTTCCAGGCCAGGGGCCTGAGGACAGCTGCAGAGGGGGAGGCTGGGGTGGGCTGGGCAGGGGACTGGGCCTGTGGCAGAGAGGCTGAGACCCAGACTCTGGGCGACCTGCAAGGGGCTGTCCTGGGAAGGGGGATCCGAGCGAAGGGTTGGGCAATGGGCCAGGGCTGGAGGTGATGGTTAGGAAGAAGCAGGCAAATGGGAAATGGAGGTGGGAAGCACGGATGCTCCAGGCCAGGCTTGCGGAACTGGGGTGGCTGAGAGCCTGGGAGGGCATGCAGACACAAGGAACAGGGGAGAGGCTCACCCAGGGGACGTCGAGGGGGCGGGTGGGGCCCCTGCAGGGGACCTGGAGAAGCAGTGTCTGATCCTGGAGGAGCAAGGGCTGCCCCAGGCCCTGCCAGGAGGTCAGCTCTGAGTGGGCACATGTGACCTTTGGAACGGCCGCGGTGACCCAGCAGCAAAGGGCACACACAGATCCGTTCTGTCTCCCCAGGGCCTTCTGGACCTCAGGAGTACCCTCTCATCAACTAAATGAGAATGGAGGTATCTCCACGTTTGGAACAACAAGCTTCTAAAAGCCAGACTGGAGTTCAGGGCCCAGACCAAACTGGTGAGCAGGCCAGTGTTTAAGGTTACTGGACACGCTCACCATTAGATGCCCAAACAAATGGGACCCAGAGTTCATGTTCACAATTGAGCTGAGGAGCAGTAACCCACGCAAAGAATGGCTGAGACCCTGGTGCACTCCAGCCAGGGCTGCGGGGTGGGGCTGCAGGCCTTGGCTCAGGAGCCTTCAGGCCATGGGCCCAAAAGAGAGAGGGCAGAAATGTTGGTGCCGGCAGTGCCAGATACAACTGTCAGCTCCCTGCACCCTCCGGGAGATCAGTATATAAACATTTCAATCAGCTGTCGCTGCTGACAGCAAATCAATCACGGAGTGAAATCCAGAGAGATCAGCCTGCTTCTGTTTCTCTGTTGAAGAACATACCACATGTGAACAGGTGTTCCTGTCTTTCTAATCTCCTACCCTATCACTCAGATAACAACATAACACAATTAAGAAGACGGTTGGCATCAGCAAGGTGACAGGAAGTGACTTTGACACTTTGGCATCCGTCTTGCCCACCCTGACAGGTGCCCTTCCTGCCCCATGGGGCTGCGTTCAGCTGCACCACCCACTCCTGACCCCGCCCTGTGCCATCTGGTAGGGGAACCTGCCAGCCAGAGTGGCTCTGGGGCGGGGGTGCTGAGCCTCTGTCTGAGCGATTGGGCGGGCAGTAGGGCCTGGTCTGGGTCAGCTGGCTGTTTGTTCAGGGCCTCCAATTCTCCCAGGACAGAAGCTGTCGGGCAATGTGGTCGCTCTGCGTTTACCCTTTGGAGGAACTGCTGGACAGCCTTCCAAAGTGGTTCCTCTCATTCTCTATCAGAAACGGGCTTTGCTTCAAGCGTCAGCATTTGGAACCAGCATCTGAAGCTGCTGCTCTTGCTTCAGTAACCAGCAAGGAAGGCCACAGTGACCTCAGGGCCGCTTCCTGCTGAGAGCAGGCTGGGAGTGACCGTCCAGATGTTGGACGGAGGGACGAAGACCTCTGGGCAGGAGCCCTTTGGCCGAGGTGGCTGCAGTGGGCAGGAAGAGCGCCAGCATCCAAGGGCCTGGGACCTGTGCTTGCGGGGCCCTGTGCCTCTGTTCGGCACTCTGCTCGAGTTTGCTTAAGAGGATAAATCCCCTTACGAAATCCCAGAGACCCATGAGGGGCAAGGAGAATAAACCACCCAAGGATGCAGATGCCTCAGGCATACAGCCCACCCCATTTCTGCCTCCTTCATGACCCCAAAGGGGAAAAGCTGCTCGCCGCCCACGTGTTTCTCCGGCCCCGCCCCCACGACCCCTGGTCCCGCCCCATCTGTCTCCCCAGCCCCGCCCCCACGTCCCCCGGCCCCGCCCCCACGTCCCCCGGCCCCGCCCCATCTGTCTCCCCAGCCCCGCCCCCACGTCCCCGGCCCCGCCCCATCTGTTTCCCCAGCCCCGCCCCCGTGTCCTCGGCCCCGCCCCATGTTTCCCCAGCCCCGCCCCCGTGTCCTCGGCCCCGCCCCATGTTTCCCCAGCCCCGCCCCCGTGTCCTCGGCCCCGCCCCATCTGTCTCCCCAGCCCCGCCCCCGTGTCCTCGGCCCCGCCCCCACGTCCCCGGCCCCGCCCCATCTGTGTCCCCAGCCCCGCCCCCGTGTCCTCGGCCCCGCCCCCACGCCCCCGGCCCCGCCCCATCTGTGTCCCCAGCCCCGCCCCCGTGTCCTCTGCCCCGCCCCATCTGTTTCCCCAGCCCCGCCCCCGTGTCCTCGGCCCCGCCCCCACGTCCCCGGCCCGCCCCATGTTTCCCCAGCCCCGCCCCCGTGTCCTCGGCCCCGCCCCCCACGCCCCCGGCCCCCGCCCCATCTGTCTCCCCAGCCCCGCCCCCGTGTCCTCGGCCCCGCCCCACGTCCCCGGCCCCGCCCCATCTGTGTCCCCAGCCCCGCCCCCGTGTCCTCGGCCCCGCCCCCACGCCCCCGGCCCCGCCCCCACGTCCCCGCCCCATCTGTCTCCCCAGCCCCGCCCCCGTGTCCTCGGCCCCGCCCCCACGTCCCTGGCCCCGCCCCATCTGTTTCCCCAGCCCCGCCCCCGTGTCCTCGGCCCCGCCCCACGCCCCCCGGCCCCGCCCCATCTGTGTCCCCAGCCCCGCCCCCGTGTCCTCGGCCCCGCCCCCACGTCCCCCGGCCCCGCCCCGCGTCTCACCTTGTTGAGGTGCAGCTGAGGCTGCTGGAAGTGCTGCTTGTGCTTCTCCAGGAACTGCTGGTGCTGCTGCTGGATGACCAGGTGCTGCAGCGCCTGCGCGCTCTGGGGCAGCGGCGCCGACTGCGTGCGGCCCAGCGGGCGGTGCTGCCGCAACTTGTGCACCGAGGGCGCCACGCGCTCCGCCCCCACCAGGGGCTGCGCGTGCAGGGGCAGCGCGCCCAGGCCTGCAAGGTAGCGGTCTGGAGAGAGCACGGGGAGGGGAGGAGCAGAGGGGCGGGGGAGGCCTGGTGAGTGACTGACGGAGGCCGGCCGCCGCCGCCTCCCTGAAGCCCGCTGGGCCTGCTCCGGCACACCGACCCCCCGGAACCTGGACTTAGGGACGGAGACCAGTCATCTGGTCCCCCCATGCCCAGGTCCAGGCCGTAAGTGGGCTCCGAGGGTGGCCCCGGCACAGGCGCCCTCAGGGGGGCCTGGCTGAGGAAGGGGCCAGGGCCTGGTGGCTCCAGAATGTCCTGGAGAACCAGCAAGTGGGCGCCTCCCTGACAGCCTCAGAAACCTGGGTGTGAGGAAGACACCTGCCCTTAAGGACCAAACCACTTTAAGGGGCTCAAGGCCTCGATTTTATACACAAAGAGGGATCAACACTTGAAAAAAATCTGATGCATGTTGTCAAAATCTCTGCAAATTTCTGGGAAAGGCTGTCACCTGCTGCCCGGGAGAAGGGCCGCTCGGCCGCACCGTGTCTGGGCTGAGTGTTTAAGGATGTGTGGACGGAAGAGGGTAGGTTTGAATCTTGCTTCAAAATGCAGCCTCCTCATGTGAACCAAGAGGTGAAATGTTTTCCTTCTATATTCCTTTCAACCATCAACACTTTTTCTTTTACAAATTGTGGGTTTAGACAGTTTACCATTTTCCCTGGTACCATAGGCAAAAGAGTGTAACAGACCCTTCCCAGGCCACCTGAGTATCTGTTTCCTGGCACCAGAGCTGGAGAAACTAAACATCACTCGAGCTACCAGTGACCCCAGATCAGAGCGTCTGACCAGGAGAAACCACAGGGGGACAGACCCTGCCAGCTCTCAGCTGCCTGCAGTGCTGACTCCTGCGAGGGGCTGTGTTGCCATGTTTAGTCGAACCTAAGCCCCCTCCAGTGGGTACTGACTGTCAGTCTTTTCCTGGTTCCTTCCTGGGGGTTATTTCTGTATTAAGAGTTCTACTTTGTATACAAACAGAAAAAAAAAATTCAACCCTAGCAAAATAGTCCCTCACTACCTTTTCAAAAAGTTAATCAGAGTTTCCCTAAACCACCATCACTTTTTATCCAACCCAGATAGTTTTCTGGAAAGGTAAATTATCTTAAACCTCACTATCTGCTTGGCTAGTAAACTGAAGTATATAAGTCGAAAGGTAGAACCATTCTTTCCTTGGTTTTCTATCGATAGAAAAGTTAAAAACAAACAAAAACACAGCATCCGCATAGAGAAGGTCTTTCGGAATTCATCAGTTGTTGGTCTGGTAGCTCAGGCAGTAAAGAGTCTGCCTGCAATGCAGGAGACCTGGGTTCGATCCCTGGGTCAGGAAGATCCCCTGGAGAAGGAAATGGCAACCCACTCCAGTATTCTTGCCTGGAGAATCCCATGGATGGAGGAGCCTGGCAGGCTACATACCATGGGGTCGCAAGAGTCAGACATGATTGAGAGACTTCACTTTCACTTTATTTCACTTGGTCTGGGTATTATGGGGGATTAAATAATTTCACCAGCTTCCCAGGTGGCACTAGTGGTAAAGATCCCTCCTGCCAATGCAGGAGACATAAGAGACGTGGGTTCAATCCCTGGGTTGGGAAGATCTCCTGGAGGAGGGCATGGCAACCCACTCCAGTATTCTTGCCTGGAAAATCCCACGGACAGAGGAGCCTGGCAGGCTACAGTCTATGAGGTGGCATAGAGTCGAACATGACTGTGGAAGTCACTCAGTCTATACAGTCCATGGAATTCTCCAGGCCAGAATACTGGAGTGGGTAGCCTTTCCCTTCTCCAGCGGATCTTCCTGACCCAGGAATCGAACCAGGGTCTCCTGCCTTGCAGGTGGATTCTTTACCAGCTGAGTGACCAGAGAAGCCCTAAGTGACTTAGCAGGCACACAAATCATTTCATGGAGGGAGGAAGGATGTCAGCCACTGGACGCTGCACTTATGGGATTAAAAGTCCACCTAGTTACTGAAAGGCACCCTCTCAGCAGACATCACTTGTTTTTAAAGCTTCCTGGGCCCCCGAGAGTGAGGATGTCACAGACGGTGGGGCTGCAGAGTCCTGCGCTGGGGCCGCCGGGCCAGCCCTGCGTGGCACCCGCAGGGAAGCGTCTCTCGGTTTTAGAGGAGGAAACACTCATTCCAGAGATCCAGCACCTGCTGTGACCCAGACTAGGCAACCAGGGTCCCAAGTGATCTGGCAAGGCGGGGACTCTGGTTTCTGCTGCTGCTGCTCCAGGGCCCCCTCCCTGTGACTGGGGCTCTGGCGGCTTGATGCTGGCCCAGAAGCCCGCCTTCGCCAGGACGACACCACCCTGAGAACACAGGCCTCTGTCCCTGTAGGGTGCGGGCGGCTAGCCATGGAGAGGCCTGACTTCCAGTCCCCGACGCCAGGGGAGCCAGTGTCTACACGGAGCCCCAGCTGTTCAGGCTGGACCCCGGTCTGGTTTTGCTCCCTCCCCTCACCTCCATCCCCTTCACCCCAGATTAGGCTGTAGTGCTTCCGGGGGCGGGGGGTAAATCTGCGGGGCCCCCACACTCGAGGACAGATGTCGTGCTTGGCATCCCTTAAAACTGGAGATCTGACCTTCCAGGAGAGGGACCCCACACCTGGTCCAGTGTGGACAGGCCACACGAGTTCAGAAGCTTCTGGTTCAGAACCGGAAGATGACCCCTCAGACTATTCACAGGAGCCTTTGATGGTAACTGGAAACTGGTTGGTTTTTCTGTATGTGCTGTGAAACTTCCAAGCACGAGGGCCCAGTAGACTAGGATCCAGTTCTGTCCCAGTGACCAGCTGGCCTGCGGAGGCTGGGACAGTGGGGCCCAGGCGGCCTGCGGCTGCCCTGGCCTGGCCCCAGTGAAGGGACCCGAGGGTGGCGAGTGCCGAGCGGCTCCTCCCGGGGACAGGGCAGTCCGGCCTCCTCGGAGGTCCTCTCTGGAGCAGGAGATGAAGAGGACAAGGGGATGGGAGTTCCCGGTGAGCACCCAGCCTTCCGCGGACACCTGGGTTGAAGGTTTCCTTCACCTGCACTAACAGTAAGCGAATCTGCAAACAGAGCTGCCGCATGGACGCCCCCACAGGAACGGGGGTTAAAGAAAATGAGAAGCTGAAAAGTCTGGTTCTGCAGCGCCGGCCTTGGGGATCCTTTTCAGTCCACGTGGACTCTCACGTGGAACCCACGTGAGACAGGTGACTCCTGTGGCCTGAGTCCTTACACACCCGCTGCCCGACCTAAAGAGTCTTTAAAACTGGGGTGTGTGGACCTGCACACCCCACCTTGACCAGCTGCTCAGAGCTCAACCTGGGGACTGTCGGGGGAACTGGGCTCTTTTCAGGAGAAGACTGGAGCACACAATCACTGGCTTTCAGGAGCCTCCTGCAGCGGCAAGGACCCGGGCTGCGGGAGCCACTCTGAGCAGGCACCACGTGGAACCCACATCCGCACGCCCGCTCCCCGATGGACCCAGGCCGGCCGCTCCTCCAGCACGGTCAGCCTTTGTGGAATGACGTGGGCCTAGCGCTGACAGCATCTATCTGTCCACAGTGACCACCAGCAAGCAGGCAGGTCTGTGGGCTGAGCCCTTGGGAACCTCAGAGAACCTAACAGAAGCCAGCCTGCAGCGCGAGCCCGACCCTTCCTGACGCGGCTCAGACACCGCCTGGCGCCAGGAGCCACCGCAGAGGTATCCACCGTGACCCTTCCGGCAGCAGACGCTGACGGGGTGCCGGGAAGGGATGTGCAAGGTAATTGGTGTCTGCGCTCCGGGGGACGGAGGTGCACACGGAAACTGCCCGTACTGAGTGCCTGGGAGGCCCCCGAGCTGGGCCTGACGCAGAGGAAGGGCCCTGAGGCCGGGCGTGCAGAAGGCGACGTGGGCCCCGTCAGCACTGAGCGAGCCTGCACCCCGAGTCGGGGTGCACTGCATTGCAGTGCAATGCCTCAGCCAGTGGCCACGCGAGCAGGTGGCGAGTCACACGTGGGATGGAGAAGCCACACCTGGCCTTTGCTTTTAACTTCCCCTGTCCGGGGGAGGGACGGGGGCAGGGGTCGTCGGGGAGTTTGGGATGGACACACACACACTGCTGTGTTTAAAATGGGGCACTAACAGACCTGGTGAGAAGCACATGGAACTCCGCTCCGGGTGGTGTGGCAGTCTGGATGGGAGGCGGGTTTGAGGGAGAACGGATATGTGTGGATGAGTGGCTGGGTCTCTCCACTGCTCACCTGAAACTGTCACTGCATTGTTAACAATGAAAAAGTGAGATTTTCACTATGAAAGTGGCTATGAAAGTGAAAGCGTTAGTTGCTCAGTCGAGTCCGACTCTGCAACCCTCTGGACTGTAGCATGCCAGGCTCCTCTGTCCATGGGATTTTCTAGGCAAGAATACTGGAGTGGGTTGCCATTCCCTTCTCCAGGGGAATCTCCCTGATCCAGGGATTAAATCTGAGTCTCCCGCATTGCAGGCAGACGTTTTACTGTCTGAGCCACCACAGAGTATTGTTTGTTAATTGGCTATACCCCAATACAAAATAAAAAGTGTAAAGAGAAAAACAAAGTGAAAAAACCCACAACTTTCAGTGTCAATGTGAACGGCCACAGCTCTGAACCTGGGGGGGCTTCCTGGCCTGCCTACAAGAGTGTAAGGTGACCCCAGGGAGCCTGGGAACAGGGAGGGAGTTGGGGGCAGGGAAGGGCCCACATGACCCCGGGGAGGACAGACAGGCCAGTCGGGAAGTAAGGGAGAGGGCGAGGGTGAATGCTGAGAACGATAAAACCAAACGTTACCACCAGGGCAACCAACAGCTGAGGGGGACTCCCCTGCTGATACTGATACTGGGGGCTCTGTCGGCCCTGCTAAAACCTGGGGAGGAAGCTGAAGACCCAGTTGGATGGTGCCTGGACCTGGGAGGTCAGCTCTGCAGTGGGGCCCCCTCATTTCACAGCAAACCCTGAGCACTCTGTCACTTGGAAAGTAACACCTTTACACTGCTGTTGCTGTGCAAATTTTATAGCAAATCTGTGTGTGTGTGTGTGTGTGTGTGTGTGTGTGTGTGAGTTGCTCAATCATGTCTGACTCTTTGTGACCCTGTGGACTGTAGCCCGCCAGGCTCCTCTGTCCATGGGATTCTTCAGGCAAGAATACTATAGTGGGTTGCCATGCCTTCCTCCAGGGGATCTTTCCGACCCAGGGATTGAACCTGGGTCTCCTGCATTGCAGGCAGAGTCTTTACCATCTGAGCCACCAGGAAAGCCCTAATTTTTTTTCTAAACATAACCACCCCTTAGACAGGGCACGTTTTAAAAAAACATTACTGCTGATGAATCCGCTGCCCGCCAGGGCCAGCCCTGAGCACCCAAGGGTAGACACGTCAGGGGCTGGCAACCTGCTCTGGGGAAATCAACTAGAAGGTGTGTCTGATGCTCTGGCTTCCACGCCCCTGGCTCTGTGAGTGGACTCGGTCTCTCCGGCCACCGCCTGGCATGGGACAGGTCACCCGCCCACCCTCCAGGGGAGCCCCCGATGGCCTGACACGGCCCGCTCACCTGTGACGAGGGGTGTCTGTGCGGGCGGCTGCTCCAGGAGGACCACGTGCTGCAGGAGGGAGCTGGGGGCCGCCCCCGTGTCCCGCTCCAGGGGCGCCGCGCCCAGGTAGGGGGCGAGGTGGGTGCCGGGGAAGAGGGAGATGCGCTGCTGCAGGGCGGGGAGGGCCAGTCTCTCGGCCTCCTGCTGGCCGGCAGCCCCCTGGACAGATAGATGCAGCCGGGCGCTGGGGTCACGGGCCTGGGGCGGGGGTTGCCCGCACCACCGCCTCGCAGACCTGGGGGCGCCCACTTACCGCAGAGGGGCCGGTGGCGGGCAGCCCCAGCGTGATGTTGGGCAGCGACGGCGACGTGTAGAGGGGCAGCGGGCCGACCGAGCCCTCTCGCGCCACGAGTCTGTGAGCCAGGCTGGTCTGCAGACAGAGCACACGGGCGTCACGCAGGCTGCACGGCCAGGCCTGGGCGGCCTGCGCCACGGGAAGGGAGGGGAGAAAACCCTCCCGGGCAGGCTGAGGTCCAGTCTGAGGTCCCCGGGACAGAGATGTATGAACGACAGCTCGGAGGCAGACAGGGCACCGCAAAGCCATCAGCTCCGATTCACGACCTGTCCGTCTCTTGTTTGCTCTTGTTCAATCCACACAACATTGTAAAACTATCAGAATCAACCCAGGATAATATACTTAAAAATATAGTCTTAGGATCAGGAATGTCTTCCCAAACATAACGAGAGAGGTAGGAACCAGAGAGGGAAACGTTGATCATAGAAAAATCCCTTCACGTAAAAGGCAAATAACAGCAAAACAAGGTTGGCAACTGTAGTACAGGCTAAGGCCACGTATAAAGAGCAGGTAAATCAAACAACAGTGAGTGAGAACTGACAAAGAAGAGCCAGGACGGAGAAGAAACTCATTTGAAAAAAACAAAAAACTCAACATCAGCAGTAATCTAAAAAAAAAAAAAAAGACTAAAAATTAAAGAACATTTAAAAACCTATGCAGTTGGCAAAGATATTTTAGGATGACAGCAGCATCTTGACCCAGAGAAACAGAACCATGCTGCTGGGTGGACCATGATCGGCCTGCTCCTTCCACAGGGCAGTTTGGCCATCCATGTCAAAAGTCTCAAAGGCACATCTAACCTTTGATCGTAAATCCCACCCCCCTCGCAGGACATGCTCTTGGGAGAGGAAGCTGGACACACATGGACTTGACCACAGCAGCATTCACAGGGCCCTAGAGCCAGTCAGAGGGTAAATCCACGAGGCGTCTTCACACACAAGGACACATTCATCCATGGGGACACTCAGGTTGGGAAAATCCTGTTGATGACTTGGAATCTTATTTATCATGTGTGCTTAAGTGCCAGTCTCCAAGGACTTGAATTACTGTCGTATTTCATGTCGTTTTGCCTCTAGCATGAAGGTTCCTTGCAGAAAGGACACTGTCGTATTCACACTGTCCCCCTCTCAGCAGTAGAAAATGACACTAATCATGGACTTATAACGGGTTTTCGCCTAGCTCTTCTCACAACGGATTATATAATTAAGGATGAGGATCATTTTGCCTGCTTTAAGATTTCATTGGTGCGGTTAGAAAGAATGTGAGCTGAAAGTTACTGTGAACAAGGGTGGGACTGCAGCCCTGGCCGGGAAGTGCCCCTCAGTCCATCGGAGGATGGAGCGATGACCACCCCAGGGCGTGTGTGCTGGGATCCCGTGCCGGGCAGAAGGCCCTGGGTGGCTTGCTGCTGTCACGCGGAAACTCACACACACCTGACGGCTGGGTCCTTGGGCACCGCAGGAAGGGCCACTTGGGAGGAAGGTTAGTGTGTCTCCCCCGAGTGAAGGCTGCAGCCACCTTTAGTCTGTTCACATAGTAAATGGTACAGTAATGACTAAAGGGGTACTTTAAAAGTAGCCCCTTTTCTGTTTTTTTTTAAAAAAGTCAGCAAGCTCTGATTTAGAGAAAGTGGCTGAGCTTGCCAAGGAAAGCATGATTCCACTGTATTACCATTGTCCAGGAATAAAACAAGCAAACACTGAGTGCTTGAAAGTTGTCATTTCCTCTTTATAACCAAAGCTTTTTTAAACACACAAACAACAAAACCTACTTTATTTTTAGAAATCAAGCAGCCTCCTGGGAATCGTATGATGTGTTGACTGGTCTGCGTTTCCAGTGCTGGCCGTCTCCACCTGCCCTATGGCATGCCCCTCAGCTGCTCAGGAAGGCCGGGGCCAGGCAGCACCCCCACTGACACCCCCAGATCCCACCGGGCTTTCAGCATCGCCTGAAGCTCCCTTCCTGGGCAGAGGCTGTCCAGGGTCGGGGAGCCCTGCTCCCCCCGTGTAAGCACGATGCTGGGCGTCCCTCGGTCCAGCCGGGAAAGGGGATGCAGAGCTGGGCCAGCGGGCTCCCCTGCCGCATGAGGACCCCTTGCCATCTCTGGACCAGATGCTGAGGATTGGCCAGCCCTGGCCTCAGGCTTACAGAGGCGCTCAGGGAACTGCCCAGGTCTAACTAGACTGAAATCCACAAAGGACATCCAACTGTGACCACGTTTTCAAGGGCTAGCCCTGTGATTACCATATCTAAAGTAAAATGAGTGAACTGCAGTCTTTGTTTCTTGCAAATTCTTTGACATCTTCTATTAATTTCCAGTAGCTTAATTTACATGAAAATGCAATTTGTAAAAATTAACATGCAACTTAAACTGGCATCCACTCAAATAAGGCGTCTCTACAGTAGAAACCATTAGGCGCATAACTGCCCATTGAAATAAAACCAGGATCTATGAGCATGACTGACAAGCTACATGCAGTCTTTACAGCTCGTTCCAGGAAGAAATTTCTAGGCCAAGTTCTAAGGCTGATAACAGGTAGATCTCAGCTATGACCTCAGCCTCCCAGAGAAGGATTGTTAAAACTCTTAATCTAAACAAGTCCTTAAACAGGGAGGCTGAAATGCACAGGTAATAAAATAGATGTACAAGGAAAAGAATAAAGGGGGATTAGTAAACTAGAGGTAGCAGTGTAAAATCATCTCAGTTTCTAAAAATCTGCTTTTTATCTTAAGTGTCTAAAAACTAAAAATGGACACGTGGTCCTCCGTGCTCCGACCAAAACCTGTCAGCCCTCTGGAGGGGCAGGACTCATTTCTAAACATTTAAGGAAGAGAGCAAATTACTATGTTTGACAAATGACGGCCTCCTGTAAGTTGGAAGGAACTTAAAAAAAAAAAACCCTCACAAGAACCTCGCAGTCAGGAGGACCATCCAAGAAGGAAGCACACGGCTCAGCCGGCTCCATCCCAGGAAACGGGGTGTGCAGCCGGCTCCCCTTCCCGCCAGCACCCGCCTACCCTAGAGGAGACAGGCCCTGAGCAGGGCCACAGGGCTTGCACACAGCAGGAGCTCCAGACACCTGTGGCATGAGCCGGGGGAGCAAAGTGAATAAGGAGGAAAATGAAAGCGTGGAGTGAAGGTTCCGGAACATCGCCCTGACCCAGGTGTGATCAAGAGCGTGGCCTGCAGCCAGCCCTGAGCGCCCCCGCCTGGCCGGAGCAGCCCCCAGGAGGGTTCTCCAGGAGCCGCTTCTCAACCTGCAGCACAGCTGGGGTCTGACCGGCAGAGGTGACGGGCACCGCCCCCCGTGGTCTGAGGCGCCTCGGAGATGCTGCCCCGACAGTCAAGACGGAAGGGTGGCTGGATACCACCCTGTGGACGAGCGCGCCGCACACTGACCTCGGCCGGGATGCTGGGGACGGCGGGCGCGATCCCGTTCTCCGTGCTCACATTCCCGGAGCTGTTGTTGGGCGAGCTGGGTGCGGAGCCCGGGGCACTGCTGCACGCTGAGTCTAGGAGGGAGAGACACTCGTGAGCCTGACGCGGATCCCGGCAAGGACCCCGAGGTGTGAGCTGGGCTGGCCGACGGCGGAAAGGACGGAACCACGGTCCGCACACAGGGGCCCCGGAGCTAATTCCCTGCTCCCGGCTGTGCGGTTGACTCGAGACTTTCACAAACCTGCGTCCCCTGGAACAGACGCACCCCTGAAACCTGAGCTGAGCACACACTGTCAATTTTACTCCTCTTTTGTAAATAATCATAAACACCAGAGAAACAAGCTCTGAATAATCGTTAATGTTGTAACAACAAGAGACGACAAAGCACAGAGGCCCAACGCCTGTGAACAGGGGAAGGTCAAGTGCGCTGTGCTCATGCTCAGAGCCTCCGCTGTCAACGGATCTGCTACAAAAGGGATAGGCTACCCACTCCAGTATTCTTAGGCTTCTCTTGTGGCTCAGCTGGTAAAGAGTCCACCTGCAATACGGGAGACCTGGGCTCGATCCCTGGGTTGGGAAGATCCCTTGGAGAAGGGAAAGGCTACCACTCCGGTATTCTAGCCTCGAGAATTCCACGGACTGTATAGTCCATGGGATCGCACGGGGTCGGACACGGCTGAGCGACTTGCACTTTCACTTCACTGCCTGCCACAAGCGCCCACTGACCACGGGACCTCTGATGACCTAACACTCTACCCCGACCTGGGCTTGCAGGCATGCGGAGGGGAAGCCTGGTCCATCTCCCGAGGCTGGACCCCAAAGGGGCCCAACAGGCGTCTTCCAGGGCAAATCTTCTCTGCATCCCTCACTGGGGCCTGGCCCGGAGCATGAGCCCGTGGAGCTGCCAGTGGGGCCTGGAGGACTCTCAGACGTGGTTCCGGCTGAACTTGGGGCGACATGAAGAGGCTGAGGGTGCCACGCGGATGGCAGTGCCCATTCCCGCAGGCCTAGCTCTCATGGAGGAGACCCGAACCCAAGGGTACATGCATGACTCCCTCCACCCAGAGGGCCATAAGCACTCAAGTCCTCTCCATTGAGCAGCCGTCCCCCTGGGAACACCCTGGCAGCAAGTGGCTCTGCCCACTCGAGGCCCCCCTGGACCCCCTCTTTCCCCCGTGCACTGATGGTGAACCCAGGCCCTGGTTCCCCACCCACCGGATCCAGAGCCTGGTCTCCACCAGGTTAAGTCATGTGCACATGTGCCTCCCTCAACGGGGGCAGCTGGGAGGGCCACCTGGGCTGGCAGGTGTTACATGTCACGTGTGAAGACAGGGCTGGCTGCCCCACCCCACCCCACCACGGGCATACCCCTGCTGTCAGCCTGCCCCCGGCTGCACAGAGCCTCCCCTCCCGCCCTCCTTTAAACGGGCCCGCCCCAGCATCGTCAGCAGATAAACCCTCCAGAGTGTGTGGGAAACCGGGACAACTTTTGGGGGCAATAAAAATTATATGTGATCTCTCCAGTTTTTCACCCATCTTCAGCTCAACAGTGTTTTGACTACTTTTTCACTCTACTTCAAGGAATCTGGTCTAAAAAGTAAATATGAATGCATAATCACCATGGTATCATTTGCATCGACATGATGGAATATCATTAAAGGTGCAGGAGTGTTGTGACTAATATCGAGTGAAAAAGGAATTGAGTGTGCACAGGGTATGTGCCAGACCCGCACAGAAAGGGGTGGAAGGAAACACGCTCAGAGGTTAACAGCATTTCTCTGGACAGGGTCGGAGGGGCGGCTGCTTCTCCTGTCCACTCGCCGCCGGGCGCAGCTCTGATTAGGGGCTGGGCACAGGCGGTGTGACGTGGCCACGCCCCTGACTCGGCTAGGGCCGCCGCTGGCCACGCCCTCACTCTGTCCCTCCCTGCCTCCTGTCTGGGACGCCGCGGCCCCCTCTTGCTTGAGACCCCAGGGGAAGGGACCCCACCCTGCCCAGAGCTCCTTCTTTTCCCGTGTTCTGGAAAGCCAGCTCTGCTCAGAGCATCCTCCCCACCAGCCGCTGGGGGGTTGTGCTGGACTGGAAACCCACCCCCCATCTCTGTGCTGCCCCTGGCCTAGGGGCCTCCCGCCGCCCGCCCTGCTCACATCCCTCACAGTGCCCTCTCTGGGTGATGCTGCCCAGCACCCAGCAGGTGCCACGGGCCGCGTGTTCCCGGCCCCCGTGGGGCGCCCTGGTCTCTGGAGTCAGAGAGGAAGCTGCTGGGAGGCGGGGCTGCAGCTCATTTCAGCACCCAGCCTGGTCCTGACCTCACAGGCTGAGGGCAAGAAGGCCAGAGCCAGCACCAGGACAGAAGTGGCCGGGCCTGACCGGTGGGGGCCGCTGCCCCTCGAAGAGAGGAAGCCCAGTGCAGGGGGAACACGTGCACCCTGAATCTGGAGAGGCCCGAGTCTGCACAGAACCCACGGTGAGAGGGGCCTGGTCTCTCTACCAGAACCACGGCGCCCCAGGCCGGCGGCCTCAGACCCGGCTTCAGGCAGGCCCGGGACCAGGGGCTTCACTCTGGCCACAGAGCAGGGCTGAGAGCGCTCAGCTTACCCCAGACTATGCGCTCGGACCCGAGGGTGCGGGTAGCCGGCGTGGAGGGCTGGCCCCTCCCACGGCGCCCACGAACCCCTCCTTCCTGAGGGGCGGCCCCGAGAGCCGCAGGTCTCCATCAAACCCTGTCCTTGGTGCACACGGGCCCTCCCCGCCTGTTTCCAGGCCACCTAGGCAACCCCTCTGTCCCGTGATTCCAAGCACGGGGCTGTGCGCCCTCTGAACGAGGGGTGCGCCCTCCGGAGGCGGGGTGCCTTCCTGACAGCACAGCCCCAGGAAGTGGGCTGTGTCCTCGGGACCACCGGGAAGGGCCTCGACCCGGCGGGTGTGCTTCCACAAGCCGGCCACTAGGTGGGGGCCGAGAGCAGCGCGTGGACCTGGGCGCAGAGACTCCCAAGCTCCCGCCTCCTTCCCAGGAAGAGTCTGCCGTTGAATAGGCAGGGGCAGGTAGGAGACCTGGGCTCACCAACGGGCGGGAGCCGTTAAACACCCCAGCTTCAGAGAACCCTCCACTTAGAATCCCTGACCGTCTGCCGGGATGTCAGGGAGCCTGACTGCCCTCAGATGCCCTGCGGGTCCAGGCTGGGGGCAGACAAGCTGCCCAGGGACAGGGCTCTGAGCGCCCTGCTAGGGGCCACCTGGGGCCCTTGGACTCAGAGGGGGCTGGCACCGCCCTTGGAACTGGGGTGGGGGACGATGCAGAGAGATGCAGGTTTCCCTGCTACAGGGAGAGTGTGCAGGACGGCCTCTCAGAGATAGTCAGGCGGGCGACGGATTTGCACTCAAGTACCTGTGACATCCAAGGGACGCTTTTTCAGAGCTGTGACCACTGGCCCATCTTTCCTGCGTAGCAGGGGGCTGCTCCGTCTCTCAGCCACTTTCTGCTTTAGCCTGGAGCGTAATTTCAGGTTGGGTTCAGAAGCTGCAGGAAAAGGAGACATCATTACCCGCAGGCAGACACAACTGGGGTCAAGGTGACTAGGGGGCGGTTTACCACGACCTCTATATTACACACCTCTATATTTGCAAATCAAAAATTCCCCTATGTGTGACGGCCTAGGAGCCGGCTGCCCGCTCGGATCCCAGCCGCTGAGAGGTGCTAGGGCCAACCCACCGGATGAAAGGGTAGCCACCTGCCTGCAGGTGAGACCCACCCTCTGTGTGTCGCCTGACCCCCGGGGCACAGGTGCTTGGGTTGCTTTTGGTAAGACCTGCTTGTGCGAATGGAGCCCTCTGCAAACCTGCAGTGGTCCAGCCTCTGCACCCGGAGCCCAGACCACACCCTGGACCAGTCCAGTCCCATGTCAGCGTGGCTGCCTTGGGAAGGGGGTAGCCTCACTCAGCGGGGCCCTCCCTGTGGCCTCAGGACACCCGAGTCTCAGCCCCGCAGGCTGGCAGCTCGAGAGCCCGCGGCGGCAGTGAGCTCACCACCAGACTTCTGCCTTCAGACACTTTATGAGTTCATTCAAGCTTCCGCTACTTGTGGATCTGCAAACTGGTGAGTTTCTTTTACCTCTTGTTTTTGTTTGTAATCAGCAGCCCTGCTGATTTTAATCTTTCTGGAACAGGAAGTTTACCCTCTCTAGAGCAACAAGCAACAGGATCAGACTTCCCCTCGGAGTCGGAGGTAAGCTGGCTGGGGTTATAAGAACGAGGCCGTGCGTATGTCTCACGGCTGCTGTGACTCTGTCCTCCAGGAGCCCAGGGGGCAGGGCCAGGGGTCCCAGCAGTGGCGTGACCCTGGGGGGCTCTGGGAGGTAAAGACGGGTCCTGGGAGGAGGAGGGAGGAGCAGCCCGCCTGAAGGATGCTTCCCAGAGAAATGAGGTGTGAGGTATGAGCGAGGTGGCAGCTTCTCCAGACGCACAGCCTGCTCCGGAGGCCCTGATCCCGGGGAGACGCCCTCTGCTCCGCAGCGTTTGTCTGCACGGCCAGGTTCCCTGGCAGGACGTTCGTGTCAAAAGGGGAAAAGGACCCAGTAACAGAACGGCCATCCCTGCTGGCAAGAGGACCCGCTTCTGTGTTTTTTAATATTTAATACTATTTTTACATTTTTGAGAGAACTGGAGCTTCACATTTCACTTATTTCTATTTCTACACTGAGCTTCTTACTTTACCATTATTAAAAAAGAAAAAAAGAAGCCCAATCTCCCCGCTAGATTAACAGACACAACCCCTCTCCCCACAAGATATCAGCTGAACCTGCATGAGGTTTCTGCAACCACATGTCCGTCCTGGCGAGGAATCCGCCCGAGACCCAGGATGGCGCGGCCCCTGAGCGGGGGGGAGCGTGTGGCCCCTGCCCCAGTGTGGGGGGTCCCTGTTGGCATCACTGAGGTTAGTCTCTCTGAGAGCAACACTCCCTGGTCCTGACGGGGGTATCCCGGAAGGTCTCAGAGCTTCGGGGCCCAAGGGTCAGTCTTGTGAGCAGGGTTGGGTTCTGGTCACTTGCAGGGTAAGACAAGGGCCTGAAAGCCCTGAAGGAAGGTGACGCTAGACCTAGCCACGCTATCCATCACTCGGGAGCCAGGATAAAGGCACCTGCCGGCAGGCAAGGACTCCAGATAGTCAAGTTCCACACACAGCTTCTCAGAAAGCTTGGAGGAGCTGCAGAGCCCAGACGGAGGGGGAGGCGGGGTCCAGGGAAGAGGCCGGGCCTCCCCGGGAGGCCGTGAAGGGCAGTCAGGGGCCGGAGCAGAGCCTCCTTCGTCTGCCAAACTGCGGGGCTGAATTAAAAGCAGGGACAGGGAGATACCTGGAGCACAGCTGATATTTTATAATAAGTACAAATGGAATATAACTTTAAAAAATTGTCCACTTGTAAGTTGTTTAATATTGTACATCAACTATACCTCAATTTAAAAAACACAGGCAGACAGAAAACTAAGCAAATGAGACAAATGATCAACTTCAGGATAAAGGGAAATCACACACGAACGGGAACGCAGTCAAGGTCACGGGCGGTTTCTGTGCACTTTCTGAGCATTGTGGTCAGGACACAGGGCGGGGCGGGGCCAGCTGTTCCTGGAGGGAGCCTGGTGGGGCCTGTGATTTATGGACATTTACTTACTCTGATAAGAATAAAAGGAGAACTCTAGAAAGACAAGGGCTTCCCTTGTGGCTCAGCTCGTAAAGAATCTGCCCTCAATGTGGGAGACTTGAGTTTGATCCCTGGGTTGGGAAGATCCCCTGGAGAAGGGAAAGGCTACCCACTCCAGTATTCTGGCCTGGAGAATCCCCTGGACTGTATAGTCCACGGGGTCGCAGAGAGTCGGACACAACTAAGCAACTTTTCTTTTCTTCTAGAAAGACAAAGGACAGGCTGGAATACAATTTTCTGTAGCATACGTGACAGACGCAGGAGGGATATAAACATATAAAGCAACAGGAGAAGAAACGGCCGAGAGAAAAGCATATGGGGAAGCTGCCACTAAACAGCGACATTAGGGACCGTCCCTGCGTGCCTGCAGATGCTGGGCACAGGGGGCACACAAGAAAGACACAGCCTGCCAGCACACACGCTGCCTGGCTCAGGGGCACGGGCCACACTGGGCCGCGGGAACCAGGCCCAGCGGTTTTGCAACGCGGAGCTCAGCTTACTCCCGAGCAGGGACGATGGGACGTAACAGACATGCACAACCCTGATGGGGACGGAACTGCTCTTTGAAACAGCAGAGAGGTCACAGCTTCACCCATAAGGCTGGCTGGGGTGACCCGTGGAGGCATCGCATGAGTGAAGGGGGATGAAGGCCTCTCATGAGTGGAGAGTGGGGTACAGTAAGCTGGGCTTTTAAGACTCTGCACACTCTGTTTAACTCAGGAGTCGAATCTGCAGAAAGAATGAGTGACTAAAGGCCCCCATATGTGAGGGCAGAACTAAAAGCTAGAAAACAGTTACCACTGCTACAATATTTGTAAACTGAGATGATACAGGAAAGCTGTTGACTTTATGTGTTGAAATGGAGTGGGACCCCAGATATCATAGTAACTGAAGAGTGAAGTTACAGCCAAAGTGCAAAGCAGGTGTTTTGTTGACAAAGAGATGGTCCACGTGCATCACCCGCACACAGACACACACACACATGCTACACGCAGGCACAGACCACGTGTGTGCTGTAGGCACCAAACCAGACACAGGAGCTGTTTCCGGAGGTCACACGCAGGATGTGTGCATCTGATTTATGTTTTAATTTGTTGGAATTCAGACTTAAATGGAAGAAAGTAGGGGGAACCAGTAGATCATTTAGGTATGTCCTAAATCAAATCCCTTATGATCATACAGTGGAAGTGACAAATAGATTGAAGGGATTAGATCTGATAGAGTGCCTGAAGACCTGTGGACGGAGGTTCATGACACTGTATAGGAAGCAGGGATCAAGACCATCCCCATGGAAAAGAAATGCAAAAAGGCAAAATGGTTGCCTGAGGAGGCCTTACAACTAAACTGAGAAGAGACGTGAAAGGCAAAGGTGAAAAAAGAAAGATATACCCATTAAATGCAGAGTTCCAAAAAATAGCCAGGAGAAATAAGAAAGTCTTCCTCAGTGATCAGTACAAAGAAATAGAGGAAAACAACAGAATGGGAAAGACTAGAGATCTCTTCAAGAAAATTAGAGATACCAAGGGAACATTTCATGCAAACACGGGCACAATAAAGGGCAGAAATGGTATGAACCTAACAGAAGTAGAAGGTATTAAGAAGAGGTGGCAAGAACACTGAGAACTGTACAAAAAAGATCTTCATGACCCAGATAATCCTGATGGTGTGATCACTCACCTGGAGCCAGACATCCTGGAATGCAAAGTCAAGTGGGCCTTAGGAAGCATCACTACGAACAAAGCTAGTGGAGGTCATGGAATTCCAGTTGAGCTATTTCAGATCCTAAAAGATGATGCTGTGAAAGTGCTGCAGTCAATATGCCAGCGAATTTGAAAAACGCAGCAGTGGCCACAGGACTGGAAAAGGTCAGTTTTCATTCCAATCCCTAAGAAAGGCAATGCCAAAGAAGGCTCAGACTACCGCACGACTGCACTCATCTCTCACGCCAGCAGAGCAGCGCTCAGAACTCTCCCGGCCTGGCTTCAGCAGGAGGTCAGCCGGGAACCTCCAGGTGATCAGGCTGGATTTAGGAAAGCAGGGGAACCAGAGACCAAATTGCCAGCATCTGCTGGACCATCGGAAAAGCAAGAGAGTTCCAGAAACACATCTACTTCTGCTTTACTGACTGTGTCAAAGCCTTTGACTGTGGATCACAACAAACTGTGGAAAATTCTTAAAGAGATGGGAATACCAGACCACCTGATCTGCCTCTGAGAAAACTGTATGCAGGTCAGGAGGCAACAGTTAGAACTGGACATGGAACAACAGACTGGTTCCAAATAGGAAAAGGAGTATGTCAAGGCTGTATACTGTCACCCTGCTTATTTAACTTATATGCAGAGTACATCATGAGAAACACTGGGCTGGATGAAGCACAAGCTGGAATCAAGATTGCCGGGAGAAATACAATAACCTCAGACATGCAGATGACACCACCCTTATGGCAGAAAGTGAAGAAGAGGTAAAGAGCCACTTAATGAAAGTGAAAAAGGAGAGTGAAAAAACTGGCTTAAAACTCAACATTCAGAAAACTAAGATCATGGCATCCAGTTCCATCACTCCATGGCAAATAGATGAGGAAACAATGGAAACAGTGACAGACATTATTTTCTTGGGCTCCAAAATCACTGCAGATGGTGACTGCAGCCATGAAATTAAAAGACACTTGCTCCTTGGAAGAAAAGTTAGGACCAACATAGATAGCATATTAAAAAGCAGAGACATTACTTTGCCAACAAAGGTCCATCTAGTCAAAGCTATAGTTTTTCCAGTAATCAGGTATGGATGTTAGAGTTCAGACTATAAAGAAAGCTGAGAGCCAAATAATTGAACTGTGGTGTTCAAAGAATTTTTAACTGTGGTGTTGGAGGAGACTCTTCAGAGTCCCTTGGATTGCAAGGAGATCCAAGTAGTCCATCCTAAAGGAAATCAGTCCTGAATATTCATTGGAAGGACTGATGTTGAAGCTGAAATGCCAATACTCTGGCCACCTGATTTAAAGAACTGACTCATTGGAAAAGACCCTGATGCTGGGAAAGATTGAAGGTGGGAGGAGAAGGGGACAACAGAGGATGACATGGTTGGATGGCATCACTGACTCAATGGGCATGAGTTTGAGTAAACTCCGGGGGTTGGTGATGGACAGGGAAGCCTGGCGTGCTGCAGTCCATGGGGTTGCAAAGAGTCAGACACAACTGAGCGACTGAAGTGAACTGAACTGATGCATTCCTTTTGTGATCTTTTAATTTAAAAAAAGCACTCTACGTGGTGCTTAAGACTGGTGTTTACACCAGTCGTTTCAACAGCGTATTTCAGGCGGCCGCCAAACTCAGATACAAACAGGGCGCATCTGGACAAGATAAGTCCAGGTCTCACTGGGCACTTGTCACGCGAAGAGGAGTCCAGGTTTGACGGACATCAACGTGTGAAGCGAGGCCCTTTTCCACATAGACGCTGCTTAGTATTAATACTTAACCACACGTGCCATCTCTGGAAGTTTCTTTGGTCAAGCACAACAAAGCCTTTATGAACACCCTCTGAACACATTCACACCCACTTTGCAAGAAGCACAAAGTTGAGGGAAGACAGTAGCACACAAAAGCGCCCCAAGGGCTGGAAGCTTGGGGGGCCAGCACGGCCGGGCACTGCGGGGTCAACCCCCTTCATCCCGCCCGGAAAGCTAAGACAGTGCCTTGTCCCGCACAAGAGCTGCAGAACCTCTTCCCCTGCCTCCCCTGCAGCCCCGCCCCAGACCCACATGAAGCACACCCAGGCACAGCTGTGCGCAGAGCGGGCCTTGCCCACAGCTGCCCAGGCCAGCAGGCTGCCCCCGGGTCCACAGACCACATCAGAACCAGACACGGGCTGCGGGGAGACCCGCCCTTCCCAGACCGCAGAGAGGCGTGCCACGCGCGTCCCTGGTAACCTCACGCCGTGCTACTCACGGCGAGGACGAGCAGGAAGGGGATGACTGCAGGGCGAGCTGCGCACACTCCTCGACATGTCACGGGGCCTCAGCGATCAGATACCTTGATGTCTGGCTCTCTGCCCGACAGCGCCGACCGCCTCAGCCCAGGCAGGCCCTCCCCAGGTGGTGAGGGCCCTGCCGGGCTGGGGGCTGCAAAGGGGGACTCTGAGGCCCAGAGGCAGCCATCGGGCCAGGGCTTCTGCACAGACCTGATGGGGGGGCCTGGGTCCTCTCTTCATTTGCAGCAAAAAGCCAGCCCTGCCCTCCATGGGCCAGGGCCCTTCCCTCCGGGCCCCACAGGTCCACCCTGGGCCTGGACCCTGCAGCTCCCCTCCTCCTGCAGGACTGGAGCACGTGGACAGTGGTGGCCTGTCCCCTGCCTGCCGCACAGCTCAGGGCCGGGCACCCGGGGAGCGCCCGACCAGCGTGCTCCGTAACCACTGTGGAGACATGTGGGGAGCCGGCCGCTGCTTGGGCTCGGGGCCCTCCTTGGGAGTGAGCACACGTCCTCCGGACTAAGTACCAGGAACCCCAGGGACCCGAGCTTTCTGCCCTGTGACCTGGTGAGGCCCGAGCATCAGCGTCTGCCCCAGGGGCCACAGCCCTGAGTCCGTAACAGACACACAGCTCCCCGCAGACACAGACTCTGTCCCCAGGGCCCAGAGAGGACCCCCGGGGAGCAGCAGTCGCTGACACAGTGCCCTGAAGGCTCACTCACCCCAAAACTGCCCGTAAAGATGGAGGGAAGGCGGGTCACCGTGGGATTAGCTGAGCAGGTATGTCAGCCTCTCAGTCATGTCTGACTTTTCACGGCCCGCGGACTGCAACCTGCCAGGCTCCTCCCTCCATGGGATTCTCCAGGCAAGAATACTGGAGTGGGGTGCCACGCCCTTCTCCAGGGGGGTCTTCCCGACCCAGGGATCGAACCCAGGTCTCCTGCACTGCGGACCGCGGACCGACCCTTTACCGCCTGAGCCACCGGGGAGCTGAATGCATAGATGGATGGAAATTATTTAGAATTAGCAGCGACAAGTGTTTGAAAGTAGGTGCTTTGAGAATGACGCAGGACACCGCGCTGCACTTGGTTCCCCTAAAGGAACTCGGCCCCTGAAACCTTGGCATCATTACTATTCCTAGTGGGCCAGGGCTGCCATTTTAGAAGACGGACACTGCAAGCACGTCCTCCCCCGCCCGCGGCTCCAGGGGCCATGGGCACCACTCACCACACCTAGGGCAGGCACAAACGCTCTGCACTCAGTGCACCCACTTTACAGAAGAGAAACAGGAGCTCAAGGCTGCAAATCAGGCGGGCTGCAGAACCACCAGCCACTCACTCAGAGCCAGCCCCCCAGCTCCCTGGGTTCCACTCCCCCCAGGGCCAGGCCTCCTGGGGCAGGTGCCCGGGGTCTCTCCTCGCACAGGGCCCCGTTTTACTGACAGCGGTGTGGCTGATCCCAGCCTCAGCTGCAGAACAGGGCGTGGAGGACAGGCCTGGGACAGCTGACCCAGATCCCGACAGACACCTCTTTCTGTGGAGCCTGCAGGCTCTCTTGGTGAGAGGCACAGACCTCCTCAGCAGATGATGGGGGACAATCATGCACTCAAACTGGAGGCTACGCTCGCACTTTCACCAGTAAAGTGCTGCCAGCCTACGCGAAATCCCAGCCATGTGTGCAGACGCCGCCCTCCGACCCAGCCGGGCTCTGGGGACCCTGCCCACCAGGGTCCAGCACTGGGACGTGGCCACTCCTTCCCACAACCGGGATGTGGGTCAAGCCCACTGGGGCTGAGCGGAAGCGTCCCCTTCGCGTCCAGCTCCTGTTTGGGGCTGGTGACACCACGTCCTCTTGGGCACACTGCCTATGGGGGGCCCCAAGGGTGTCCTTAGGACGGGGTGGCAGGGGCCCCCAGCCCTGCTCCCGGTACCCCACCACTCGGGCGGAGAAGCTGTTCCAAAGCCTCTCTGTCCGAAACTGACCTTTGAATGAAAACGAATTCATGTTTATGAAAAAGAAGCTGCTGCACACACCCACTCCATGAAGCCCGGCATTTCCCATGAGGGCTGGGCTCCACCTGCTGCCTCCGAGAGCAGAGCCCCTCCCTGCACAACCAGGAGGGTGGCCAGGCTTCCAGGGTGTGCAGCTTCGGGGAGAGGCTCACTTCACTGGCCCCTGCCCTCCTGAGCGCTCCAGTGCAAGACATAGGGCTGCTCTGATCCTTCTTAAAAGCCACTACCTGCTTGCATCACCACTGGACAGAGTCCAGGGGTTCCGGGCGCCTAGCTTCTGTCTAAACACCATTCTCCTTCCGGCTTGTGACAGGGCAGCCGACGTCACCCTGAGGACCCCGGGTGGGGTGGGCCCTCTCCCCTCCACCGGGTGGCCCTCACCCCCCCCCGGCATCCCGCACCCACCTGTCTTTCTGAGAGGGAAGTCGTCTTTGGCGTCGTACATGCCCAGGACCGGGTGGTTGTAGGAGGCCGACGCCCCGCTCTGGGGCGGGGAGCTCTGGTCCAGCGAGCTGTGCTGCGTCTTCCTGGAGAGAAAGGGCGGGGGACAGAGGCTGAGTGACCCCGGGGGACCCGGAGCCCCAGCCGTGCAGGCAGAGTGTCCCCGGGCGCCCACGAGGGCGGTTCTCCCCTTGACGCACGGGCCTGGCTCGGCAGCTGCCTCATGGGCAGCCTGGCCTCCTCCCGGGGCAGGACCAAAACGATGGTACAAAACAGCTGGGGAGCCCGTGGACCCGGCCGCCTGCAGCCTCCCTGGGGCCCGTGGGCCTGAGGACGGCCGGCCCACGGGGCTGCACGCTCGGTCCAACCCTCGGGCTCTGCCCGGCCCCCTTGCTCCCAGTGTCTCCTGGCCTAGCAGTCTTCAAGCTGAGGGGGGGTGTTACCCCCGGCCACCGAGGGGCCTCTCCTCAGGGGAGGGAGACAGGGGCTCCAGGTGCAAGGAACACAGGTGCTGTTGGAGGCGGCTGAGACCTGGCCGGGGCCCGTGGGGCCAGAGCTGGTAGCCTCTGGGTCCTGGAGGGCAGGGGCCACGTGGGGGCAGGCCCCCTCCTGGGGACAGTCACCCCGGCCATCTCCCCTCCCCTGGGGAGGCAGGGGTTGGCGGCACCTTGGGCCCTGGGAACTGATCCCAGGAAATCTGCTTCCTTTGTGAGCCAGCAGACACAGCCCCAAATGGAATGACAGGCAGGGCGCTGCCAGAGGCAGCTCGAGGTGGGGTCAGGCCTCCGGAGGGGGGTGCTGGCCGCGCTGGCGATGACCGTCCGCAAACATAGAGTCTCACTAGCAACACTGAAGGTGTAATGAATTCCAAGAGTCTGTATGCGGTGTAATCTGCTTAATGACTTGAAACAAATTAGCCAACTTACTTATTTGGAATTTGTTAGACTATTTATTTGCATACACAGCACTCCACGTCCCCACGCACCTGGTGTTATTTGAATTGAGAATGTGAGCACTTAAATGCTTACAGGTGGATGTTTAAATATTTGAGAGAGTACACGGGTGCAAAGAACACAGTGATCACGGGCCCAGATCCACGGATCCCCCGGGCAGGGCCACAGCGGGCACTCAGAGATCCCTGGGGACGGGCCTGCTGCCCGGCTGCAGACTCACCGCCCCCCAGGACGCAGGTCGGGGGCCAGGGCTGCAGGCTGAGGGCCGGACCGGCCACGCTCACGCCGGCTGCGCCCTCGCCGCGTCGGACCGCCAGGCCTCACTCGGGAGTCCGGCCTGGCACGACCCCACTGAGGTCTGAGGGCGTCTCTGTACCCGGCTTCTCCAGGCCACAGCCTCCAGGGAACACGGCCTCGGTGGCTCCAAACCGCGCAGTCACTGCCGAGGTCTAAGCAAGGACAGAGTTCACTTTCTCCTTCATGAGAAGCTCGGAAAGGCCCGTATGTGTGTTATGTAATCTCAAAACATGGATAATTACGATTAATGAAACCTCGTAGGTAATAACAACTACTGTCATTAGATTCTGATGGTAGACTTTACAATTAAGCCAGAAGTACATTCAATGTAAGATCTAGCAGACTGTCTCCTCTGTGTTGATCTCTTGAGACGCCGTCAGTACTCAAACCCTCCCTCCCATCCGGCCTTCTCGTCTGGGAGCACAGGTGGCGGCTGGCCCCCGAGCTCCCAGTAGACCTGCTCCATGCCGTCCGAGAGGGCACTTGGGCCCGGGGCAGCGGCCAGGCTGATCCGGCAGAGCCGGACCCCACCGGTACCCGCAAGGATGGAGCCAGACTTCACAGCAGCCAGGCTCCCCCAGGCCTCCAAACACCGTGCAAAACAGAGGAAAACCGGCTCATCACTAGAGACCGAGGCCTCCCAAGGAGCAGTGGCCACCGGCCCTCCTGGGGGACCCGGCCCTCGGCACAGGGCCCAGGACACACGGACGCCCCAGGGGGTGACGGCTGGGGGTGTGAGCAAGGGCAAGGCCTGTCCTTGGCTGCAGGGGCACGTGCACGCTCACCCCACCCGCACACGCAACCACGGCACAGGCACACACTCACACACACACACACACACACAGACACAGACACACACATAGACACAGACACACACATAGACACAGACACACCCCCCCACACACACACACAGACATACACACCCTTGTAACACACATACCACACAGCCCATTTCGACGCCCTGGAGCCCACGTGGCAGGCGGCTACCACGATGGGCAGCACGGTCTCCTCCGATAAGCCCGATGCTGGGGGTTCTGACCCATGTCCACCGCAGAACCACGCCAGTACAGCACCAAGAAGTGTCACCCCCACGGGAAGGGCCTCTGCCCCCGCCCCAGCTGCTGCCACCTGGCTTCCTGTCCCTACAGACTGGCTGTGCCGACTCTAGGACCGCTTGCAGACGGCATCTCAAGGCACAGACTCTGCGTCTTCTCCGAAGCTTGATGTTTCTAGGTGTGGGCACGCCGCCCTGGGCCTTGCTGAGCAGACGAGAAAGCAGGTGCCCGTGTCATCATCACCTGCCGGCAGACACTCAGCTACTTCCATGCTCTGGAGACATTGAGCAGAACTGCTCTGACCATCAGAACACAGTCACTGCCCGGATGGAAGACTTCACCTGCTCCCACGGAAACACCTAGGAGACTGGGTCACGGGCCATGGAGTGGGCGTACCAGCAAGAACACTGGAGTGGGTTGCCATTTCCTCCTCCATGGGAATCTCCCTGACCCAGGGATCGGACCTTCGTCTCTTGCATCTCCTGGCAGGTGGATTCTTTATGGCTGAGCCATCTGGAAAGCTGGCACGGGGTTTGTTCAATTTCAGCCGTCCCTGTGTGTGAGGGGGCATCTCGCTGTGCACTGCATTTCCGGGGTGACAAATGATCTTTGTGAAATTACTGGCTATTTGCATCTTATTTTGTGAGGTAATCAGTTCAGTCACTCAGTCGTGTCCGACTCTTTGCGACTCCATGGACTGCAGTATGCCAGGCTTCCTTGTCCATCACCAACTCCTGGAGCTTGCTCAAACTCATTGTGAGGTATTGGTGCATGTCTTTGCCTCTATTTTTTCAGTAGGGTGCTTGTCTTTTTGTTATTGAGTTGTAAGGTTAATTGCTACTTGCTCAGTCATGTCTGACTCTTTGCGATCCCAAGGACTGTAACCTGCCATGCTCCTCTGTCCATGGGATTTTTCAGGCAAGAATATTGGAGTGGGATGCCATTCCCTTCAGGGGATCTTCCCAACCCAGGGATTGAACCTGGGTCTCCTGCATTGCAGGCAGATTCTTTACCATCTGAGCCAACAGGGAAGCTCTTTGAGTTGTAGGACTTCTTTATATGTTTTGGATCAAGGGCTCAGTTGATCACATTCATTGTGAATATTTTGTTCCTGGCCTTTTTATTTTCTTAAGGGTGCCTTTCAAAGAGTGAAAGTATTAAGTTTTGATTAAGTTTACATTTTTGGTTTATAGTTGATGATTTTGGTGTTCAAAGATCTTGCTTACCTCTTCACCAAGGTCATGAAAACTTTCTCCTACATTTTCTTCTGGAAGTTTTAACAATATAGTTTTTATGTTCAGGTCCATGAGGCCTGAGCTGACCATCAGGGGTGAAGTGAAGCTGGAGTCAAGGTGAAGTTTTTCTCTATAAAGACGGGTTTTCCAGCAACGTCTTGCCATCATGCAGCAAGTGGAAATGATCCATGATTTGGGTTGGTTTGTGTGACTAAACAAGAAGGCTGCCAAGTCCAAGGCAAACAGGCCCATTCCCTCTGACTCTACTGAAGCGAGTCCTTCTCCACTGCAACGGGCACGGCCCCGTCCCCTGGGAAAGAGGGATCTCCCCACCAAGCGTTAGACCCGGGCAAGCAAGCCTCCTCCAGGTCTGGGCCACCTTGCTCACCAGGGAGCTGCCGTGTCCACCCCTTTGGGGCTCTGCCCCCAGGCCCAGCCTGTGTGCCCCCTCCTCCCCCTTCCAGTTCCCAGGTGCTCCTTGCTGACCCCCCCTCCCCAGCAGCCCCCAGCGCAGGAGGTGATGCAAGCTCCCAGCCCATGGACTCTGTCTCCTCTGTACATGCAAGTACATCATCATGGCATCTATTCCTGGAGACTGGACGCCCCATCTCTCCACTCACAGGGGTCCTGAGACCCCAATCTTCCCTTCACATCCCTGTGGCCACCATCCACAGACTCCGGCGTGGTCAGCCAAGACCCTTCACCCACCACAACCTCCTCTGGGCCCACAGCCTTCTTAGCGCTGCTCCTAAAGACCCCTGCTGCTCTCAGACCAGGGCCTCTGCTGAAAAGCTTCCTGATCGGCAGATCACATCACCTCCCCCGAGGGAGAATCCAGGAGCACTGCCCACCTTTGCCTGACAGGCTACTCCCAGGGGTCCCGGACCCCCCCAACCCCACCCAGCTTCTCTTCCTGCCCTGCCCAACCTACTACAGTGCAGGGCATTTGCCTGGTGGCCCCCTCTACAAAGGAGGATAACAGAGCTTTCCAAGCACAAAACCCAGGGAGCGGTCACTAGTGGGGAGACGACGGATCAGTGCCGCCATGTCACGGGGCCCCCAGGAGCACGGCCCCAGACTGCCCGCAAGCCCCCAGTGTCCAGCGCTTGGGGCACGCGGCCGCCGGGCGTGGCTCTGGGCAGGTGGTGGCGCTGCTGAGCCCGCAGCTGGCGGGTGTGGGTGCAGCCCGAGTGGCCGCGTGGTGCGGGGGCTGCCGACACTCGGAGCGGAGACGGTTTCAGAACCGAAACGCCCTTTAGGCCGAATCTATTGAAGCAAACAGGTTCATTTCAACGCAATTGGGCAGCATGTTAGCAAAAGGGTTGTCCCTCTCGGGGACAACCGAGAGCTATGCTTTCCCCCCGTGAATGAATGATGATTCCATTTTCATTTATGAAAACTGCCCAGTGAGGCTTCTTCCAGGACAGAATCACCCTTGAAGGGAGAAGGAAGCTATAGCAAAGCAAAAAAAAAAAAAAAGGAAAAAAAAACCTGTGGGGCACCCTAGACCATGGTCTGAAGCTACAGAACTTTGTCACTGAACTTCCAGCTCGGCCTGGGTCAGTGGACAGCCCCTAAGAGCTACACGTGGGCCCACAGGAAAGACCCAGCACACGAGCATTCCCGCCAACAAGTTCAAGTCCTCTTTGCCAGGCTCTTCGGCTTCTGAGCACAAACAGAAACTTTGTGGTCTCTGTCAGTTACGCAGGGTCTGGGAGAGGTTCTTAGTATAAAAACAATAAAAAGACCACAGGTGCTTTTGACTTGCCCAGGAATCAATAACACACTGGGCAGAAATTCAGTAGGTGCATACGGACGATTTAGACCAAGTTCTGATTTAACAGGTGCCTTTTGTGGCCAAAAATTGCGTGAGAAGCCAAGAATAATGGTCAGACACCTGCCCCACGAGCTTCCCTTTAGTGTTTGTTTAAAGAGTGGCCCCTCTGCATCTGGACGACCGCCACGTGCACTGACCACTGGACCACTCGGGTCTGACCGCGTCTGGTGCTGGCTCAGGGAGCGGCTAATCCCGCGTCCCCCGGGTGGAGAACCGAGCGCCCCTCTGGTCTCCTGCAGACCCCGTGTGCCCGGGCCTCCCCACTTACCCGTACCAGTAGCGAGGGTCACTGGACATGCAGTGGTTCAGGTTCCGGTGAGCCAGGGCCTTCTTTTTATTGAGGACAAACTCCTGCAGCTTCATCTTCACTTCCGTACTGGCCACAGCACCTAGCATGGGAGAGAGCGGGGGTGGGTGACTGGAGGCTCTACCCCAGGGCCCCCCGCACCACATGCTGGAAAAGGCAGGACTGTGATGGGCAGGGGTGGTTCCCACTCAGGATGCCGCCAACACCAGAGAGCGTCTCATGGGAAAGAGGGGGACGGGGGCTTGAAGGGAGAGATCTTCTCCCAGGAACGTGTTATACAACTGCATTCTATTTAAAATGCAGATGGAGTCAGCACAAAGACCCAGCGCTACCTATCACAAATCCCCTGCGGAAGGAAGTTCTAATATTCTTCCATAAGAGGAGGGCCTGAGTTAGGAGTGCAGCCGTGTGGTTTCTTTCTCACGGCAGCAAAGACAGGCTGAGCCTCAGAGGAGGTTTTGTGCCAACCAAAGCACTGTGTCTGCGACAGGGACGAGTGACAACGATGCGGCCCGTCTCTCGGGCAGTGGGCACGGCATGGGCAGTAGGCAGGCAGCCGGGGGCCTGGCCAGGCCTGCCAGAGGGGCAGTCGTGCTCTTTCCAGCCTGCAGCTGCCTCCTGAGGTAAGGCGTGTTTCGCCAAGCGGGACTAAAGCCGAAATCTTGTGTTTTGTGGTTTTCTGGTGGTGGCAGCGGTTGTTCACAGCCCCATTAAAGAAAACTGGCAAATCTGGGAAACAGACACTGACAAAGGCCAAAGCCACCGCCCTGTCGCAGGGCCACTGGCATCTGATCTGTCCTCCTCAGGGCTGCACCGAGACACCAGACCACGTGGTATCCATCCTTCTATTAGAAACACGGTGTCTTCCCTGTTGTCCACAGAATGCAAACAGCATTCTTGATGGTGGGAAAACGCTTCATGAGGTGAGCAAAGCCCAATTCAGAAAACCCGTTCCCAAACAGGAGACGGTTTCAGACATTTCCTTTTGTTGTTTTTGTTAGAAACAATGTTGGCCAACATTTATGAGTAAATATCATCCTCCCACCACCTTCCTCAGTGGCTCAGATGGTAAAGACTCCATCTGCAATGCTAGGACAGGCATGGGTTCAATCCCTGGGTCGGGAAGATCCCCTGGAGAAGGAAATGGCAACCCACTCCAGTATTCTTTATGGAGAATCCCATGGACAGAGGGCAACCCACTCCAGTACTCTTGCCTGGAAAATCCCATGGATGGAGGAGCCTGTCAGGCTATAGTCCATGGGCCACAAAGAGGCGGACACGACTGAGCAACTAACACTGATCATCCCCCACATGTAGGAATATTTCCACAGAAGAGATGAACAAAACACCTATATACAACAAAATGACATCATAACCCTTGAAGAATCCAAGTTGTTTTCCAAAATGCCTGTATACGATGACCACCACATGCCACCCCACTGGCCACAGGAGCTAGCGTTTCTCTATCAGTACTTGAGAGCACCAACTAACCTGTGTTTCTATCTATAAGTACTCAAGAGTATGACCTGACTCTTAGTCTTTATCAGCACTCAGGAGTACTACCTCACCTGTGCCTCTATCAGGAGTCACGAGTACCACCTGACCTTGAGTATCCATCAGTACTTGGAGTACCATGTGACCCTACATCTCTACCAGTACTCAGGGAGTACCATGTGAAACCTATCTACCAGTACTTGGGAGTACCACCTGACTGAGTCTCTATCAATACTCAGGAGTACCACCTGAACTTGAGTATCCATCAGTACTAGGAAGTACCAACTGGTCCTTGTCTATCAGTACTCAGGAGTACCACCTGACTGGGTGTCTCCATCAGTACACGAGAGTACCACTTAATCTTTCTATCTATAATAGTACTCAGGAGTACCAGCTGACCTTGAGTACCCATCAGTACTAGGAAGTACCAACTCATCTGTTTCTATCAGTACTTAGGAGTACCACCTGACCAGGTGTCTCCATCAGTACTCGAGAGTACCACCTGATATTTCTATCTATAATAGTACTCAGGAGTACCAGCTGACCTCGAGTACCCATCAGTACTAGGAAGTACCAACTGGTCCGTGTCTATCAGTACTTAGGAGTACCACTTGACCTTGTCGATTAGCACTCATGTGTACCACTTGACCCCATGTCTCTGTAATAGTACTGAGGAGTACCACCCGATCCTTGTCTGTCAGTATTCAGAAGTGTCACTTGATCTTGTCTACTAGCACTTATGAGTGCTGCCTGACCCAGCGTTTCTGAAACAGTATTTGAGAGTACCACTTGCTGCAAACGGCAAGACTGACTGACTCTCACTGCCAGGCCCTTGACAGCCACGGGGATGCATTGGCGATGCTCTGAAGTGAGGTACTTGGCTCAGTCTCCTCTGAGTCTACCTGTGGTGTGTGTGGGTCTGTGTGTACACTTTACATTTGTATCCTTTAGCGTGTGTGTAACACACTTTTTTATACAAATACAGTGTAATACATGACTGTATTTTTGCAGTAATTACTTACTGTCAGCCATCACATGTTAAGGTGTATTTAAACCTCATCATTAATGCTGTTCAGTTCAGTTCAGTGGCTCAATCACGTATGACTCTTTGCGACCCCATGGACGCCAGGCTTCCCTGTCCATCACTGACTCCCAGAGCTTGCTCAAACTCATGTCCATTGAGTCGGTGATGCCATCCAACCATCTCATTCTCTGTCGTCCCCTTCTTCTCCTGCCTTCAATCTTTACCAGGATCAGAGTCTTTTCTAAGGAGTCAGTTCTTTGCATCAGGTGGCCAAAGGACTGGAGCTTCAGCTTCAGCATCAGTCCTTAGTCCTTCCAATGAATATTCAGGATTGATTTCCTTTAGGATGTACTGGTTGGATCTCCTTGCGGTCCAAGGGACTCTCAAGAGTCTTCTCCAACACCACAGTTCAAAAGCATCAATTCAGTGCTCACTTTTCTTTACAGTCTAACTCTCACATCCATACATGACTACTGGAAAAACATAGCTTTGACTAGACGGAACTTTGTTGGCAAAGTAATGTCTCTGCTTTTTAATATCCTGTCTAGGTTGCTCATAGCTTTCCTCCCAGGGAGCAAGTGTTTTTTAATTTCGTGGCCACAGGCACCATCTGCAGTGATTTTGGAGTGATCAATGCTGTAAGTAGGTATTAAACATCACCATGTGGTCCAGGGGGCACTGAGGATGGGCAGCCCAGGTGAAGTCGTTCTGATGTTCAGTCTCATGGGACCCCTGGCTCCTGGCTCCACACTCTGCTGTTCACACAAGGTCGGCCTTGGTTTCTCATTTCTCTTTCAAATGTGGCTTATATTCTGATGCTGTGAGGTAACAGAAAATACTTGTCTCTGCCCTCAGTCCCTGGCACAGAGCTCCCAAGATCCTGTAATTTCCTGAGTGATGAGAGCATGAGAAGCATCCTGTGTTCTAATGGGTTGACTCCGGGGGGAGAGGGGGTGTCCTGTGGGAGGAGGGTCAGCAGCAGGATCAAGCCTCATGAGAAGCTCGGAATTCCCAGCTCCACCTGAATCCTCCAGAGAGGAGAGGGGCTGGAAGTGGAGTTGGTAACTGATCACGCCCATGTGAGGAAGCCTCCAGAAACCAAGTGACAGCTTCTGGGTTGGTGAGCATGTCCATACCAAGAGGGGGGCCCCCCGACTCCATGAATCAGAGGCTTCTGCACTTGGGACTTTTCCATACCACCCTCTGTATGTCTTCCTCAGGCTGTTCATCTTTTTAAAAACTAAATTTATTTATTCATTTACTGGCCATGCTGGGTCTTGGACGTTGCCCGTGGGCTTTCTCTAGTTGCGGCAAGCAGGGGGCTACTCTCCAGTTGTGGTGGGTGGGCTTCGCATTGCGGTGGCTTCGCTTACAGCAGAGTGCAGGCTCTAGGGGTGCAGGCTCAGTGGTCGTGGCCCACGGGCTCAGCTGCTATGCAACATGTGGAATCTTTCCACAAGGAAAGTCCCCTGCATTGGCAGGCAGATCCTTACCCACTGGACCAGCAGGTAAGTCCCTCATCTTCTTATCTGACTCAGCCCTTAACCTGTGAGATCTGATGCTTCCTCTGAGCTAAAGTGCAGGAACCCCCACCCAGTGCTGCAGGGAACTGCCCCTCGTGGGGAAATCCTCCACGCACCTGGTGACCAGCAGTGTCGGGAGTGAAGTCCTCTGTGGGACCGGAGTGTACACAAGGCTAAGGAGAAGCATGAGACCAAGAGCTGCACTTTCCCAACACTGGGAAGAAAAGACTTGTTTTTTCCTAACTCAAATATTCAAGAGCTTGTTTTTATGGAGTCGGTTCTCGTTTTCTCATTGTGATGCTTTTTTTTTTCCCATTCCTGGAAGTTTTGAAATTGATCTTTACACTGATTCGGGAAAATAATCAGTTTCATTTCATCCTTGTTTTTCTGGTGTTGGGTTTTCCTAAGTAGGTTCACATTAAAGGCAGCACTCCGCTGAGGCTGTTTCAGCATGGATTTCAGGGCGCCGTGGATGAGCGTCAAGCAGAATGAACCCTTTGGAAACAGAGTCGTCCCCGCTGCAGCAGGACCGGAACCAGACCCGCCAGGGAGACACAAGGAGGGTGCCCGACACGGAGTGCACCTGGAATGGCCCACTGGGGTGCCGGGGCTTTTGTCTCAGGCCTTCTTGGTGTCCCAGGAAACGACCCGCCATCCTCGGAGCAGCAAGGCTCGCCCAGGCTCCATGTGTTAAGTGCGAGCAGGTGAGCCAGCCACCTGGCAGAGAGGCCCAGACCGGGTTACAGACCCAGAGGCACCAGCAAGAAAGGCCAGGGGAATGGTGATGCGGCCAGGTAGGGGGAAGTGACCGGAGGTATAAAATCACACCTCCGCTTTCGAGCAAGGTTCCCTGGGCTCCCTCCAAATGCAGCCAGGGCTGGACTCGGACCACTCTGAGCACTTTCAGCCTGTCTGTGTCTGTCTCGTCTGAAAAATCCCACTCACGGAGATGCTGAAATCTGCATATCAGGTGCTCGACACGCAGCCTGCTGGCATTCCTGACGGCCTCTCAGCCTCAGGTGGACACTCAACAGAATGCAA